TGGCACTCTTCTGTGCTGGCAGCCCTGTTGTGAAGTGGTGGTGGTGGAAATTCCACATTCCCCTGGTGGGAGCCAATCGTTCCGAATGATGACCACTTTTGACGTCTAATAAGATGGTTTAAATTTGATTGACCCTGGAGGGATGATGATGATGATGTCGTGACAGCCACTGGTCTATGGGGTTTCTTCCAGAACAACGCGTACTAACAACATGTTCTATGGGGATGAAAGACACTTCTCATGATCCCTTTATAGGCGCATATTGTTGAGAAAGGAATGCGCAAAGCAAGGATATAATCCACTGGCCTGGAGTTGTGTACCAAAAAAATAACAATCCATGCTCCGGTTTTGAGAAATCCACGCCAGATTTCCATAGCAGTATTCAGGCCATGCATGGGCTTGAACAAAGTTGATTGAAAAAAAAACACTCAAGATCAGATTGTTCAATAAACCACTTGCTGGCTGGCCACGTTTTACCTCTGGTTCTCCGTGAGTTTATGGTTCTGTCTATAAGTATGTGAATCTCCACGTGAGTCTACATCTCACACCGTAGAGCACAGAGTAACACCGGCAGCGTTTCAGAACTTCAACCTGAGGATTCTGTGAATTCAGTTCAACGCGTAACAGGCTTTCGCGACCAACATTATCCATAATAAAGGGGTTTTTTGGGGGGGGGGGGGGGGGTGTATCGCGTAAATCTAAATGTGTCGTTAACCCAGCACCACCCGACACAGCCATTTAGTAAGGGTTGTCACGTAAACAAAACGTGCCGATTAGTTACTACTTCAGCACATTTACAATTGAGTACGACGTTTCGCTGGTGATTGCAACCAGCTTCATCAGGCGATAAAGGTGATGTCATCATTGTGAGCCTATCAGGTTCGAAGACCTGAGGGTGTTAGTGTAGTCATATAAATTACAATGGATCATGTTAACCTGAGAATATGCAGTACCTATTTATTATTGGTTGGGTCAGCTTAACATTCAGTGGAATGTTTATTAGTGTTTAGTTTTAGTTTGTTGTCGTTCCCCACACCACCGATTGGCACGGGTGGCTACGGAGCGTGCGAAAGAAGGTCAACATACATACATAGATTATGTTAATCTCAGAATATTCAGTACACGTTACCGATAGGATTAGTCACAGTGGTGGGTGGGTTTCGCAACACATCTATATTTACGCGATCTATCCCAACCAACAACAACAGCAACAACAAAAACTCCTCTTATTCTTGGTTCTTTCGGTAAAGTCACGTAGAAGGGAAACAATAAAAGAATAATAAAAAATAAAATAATATATAAATATTGCTTTATATTTTTATTATTTTATTGTTTCCCATCTACATGACTTTACCGAAAGAACCAATAATATGAATCCATGCAGTCACGAACGCTTCAAATCAAAATACAAAAAAACCTCCTCTATCATGGATCCCCCACGGTGGACCTCCGTACACCAAAACTCGCCACGCTACGACCACAAACATCTCTCCGTTGACCTCCCTCCCGGCTGCAAGCAGCACACGAGAAAAAAAAGAAGAACGGACGAACCCCACCGACCCTGGAGTGCCGATGGAGCGCGTGACTCGGGCGCGTGTTTTCGCCCGAGCACGAATATCCAGTTTAGAACCTGACCGAGTCGAGAAGGCACCGCTGTCACGCGTCGAGTGTGATTGATAGCCGCGGTTCTTAGAAATACACTTAATGTTGTGGGCTCGAGGTATTTGAGCTTGTAACTTTTTATACACACGCGAACCGAGTGACCCCCCCCACCTCCCTAGGGTGAAATGAGGACGTCTTTGCCCAAGTCCCTAGGTCAACAACGACACCCCCCCTCCCTCCTCTCCAAAGAAAATAATCACCCGAAATGCAACAGATTGCTAAAGATCTCTTCAGAAGCTTAACAGGAGTTGTAGCCTGGAGAGTGTCCGGACAGGTGACGAGAACCCTCACGCACAGACCGGTTGGCATCGGATCGCGGTGGTGATGCTGTCGTGTGTGTGGCAGGCACGAGGGCATGTGCGACAAAAACACAATTTGTTGTGCTGTACTTCTGCACCACCACCACGTGCGTGGTGAATTGCGATCAGACGAGCCGCAATCGCGTGGAGGATTGCCCTTATCCAGCAGTGGATGTATATTTTTGTTTGTTAATGGAGGCTGCAGTACATTGATGCATGTTTAACTTATTTCGTGATGTATGTTGAACTTCTTTCATGTAAAAATTTTGATTTAAAGCTTTCGTGACTGGACTGCAGGGATTCATATTCTTGTTTCTTTCGGTAAAGTCACGTAGAAGGGGAAACAATAATATAATATAAATATAAAACAATAAAATTCTCACGACGTTTCGACTGCAACACAAGCAATCATCATCAGGTGTGAATACCACAGCAAGAAGATTTGAAAAACGCCACTTTTTTCACATTTTCTTGCTGTGGTTTTCACACCTGATGATGATTGCTTGTGTTGCAGTCGAAACGTCGTGAGAATTTTATTGTTTTATATATTTGTTTCCTTTCTACGTGACTTTACCGAAAGAACCAAGTATATATATATTCTTTCGTGATGTATGTTGAACTTCTTTCGCATCGGACGTAGCCAACCGTGCTAATCGGAGGCGCTGGGGTAGAGAACAAACTAAACACAAAAAAGCCAGGTCTAAAGAAATTAGTTTTCAATCGAGAGGATTTCAAAGTGCATCGGATCCAGTGGCTTGCTAATATCGGAAGGAAGAGCGTTCCAGACGGCCGCAGAAGCGGATCTGAAAGCGCGCGATACAGTGACCGTCTTTTGTTCGACGGCCAGTCAAAAGCCGCCGTTGCTGAGAGATGAGCGGAGTTCGCGTGATGGTGGTTCATGCTCCTTGACATCAGCAAGGTATTGTGGTTCATTTGTGTGCAAACGCTGTGCGTGTAATAAGTGCCACCTTCCAATGCGATGTGTTAAAAGTGCTGGAGGTGGAAGCATTCATTCACGGTCTCCACAACCCCGCGGTTCCTCATCCCTCCTCCACTCGCTATTCCATAAATGATCGCGATTTTAGGGTCGCAATTCATTATTATTTTTAAACCGATGTTTTCGTTGTTGACAGATCGTTGGCAAAAAAAGCTAAACCAAAGGCAAGTCGGAAGACGCCTCCGCAAAATCCCTACAAATAGGTCGGTAACAGATTTGCGGAATTTCCGTCTTCAGACAGCAAGCGTGATTATTGCGATGCCCGCTTGAACCGCAACATGTTTGAGCGGAGGGAGGCAGATTTGGTGCAGTCATTTGCACAATGCACGACCACAAACCCAGCGACCCCGGATCAATTGCACGCTCACGGCTACCATCAATGGCGAGCAATGACATAGCCGAAGCCTCCACGCGATCAACTCAGCCTGAAAATGATTACCTGATGCAGTGTGTGGACATGAGCACCAGGTGTGGTTTTTGGCCACGCAACCCACTCGTGTCCAATTCCAGCCTAAATAGGTGCTCATTATAAGCATTTGCCATACCACTGCAAATGTCTGTTACGGGGGATGTTGCGTCTGCACACACGGCACACTTTACAAACCGACACAATCGCAGTTACCACGTTAGTTCAGCACTTGCGTGTTTATTTATAAAATCCTTCAAGTGGTCACGGCCTGTTGCGTGATATTTACAAATGTGCATAGAAATCACAAAGGAGTGGCGTGCGTCTCTGGACACACGTGGAATGGTTTAAGTCCCCAGCAATCAAGACACGATTAGCCATCCCACCCCCCCCCCCTCGTTACAAACAGCACATACCCAATCAACAAATGCAGGTACTGATGACACACACCATAGCACAATGCTAGGCACATCGGCAACCTTACCATGTTTGCACATGCCTGCGGCTGTTTTAAAGACACATACAACACTTGAATAAAGTCCACCTGCAGATCTGTGTCAGCCATCAGATGTGTGCGCGCGTGTGTGGGGGCGGTAGTGCAGCGATTAGCGCGCTGCGCTACAAACCCGGCGACTCGAGTTCGATCATTATCGCTCACGCCTAACACCAGTGACGATTATCTGAACCGGTCATGGGCTTCCCCTAGGTCGACCCAGCATCAAATGAGTACCTGCTGCGATGTGTCAACATAACCATTGGGGAGATAAAGGCGGCCGGGCGTGTTGTTTGCCACCCACCCCGTCGTGTGCCGTGCCGGCCTTCATTAGGTGCTCGCTAACAGCACTTGAACACAGTCTGTTCAGGTTATACGGGGATTTTTTTGTATAAAACACACGACCCTGGCAACCCAAGTTCTATTCCCAGCCATGCCAACATCGCTGGCGAGTGACATATGAACCGGTCCTTCGTCTCCCCGTCTTAAAGGAGTACAGTATTTTTGTGCGGGCGCGTAAGCATCAGCACTGAAAGATAATAATAATAAAGGCGGGCGGGACTTTGGCATTGGTCGTGACACACAATCTCTTCGTGCCCAGCACTGAATACGTGCTCGCTAACAACACAACAGCCTCTATGTGGGCAGAGGGGAGGGGATCTTCAACTGCACGGTGGTCAGTGCTCAACTTACAATCAAAAGGTCGCGTGTTCAAATCCCAGTCTAGGGTTGAATCAGCTCATCAACCCTTGGGTGGTTGATTAAATAGTATACCACTTTGTGGCAAATACGAGAATACTCCACTTTTTAGTGAATGGAATGCTTTCTAAACTGCTTACAGACGTTCACCATCATTGTTCAAAACCTAACAGTGGCTTTCAGTTATACATTTCTTAACATTTGAATACAAAATGAAAACTGCACTATTTTTAGGATATATTTAGAATTGACCACAAATTGATTTGTTCTCTCACGGGCTTCGCACACACACACAGGGGCTGTTATCGTGAAATATCGGCGTGGAATTCAACAAACTGGAGCACGGACTACCAAACACATGCTGTGTAACCGATAGCAATCCAGTGGATTCCAAGCCAGCTTAAAAAAAAAAGGTTATAACACATTACAGTATTGCATATGTTGTAAGCTTATATATATTATTACTTTTATACACGATATGTTTTCATGGTAATTTGACGATATTAGAAATGGTGATGAAACAGGAACAATGTGCACGAGGAAGTCATACAGGATTCAGAATGAGGTGCGCGTACAAAAAAAAGTTTAAAACTTTCATCACATAAATCAGCACAATAAAGCGACGGCTGCATTGCTATAGATCAATACATCACACCAACGTGCTGATTAGGAGTGCATTTTTAGGACTTGGAAATTAAGTGATGCAGTTGTGATCAGGAATATGAGGTTGCGATGGAGGTGCGAGAAGGACAAAATAAACGCAAAAAGCAAAAAAAAGAGTTTTCAATCCAGAATGAGTTTTCAATCTAGAAACGTGGTGCAGGTTGGAGGAGGGCATCGTCACCCAAGACGGGCAGTGAAGTGGCACCCAGGGGGCCTGGTTGACAACAGGGAAGACCTATCGTGGGAAGGTCGCGGTAATGTGATCGTAAGAGCGGCGGTGAAAGGATGCACGCGTGCATGTCTACTCCAGCCTCCGTGGGATCTGGTAGAAGGAAAACTGAGCGATAGCCGAGGTTGAGATGAGATGACGTGGTGGGCAATTGGCTACAAAGGACCCCTCTCGACCGTGGACATAACAAAATAAACCTGACAGTAGTACGGACGCACGCCCCCATTCTGAAAATGTTTCCACCGACCGCCTTCGTGAACGGCGTGCAGTGACAAAAAAAATAAACGCTTCCACCGTACAGTTGTGCAGTTTTCTTATCTTTGGAAGCAATACCGGGTTTGTACTTGTTAAACGTGTATGGATAAAACGAGAGTACGGTCTTTAACTGTAGTTTTAAAGCCACGCTCATAGCTTATAGTAGTGCAAATAAAAAAATATAAAGCTAAGGTATAGTTAAGGCCAGTAATATTTTTACACACCTTCGTTTCAATCAAAACAAGGGGGGGGTATTTTTTGGCAAATAGCAGCAGAACATTGAAAAAAACACCTGTGAGTAAAAACTAAGCTCGCAGTTTGCATTTACAAAGGAAAGTGCTAATTTAGGTGGCGAGTTTATTACCGAAAAGAAAACTACAAGACGGTGCTACGTGTGCTACAATCATTCGATAAACCTGAGATAGATCGCAAAAATATGTCACGTCTATAAATGGGAAGATCACAATGTGCCTGTATTTATAAACCCCTGTTACACTCCCGTTTATATTTTACAAACTCGTTGCATGCTTTTCAGAAGCGTTCCTCACAATTCTTTATGCTTATTGGAGAATATGCGGCGAGCAATTAAGATTGATTTTCTTTCATATTTGTAGTGAAATTGAATTAAACACTAGCTACCTTTCATGTGTAAATATGACTGTGAAGAAATGTTCTTGCTAAGGGAGGTTAAAAGTTGCAAATCATCTTTTTTTTGCGTTTCACCACCTAACACTGTTACATCACCAACTCCCTGCAGCACTACTTTAGTATCTTCTGCCTATGCGGCTCGACTTTGTTTCCTAAACCGTTATGGATCACAACTCCCATCTATGAAATCAATCACCGTTAAGACACTCTTCATTAGAACCATTTTCTGTTACCATCAATGTAGGTGCTTTGCAATATTATTATTGCAACACCACAAAAAAATCAGTGCAATTATGCCAATGTAAAAAAAGTATGTGTTTTAAAACATGGCACTACACTTTTTAACACATGGGCTTTCGCGAGCAATTTCATCAATAATAACAAAAAAACCTGTATTATGGATGGAACTACACTACACGATAATCTGAAAGTTATGACCAGCAAATGACAACCGACCCAACCAGGGGCGGAGCCAGGGGGGGTGACAGGGGTGACATTCTGCGTATAAGTGTACGACACTCGGTCTGGCGGACTCCGTACAACTGCATTCTCAGAGTGTGTCGCCAACCGATGGCGTCTAGTTCAACAGCCTGACTCTAATCATTCTTGAAATTAAAATTTGTTGAATGTCACCCCGGCCTGAAATCCTGGCTCCGCCCCTGGACCCAACACTCGTGATGTCACCAGGACTTGCTGGCCTGCCATTGGCTGCATAGAGCCAGCCATTATTTGACTGGCTGGCAATGTCTAGCCATGCATTGTCACCGAGGGATTATTATTATTATTTTTACTTTGCAAGTAAGCAGGGTGGTTCAGGAGGCTCTTAATGGCCATATCAAACCACTGAAACCAGCACCAATGAAATTCCCTAGCTCGAATACAAAAAGCCACTGGTTAAATTTCTCAGCAGTCACATATGAATGCTTATTACCTTCATTTGGATGAGATCACACAAATCTATCGGAAGACTGGCACACTGGCGGGACACCATTTAGGGAGCAGGAAGTAGCTCTGTATGGGTGTTGGGCTAGAGGAGCCCATTAAAGCGTTTCAATGGTGAATTAGTTCCAGAGCGTCCGCTTCCAGTGCCGTTCCCCCGATACGACGCGAGCCTCAGGAGGTTGTTTACCGTGCGAGACGATTCCGAATAAAGCAGCAACTGGGTAAAAATTGGGTGATAGTAAAAAACGTTCGTTCTTCCATCTTCGAGACAACCTCCGCTCACAAATGTCAACAGCCGTGGCGGCTTTACATTGCAGTCTCCGCTCCACACGCACCGTGGCTTCTTCGAGGTCGCTCAAACATTCAGGGCTCCCGTTCGGGAAACCATTCTGTGGCTTTAAGACGAACCCGCACCGGTTTCAAAGGCTCATGAGCCATCGGTAAGAGGAAACACCCGGGGGCAAAACAAAAAATAATGGCAGACAAGAGGCCTTTTCTGAAAGACTTTCTCGAAGCAGCTTGTTGGCATCTGGGCTGGTTTTGGCCATCTCATGGTTTTTGCCATCTCATGGTTTTATGCTGCTCAAAAAAGGGTTCTCCGCAAAGTGTTCTGGAGGTCTTCCTACACCGAGGAATCTCACCAGGGATTTTAATTCTTCCAAAATGTATCCGTCCTTAAGAAGTGGCCCCTTTACGTATTCCTGCGCCAAACTTTGGTGTCGTATCCGAAACGCTCCAAAAACTGTGCGATGACGCGAGACTTTTCATCCGGCCACTGCCACGCGTGCCCATTTCACGCGGTTTTTTTTTTGCTTGCATGCATGCATCTGCAGTGCCACTTGTCGAAATAACTTCATCAGAAGAGACATTAAAACTACGACAAGAATTTCAACATCAGGCACGGCCGGCGACTGCATTTGATGTGCAAGTTTCCACATCGGAGTCGGCTGCCCCCAAAAGGCTTCTTCTGCAGCAGGCGTCCGATAACGAGGCCGTGGCACATTTTTCCGGGAGGCAAACCGTCTCCCCCGTTTGCGAAAACTCCAGCGGTTCGTTCTCCTGGAAGCGTCATCCAGCCGGTCGCGAAACAACCACGGGGACCTCCGGCGTACGGTCAACAACACCTCCCCTGCTTCGTGCTCGTCGAGTGGAGTGGCAGGTGTTGATTTTTTTTCTTCTCAGCGTTGGCTTCCATTCAGTGGTCTTGCCTGTGTGAAGATTTTGTGAAGCCGCTGATGACTGGGTGTGGATCTTCCTGCGGAGACAAACGGAAACGGGGATATAGTTTTAGAAAATGTTACACTTAATTAGGTATTTATGAATGTTTGTACGTGTACGGCTATAAGCCCTTTAGTCAATCAACTCCCGAACGAAGGCGCCATCTACGACGTCAGTCGTGGGGGGGGGGGGGGGGGGGGGGAGAGGGTGGTTGATTAACCGTACTTCACGCTTGTCAGTGCAGGTTTGTGAAGGAGGGGGCACAGGATAGGTTTAATGTATCGCCCCCGCCGCTGATGTTAAACTGTGGCCAGCAATCAAGCTCAGGTGGCCGGGTTCATAGTGCAATGTGCTCACCACCGCACCACGCAGCGTTTGTTTGACGTGACATTTAAATGATTCAGATTATGTTGCTGCTATACATTTCCACGTGATAAGCCACTTCGATGAGCTATAATTTTTGCCCAGTTTGCATCTGAAAAATAAGCTAATAGCTCAATGGGCTTTACCTGGCAAGATAAAAATCGTTAAGTTTTATTTGTAAATATTTTTTTAAAGTGATTTGTTTACCTTTCCTATACTTTTGCACTCCTATCGTGTTTTGTATTGTTTGTTGTTGTAACGTTCCGACCCGCTCCATATCGGACATCTGTGAAAAACAAAGAGCTTTGTAGCTCATCAGATTCCTCCAGTACGAATCCATACGGGGACTCCTCTACTTACAAACGAGTTACGTTCCAGAGGTCTGTTCGTAAGTCAATTTGTTTGCGAATACAACTGTACTCCTGTCGATTCCAAACATGGTGTACGGCATGTACACTAAAAACGGGGACTAACTTTAAAGTTGTAAAATCTCCTGTAGATAGAGGACACTGATTATTCATGTTCTGCAGATGCTACTGGTTCTTCATGTGGCATCTACATGACATACGGACAGGTTTGTTCGTATCTCTGAAACTTCGTAAGTGGAGGAGTCCCTGTGTTCCAATTCTGACATTAAATACCTTGGAGTAGACGGGCGGAGGGCAGAGGCTGTACTCCTGCAGGAAGGCCTGGGTTCGCGCTGTAGACAGCCGATTCCGGCGGGAAGGCCGTCCCGAGGGCCGATGCCCCGCCCCCATCTCAGGGCCCGCCCCCGGCCCCACCCCCTGGGCAGGCTCCACCCCCTGGCCCTCCGAGGTCGCCGACACCACTTCGTCGTAGCTGGGAGGAGCTGCGAACATGATTGAAAGGAGAGAGACACGGTTGAACGCACCGCTCTCCGCGAGCAATCCGAAAAATCGCGTCGCTGTCGTACACGTTCTAAAGAAATCGGGAGGTATTAACGTTCCGGATTAAAATAAATAAATCGACCGCAAAAACAACAGGCCACATTCAAATTGAATCCGCACGTCTTACAGAATACCCGTCCACACCGCGACATGCACGAGTGGACAAAAAAATATATATTCTAGAAATCACGGCGTGCGATTGCGGGATCACCGACCAGACCATCGACCAACACCCGCCACTCGCCACATAAGTGACGGTGACATCACCATGATGCCTGTGCCAGGCCAGTTGCACTTTTAGGCCACGTGCAGTGTCGAAGACCATCGACCACACAGGCGCGAACCAACGCGAACTCCCTACAATTCAACGGGGACTAAATTTCGATTTAAAGCTTTCACTCAATCATCTGAAGCTAAGTCAATCATCTAAGGCATCGGAAGCCATTTCCTGTCGAACTAATCTGGACAGACTTAAAAAGTGCAATTCGTTCAAACACAGATGAGAAGCCAACTAAATATGGACACACAAAATTAAAAAGTAATCGGAGAGCTGCATCGCTCTCTTTCATAAGCAACCTGGCCACAAATGATAGCTCAATGAAGTGGCTCATCATGTGGACATTTATAGCAGCCAAATCATCTTAAAACACACGGTTTTTAAATGTGGGTGGGAAAAACCGGAGGAAAAAAAAATCCACACAACCACGGAGAGACACATTGAAACTCCTAAAAAATATACAGCAGGCATCAAGATTGGGGATTGAGCCCATGAACCTGCTGTATACCAGGTGAGGCAATTAACATCTTGGCCAACCATGGCACCTACGAGACGAGGAAGACCGAGATGCGAATCCGGTACACAACATACACACACACACACACGCACCTTCGGGCTCGTCGATCATCGCCGGCGTCGCGGCTCCCACGCGGGCTCCGGCATAGCCGAGCGGCGGCACGGTCCCCACGACGACGGGCAGCGTGACCGTGAGCGCGCTGGCGCCGCGTACCTCTGCCCACACGGACAGCGAGTACTCGACGCTCAGCACGGCGCAGTTCTGGATGGAGGGCGACACGGGCGGGATCCGCACGCACGGGTGCGGGAAATCCTTCCTCTGGCGTGCTGGCACCATGCCCAGGCTGTCGCGCAGAGACCCGTGCCACAACAGCCCGTCGTTCGCCGCGTCGAAGTTGTTGTTGTTGCCGCCGCCGTTGTGGTCGGTGGCGGTGGCGACGAGTTGGCGCACCGTCCGCGAGTGGCCCTTTGCGCGGAAGGTCTGGGTTTGGTAGAGGGCGGCGTGCGTCTGCGCCGCACGAGGGCAACCATTCTCCACCTCCACGTGGATGTCGATCGTTTCGCCTGTGGCAGAGAGATCGCGAGAGACGGTCATTCTCCCGCGGCACATCCAAGGGGGGGGTGCCGCTGCTGCTGTACATTCTGCTGCCGACATCGATTCTGCTGCCCAATCAGGCGGTGCAAGCAGAGTCTACGGGATGGTGGCCTAGTGCGTCTTAAAATACCACGCAAGCCAGATAATAAATAAGTAACTGAACGAATCGATATAACCGGATTACGTTAATTTTAAACTACCAAATATCTCGTTCCTTTCCGCACCCCCCCCCACTCCCTACCATCCGATCAAGAATGACCATGAGGATAAATGAACTCCATCTTTCTCACAGAGTCCCCATCATCTGGAACTCTCTTCCCACCATCCGTGCTGTTGACTCTCTGTCCCTGTTCAAACTTAAGGCTCAAGACGTTCCCTTTTTTACGCCCGTCTATGACCGTCCCATTCTCTCTAAAGTAAATACGGCCACGGTTTTTCTCCGTACAGCCGAACTTCGCGGTCTCATTTCAACATCATATATAGAGCCATCGTATTGTATTGCAAGGCGGATTCAATCGCCACTATCTGCCAAATACTGCCAAGCGGCTCTTAGGGCACCGTCTGGCAGCGAGCAGCCTCTGCCTGGGCCAGTTACAAGTCGCGCCGCTCACCGGGACAGAAGCCTTTGCGGTTGATCCTGGCGGCAATTGAGACCGAGCCAGACATGCAGAACCAGCACTTGACCGTCTCTTCTTTACTCACACGAACAGGCGACTGCAGCGACACAGCGAAAAAGGTCCAGGGTTAAAATGAAGGTACATCAGACTCTACAGGCATGCTACATTTCAATTCCACTTTAGATAGTCCAAACAAGTTGCTGAAAAATGTGTTTTTGAAGAAATGAGAATTGCAGAACAGCCAAATATTTTTGTGGTGGAAAAAATATGAAAATGGGTTTTTGGTTTGTTGTGCAGTGATTGGTGAGTGGGTCGAGATCATCAAGTCGCTACACTTGACAATAATTGATTTTAATTACGGGCAGATGAAACACGGAATTGAACCCAGGCATTTGCAGTGCAAGCTCGGGGTGTCTCGGACCACAGTATCACTGCAGCTGTGAGCTACCCGGCCACCCCAGAAGAATGTCTTACTCAAGCAATGTTAACTGGCAGCATCAGCGGGAAAGGGATACACTTTCACTGCAATACCTAATTACCCTGCTTTGTTTGCAGAACACCGAGCGCTCAATCGGTGTTGGGGTTTTTTTTAAATGGAAACTTCAAGACGAAAATACTCTGGAGGTAGCGTGTAAACATGAAGCCCACTCCCACGAGACTTGGCGAGTGGAAAATGTTTCGCGACGCGGGAAGTCAAAAAGCCTCTTGCGTTGCCGCCCATTATGTTTCTGGCGGTGGGAATCGCTTGGGTTGCAGGCACGGCGGTTTTATCAGAGCGATAATATTTTGCGTGCAGCTCTATTTTTTCTTACTTAAAACAAGATTAAAATACAATTGGAAATAAAACACCAATCCAATGAATGTTTTGGTCGTAACGTTTTAGGATTTATTGGTTGTACAGTAACACAGTTTGGTTTAGACTTTGACTTAAATTAATCTGTGTGGTACTATGGTTAGGAGCGCTTGACAATCATTAGCTCGTAAGTTCAAATCCTGGTTACAGGTCACCTGTCCATCACGGTCACCACACATCACCATCATCACGCCTCTGGAGTCGACAAACCGAGTTTTACTTTACTGGAAGTCAACAGTGATTGTTTTATATTTAAAGTGGCTACTTTTATGGGAATGTACAATTCCTGCCATTTGCAGAGGACAACAAAAACAGATAATAAGGGGAGATGTGAATTATTTCAAGACATTTTGTGGCGCATCGATTTAAATGCATTTTTAGGCTCACAACAATGCATTGGACCACACATATGAGAATTGATAATTTGTATTCATATATGTAAAAGGTTAACTTCATCCCTGCAGGAACTCCCAAGTGCTACATTCACCACAACTTAAATAAAAATAACTAAACTCAATTATTGAATAAAAATCCTGGGGCCCAATCATAACGATTCATAACGATTCATTGAATCGTTAGGTAATGGGCACGCACGGAAGGAGAGGAATTCTGCGACATGTCAACACGTGTTAGGGATACAGACTCGCACACGCACGTAAATAGAACGGCTAAGACTTTTACTGCACTCCCGACCAAGTATTATTTAATTTTCGTACGAAAACTTGGCACGAAGACCACAGTGAGGTTTGGGTCAAAGTTCTCAGTCTCGTTTTGGCCGACGCCTCTCGTTCCTTTGCAATTTTTCCAGCTGCGATTTCAGTTGGACTCGCACAAAAGGACTTGGCAAAAGGCGGCGGGCGCTTTCTAGAATTCGAACTCTGAACACAGAACAGATAGAATTTGTAAACACAAGAGCCGATAACATCTGTGCCGTACTCGGGGGTTGTCTGGCCCCATGACCTTTAGATCCCGACCCCCCCCCCCCGCCTCATCAGAATGTAACCATGGGACAAAGACAACGATCACCCACATTTAGCATTGCAGGAAAAGTCTGGTTAGCGAACGCCTATTAAGGCCAGCAAGACATTACTGGGTTATATGTTTAACCACGTATGTATACATGTTGAACGTCTTTTGCACTGTATGTAGCCAACCGTGCTAATCGGAGGTGCGGTCCTCCTTTAGGTCGACGCAGCCTAATACGAATGCCTGCTGTGGCGGTGTGTCTACAGCGATAACGGGGAGACAAAAGTGGTCGGGCGTGCATATGGTTGGACAGGGTCAGGAGAGTGTGAGGTTGAGGTCTGACCCAAGAGCAGTCACTGTGGATTTAAAAAAAAAGCATTACAACCCTTGGTCAATGAATTGCTGACTGAAGGCCTCTCAACGTCATGTCGGTGGTTGTGGCGGTTACTGGACCATTTCCCCCTCGCTGGTCAGAGCACATTGGCAAAGGGGATATTCAGGACTGGTTCAGATATCCCTTGGTGCGCCAGGCACTGCGCTCCACCACAAATATTTTATCCCGGAACATTGAATGGAGAGACCGAGTCGGGAGAGTGAGAGAGAGATGTCAGGCCATGTAGACAGAGTGCGAGGGACATGCAATGCTGATAAGGTAGAGGAACGTGGGTGACAAGTTGGACGGAACAGACAGGGTTCAAGTGGCAGACTCAGAATAAACAGGGGGAAGGGTGCTGTTGCCACCAAGGGTTAAACTAAACTATTATATTTTACTAGGTAAGGCCCACTGAGCTATATAGCTCTTTTTCAGAAGCGACCTGGACACAAATAATAGTCAAATGAAGTGGCTTATCAGATAAAAACTGTATTACAAGCCAAATACTCTAAATGTATGTTTCAAAAATCTGGAGCCAAAAAAACCAGAGGACCCAGACAAAAATCCATGTAACCACGGGGAGAGACAAGCAAACGCCAAATATACCGGCATCGTCAGGGTCGGGATCAAACCCACAACCTCCTGCATACCAGGCGAGGTAGTAAACATCTCACCACCGTGGCACCCCTTTTTGGGGACAAAACGCCAGATGGATGTCCCCCCACTTCGTCTGTGGCTCCCGCCGCCCCCCCCCCCCCCCCCTTTGGCCATTTCGGAGACTCCCTTGAATCCGAGAGCCCCACTTACACCACTTCCCCTCCTCACCTCCTCCCGGAGAAGGAATAAGTCAAAACACAGAGGTAGGGGTTGAGCACAGGGAGAGAGGAGCCGGACGGACTGAGGAGAGTGCACGGGGAGACTGGGCGAGGCCTCTCACCAGCAGCGCGACCGTGTTCACGTCCACGTTCTCCAACACGGTGAACTCCATTCGGGTCTTCTGCACGGGCAACCACGGCCGCTGCAGCTTCGCCTCCACCCAGTAGCGCACGTTGCCATACTTCCCCTCAAAGGATGTGGGCAGGGGCCTGGGGGCAGACAAGGCAAAAGCCCGGTACTGTTAGCTTTAGCGTGTGGGTGAGAGTTCTTGGTGGAGGGCAGGACAAATCGACGAAGCGCAGAGTTAAGATCACTTCGCTTTATCATTATCAGAACCGGAACCTTTAGTTATCGGTCCCCATCATGTGAATGTTGAATTTACACCACTGCAAAGCTGCCCAATAAACGAGCCCCCAATGCTCAATTGTTTCGGGAGACGCATTAACTTAATGTTACATTGGTTATAGTAGATAAATGACATTATTGATTATCATTACTAATATGTCTGTAACGTGAGTGACGTCACTCCACGTCGACCAGCCCCCCTCATTAATAATCATGAACAGGTGGGGTCCTCCACATGGACCCCCCCCTTCCCCCGTCATGAATAATCATGAACGGGTGACATCACTCTGCATGGTGGAGCGGAAACTAAAATTTGTTTACGCAAATTAGCTTTGATTTTGACCTTTTTTATGGAAAGTAAAGCTAATAAATAAATAAACGCAGCAACTAATATAACGATCCAAAAAAGGCTGTGTGCGTGTCACGCGTGTGACGTCACTTCACATGATCCCCCCCCCGCCCCTCTTCATTAACAATCATGAGCTGAACAATTTTTCTATTGAATATTTCAGATTTACTGCAATATACACCCGTCCTTGGACGGGCAAACAAGCTAGTTATTTTATAAACGGCATTGAAGCCTGATCTGGGGAAGGCATGGAGACAATGAAAACTTGGCTGTCATGGAAAGTAAATAAATACCAATAAACTGAAAATGTTTATTTGCTCACGAGTACAAAAGGGCATTGTAATTTTTTGCCCAAAGTGGCCATTAAAGCAAGTATCCCACGTTTATCAGAAATCAAGTTGTTTTTTTAAATTCTCTTTTGGAGTCGAGCACCGACTCAAGCTTTCTCACGATTGATGGGAAATGCCATCGTGACGGTTTTGACTCACACTCACGGTGCAAACTTACTCGAGCGGAAGGAGGAACGAGAAGGGAAAATAGTGTTTTCCAATGGGCAGCACCGTGATATCCTCCACGCCGTCTCTTTCGCAACCTGCCACCATCAGATACAACAACAAGCCGCACGTCAGCTCTCGCTGCAAGGGAAATCCCGCAGAGCTAGACAACCTCACAGTGAACATTTAAAATCATTATGTATGTATGTTCAACTTCTTACGCACCGTACGTAGCCAACCGTAGCTAATCGGAGGTGTGGGGGGAAGGACAAACTAAACACAAAAAGCAGTTAGAAAGAAATGAGTTTTCAATCTACATTTCAAAGTGCATATCTCGAGTGGCTTCCTGATATTGGAAGGAAGAGCGTTCCAGACAGCCACAGAAGCACACCTGAATGCGCACCTGAAAGCGCACGATGCCGTGACCGTCTTTATTCGATATTTTATCTAGATTCTACTGCTGCTGCAATGATGACCGGAGTTCGCGTGATGGTTTATGCTCCTTGACGAGATCAGCAAGGTATTGTGGTAATCTATGGCAAGCGCTTGTCTGTAACGAGTGCGACATAACGATACGCGTGTGCGTGCACACACACGCAGCCTCTTTTCCCACTCACTGCTGTGCGAGTGCCTCAAGTAGTTACGTATGGTGGCAGTTGTTTAGACCGCACTTAAACCACGCCTTCCGTACCAGCCACATTCTACGCTTCCAAACCATTCCAAGTGTTGCTTCGCTCATTTCTGACAAAAAAATATTCCCAGCATAAAACGTAGTTTTTTTCGTAGCCAATGCAATGATTCATATTTATTTTCTGGGTTAGGCCTTGTAGTGGTTGTATGGATAATGGCCTAGCACCATCCACATGTGCCCGGGTCCCCAAAAGCCTCTTTGTCAAATTCCAGCTTAATGATCATACATTAACAGTGATGTCTCGTCAATCAAAACTCCACGCGCGTCCACGCAACAGATCTTAGCACGGTTGGCTACATACGGTGCGAAAGTTTAACATACATATAGATCTTCTCACTACATAAACACTCAGAGCCCAAAAAGAGGGATATGTGACTCAAAGAACATTTGTATGTCAGCTTTTTGTGATTTTTTTTGTGAATTTATGGTAACACGACACCAGGTTTTCAGTATCAGCAGCTTTATGCCGTGTCCTGGCAGAGAATGTTCCAAATCATTTTTCTGGATCAACATAAATATATTAAATTAGTAAACATCTCATTTATCATGCAAAGCCTGAGTCTCAAAGCTCCTTAAAGGAAGGTCCCTGTATCTTGGATGTTTGACCCTTTCCTTTATCTTGTAAAAGTACTGCCTTTGTCTTCACAGTGACAATGTTTACACACCGCACCAGGTACTCATTTGAGGCCGAGTCAACCTAGAGGAGGCCGAGGACAGGTTCAGTTATAATCGTCATTGCTATTGGCCGTGATCGGCAACCGAACTCGGGTCGCCAGGTTCCTAGTGCAGCGCACTAACCGCTTCGCTGACAACATAACTATATAATCTAAATAAGTCACCTACAAACACCAAACAGGGGGCAACGGTGCAGAATTGAAACGCACCTACAAGATTGTGTGTGTTTATAAAGGACAGTGCGTTGTCCAGCAGGGCAATAAAATGTTAGAATTTTTGGCACACACACTGCATGACCTTTTACTCGCACGGGAAGGGAATTTTTTTCCTTCCCTAAGTGAGTCAAGCACTGTGAGAAAAAAAGCATAAATCACACAAACACAGTACACTCCCCAAATCCACATTGCAGAGGAATACAGGAAAAGAAAGGTTATGTAAATGATTGCGCCGCTAGATTCTATAAACTGTATTTGAGATTGCAGGTTGAGAATGCTTTTGCATGTCTGTAATATAAAAAGCCTCCAATAGTGCAGTCAGTCAGTGCATGCTAACCACTGCACAGCCACTATCTTTAGTATAGTATCAGTCAAGAAAGATTTCTCATCTAAATTGCTTCCTGGAAAATTTAGTTTCTGAACGGTCAAAACCAGTAAAAGTGTCCCTCTTCACCAAATGAAACTGGATAATATTGATGCCTACAGAGCAAATAGGTTGATAGAATTCCACGTTATTTACACTTTTGTCCATTAAACAAACATTTTTCAGTTTATTTAGTCATGAACACTTCCAAATTAAGTAATGCTATTAAACTTAATACTGCCACAGCAGTACACAGCCTATCTCATAAGGTGTATGGGCCAGAAACATGCTAATCTAAGCTTACTTTCTGAAGTGAGATCAATAAAACAATACGATTAATAGATTTTTTTTGAAAGACCGATTACGCACGCTCAAAAACGCTCACCGATTATTATTTTTTTGTAACAATATAAAAGGGATCCATTTACTCGGAGGCCGTCCAAATTGAAAACTCAAACAAACAACGTCGGTGGGGGCATTCTCGAAGCTTGAGATGTATTTATATTTAAAACCACAAAAAAGCTGACAAAACAATAACAGATAAGTTCATGATATGCAGGAATCCATAGCAGCATGGCATGGTCCTGCCAAGCGTCAAACTGGTTTGAGCCGGCTGTTTATTTTGCAAGTTAATATTTTTAAACAATTGGCAAGAAGTCTGTTGTAAAACAGGAAAAAAAAATCAGTCACAGTCTAAACAGGGCAGTTAATGAAATCGTTGGTAAATTAATAACTTCAAGTCGTGATGACTGCGTTACACAAGTGTTTGGCTGTATGTATGTATTTTGATTGTAACTAACTACATGTACGCTCAGACTCTGTCCATCATCACCGTCAGCCCTCCAGGGTAGATAAAACACATTCCCGTGCGTAGGCAGTCAGAAATAATTGTTTTATAAGCATCTAACGATGCACCGATTCTCGAAGAATAAAATTCGAAGCTTACACTCATCACTCATGATGCATGCATATGTAAGCATACGTGTGATAATCAATTATTTTACAACGTATGCAAGTTATAATTACACGCACACGATACGCCGTTATATTTAGGCGAATGAGACGAGAAACACGGTGAAACAATTGTGACAAGATTCTTGAATCACATCGTGACCCCTTGAATTGTACCAATTAACTAAGCCGCTGGGGGGGGGGAATCTTTAGATTATCATCCACGATCTACTGCTGGATGAATGCCTCGGGCAAGCCAGCACCATCAATTAGATCCACGTTAAAGCTCAGCTCCTCGTCTGTCTTCGTTATCATTGCAAGCATCCCCTTCCAGCGAAGCGTCCTGCCTAAAGGCCAACTTCCTTTCCATACCAATGCGTTTTTAACCCGGCTTTGTTTATCGAATACATGTTGCTCTAAAAAGTGGCATTGCACGAATGAACTGCGTCATCAACATGACAAAAGCAAAATACGGAAATCGCTGTTGTGAGCAGAGTCATACGTATATATATCGGTGGTGGAAACAGTCATGTTGGCATATTGAGAGGCTTGCCCACGCCACAGGAATGTGGAATTCCACACTGGCTCAGTAACACCATTGGCCATGTGTTCCTCTTTCCTATCTCTCCAAGCATGCAGCTTTGAGCGGGAATCGAACTGGGGTCGCCGGGTTTCATAGCGCAACGCGCGAACCGCGCTCCCAAACCACACAACAACAACACCACCACCCACCACCACCACTCCGCCACCAAGCGGTGGCCATCACCACGACCGCCTGTACCAGGCCAGGTTGCCGGCTCACTTTTGGAGGACCACGCGAAGCGAGTTCCACGGGGCAAGACCCCCGGGGAGCAAGGTAACCCACTGGGGGGGGGTGGTGGTGGTAGTAGTAGGCGTACCGACCACCGCCGCCACCACCGCCACTAAAATCACCCCACCGCCTCGCCATATCCCCACAAGCCACGACTCCCAACCAACCCCGGGCCCTCGCACTCACCGCCAATCAGCTGGCAGCCCTGGCTGTACAGCTCCCGCTCATCGCCGTAGGTGTGCGCGTGCGCCGTGCTGGAGCCGCCGCCGGCGCTCCGCGTCTCGCTCCAGCGCGCCCGCGCCCTGCCGCGGGCGGCCGCGGCGAGGCGGCGGACGCGCGCGGGGGCCCCCGTCACGAGCACGCGCACGCGGCCCGAGATTTCGTTGCCCGCCCGCAACGCGGCTCGGCCTGCGGGGGGCGAGCCGCGGGGTCCGCCGCCGGGACCCCAGCCGCTGCCGCCGCCGCCGGTCGGTGCCTCCGTCTCGTCGAGGAGCACGCGGACGCGGACGCGCCCGGGAAGCCCCAGCACCATGGGTGCGAGCCGGGGGAGGCTGCGGTTATACAACTAATGAATGAATGGTGAATGAATGGTGAATGAATGATGAATGAATGGTGAGTGAATGAATGAATGACGACGGATAATTCCAGTTGGACCCTGCCAATCGCCTCCTCCCACCCGACCCTTATTTGGCACGTTAATTCGCGAATATCCTGGGCACCGGACTCCCGCTATCGTACGCGTTCACTCGTGTGTTTTTTTCCGCGATAGTTGCTATCGTTTATGGCGAGGACAGCTCCTGACGTTCGCCAAAAAAAGCTGCGATGCGCGGGAGGTCATCCTCCACAACCCATCAAAACGCTTTCAGAGCTCGATGAGGGACTTCTGCACGAGCTAAGTACGGTGCTTTAGGTTTTGTATTTTTAGTTAACGTCGCTGATGCGGCAACGAAACGACGCTCAGGTAAGTTCCGACACTTCCCAATTAGCGGCGGTGACCCAAAAAAAAAACAAGTTTCGAATTCCCAAAAGCGACACGCCGATAACCTTTGTATTATTATTTTTAAAAAAACGTATACAACTATTTGGCGTTTTTAAAAGCCCGTTTTTAAATAACTTTTAGAGGCGAAATAATCGCGCGCTTACCGTAAAAAATCACCCAACAGAGGCGCCTCGCACTTTAAAAAAAACGAAAACAACCTACCTCCCCCCCAAATAGCACAGTTCGGCAGCTTAAACTAAATTAACTTTAGAGCGAACGGTACCAACAATGTACGCGAATTATAATCACGCGCGCGATCGAACTTTTTGATTGTCAATGTGTTTTTTTAAATAAAATTTACATTTTGCGAGTTATCTAAAATCGCGTTGATGTTAACAATGAGGAGGGGTGGTGTTGGTGATAGCTGAGGTGAAATTAAAACGTAAAAAAAAATAATTTCAAATAAGCGACTAACAAAATAAAGAGAAGGGATCGGGGTGGTGGTGAGGGGTGGTAGGGTTTGAAAAAAAAAGCCGCACGTTGAATCCGCGGACCTTCCGATTTACGAAAGAAGACCGCCGACGTTGAGAAGACGCTGCCGTGGGAAGCTCGCTAAGAGTCTTTTATAAAGGAGCGGCGAGCTCGTAAACACGCTCACTGCGCATGCGCCGACAGCGGAGTGTGTGCGGGGGGGGGGGTGTGACCCGAGGGTGGGGGCAGAAGGAGGTGTGGGGTGGGGGCGACCCGATCCTTGATCCACTCACGACTGGGATTGTCACTCGCTGGTGGACACCGCGGGATTGTCACTCGCTGGTGGACACTGTGGGATTGTTACTCGCTGGTGGACACTGTGGGGTTGTCATTCGCTGGTGGACACTGTGGGATTGTCACTAGCTGGTGGACACTGTGGGATTGTTACTCGCTGGTGGACACTGTGGGATTGTCACTCGCTGGTGGACAGTGGGATTGTCACTCGCTGGTGGACACCGCGGGATTGTCACTCGCTGGTGGACACCGCGGGATTGTTACTCGCTGGTGGACACCGCGGGATTGTCACTCACTGGTGGACACCGCGGGATTGTCACTCGCTGGTGGACACTGCGGGATTGTCACTCACTGGTGGACACCGCGGGATTGTCACTGGTGGACACTGGGATTGTCACTCACTGGTGGACACTGGGGTTGTCATTCGCTGGTGGACACTGTGGGATTGTCACTCACTGGTGGACACTGTGGGATTGTTACTCGCTGGTGGACACTGCGGGATTGTCACTCGCTGGTGGACACTGTGGGATTGTTACTCACTGGTGGACACTGGGATTGTCACTGGTGGACATTGTGGGATTGTCACTCACTGGTGGACACTGTGGGGTTGTCACTCGCTGGTGGACACTGTGGGATTGTTACTCACTGGTGGACACTGGGATTGTCGCTGGTGGACACTGTGAGATTGTTATTCACTGGTGGACACTGTGGGATTGTTACTCACTGGTGGACACTGCGGGATTGTTACTCGCTGGTGGCCACTGCGGGATTGTCACTCACTGGTGGACACTGTGGGATTTTCACTCACTGGTGGACACTGCGGGATTGTCACTCGCTGGTGGACACTGCGGGATTGTCACTCGCTGGTGGACACTGCGGGATTGTCACTAGTGGACACTGTGGGATTGTCACTGGTGGACACTGGGATTGTCACTCACTGGTGGACACTGGGATTTTCACTCACTAGTGGACACTGTGGGATTGTCACTGGTGGACACTGTGGGATTGTTACTCACTGGTGGACACTGCGGGATTGTCACTCACTGGTGGACACTGTGGGATTGTCACTAACTGGTGGACACTGTGGGATTGTCACTAGTGGACACTGTGGGATTGTCACTGGTGGACAATGTGGGATTGTCACTCACTGGTGGACACTGGGATTGTCACTCACTGGTGGACACTGTGGGATTGTCACTCACCTGTGGACAGTGGAATTGTCACTGGTGGACACTGGGATTGTCACTGGTGGACACTGGGATTTTCACTCACTGGTGGACACTTGGATTGTCACTCACTGGTGGACACTGTGGGATTGTCACTGGTGGACACTGCGGGATTGTCACTCACTGGTGGACACTGCGGGATTGTCACTCACTGGTGGACACTGTGGGATTGTCACGCACTGGTGGACACTGTGAGATTGTCACTGGTGGACACTGAGATTGTCACTCACTGGTGGACAATGCGGGATTGTCATTCACTGGAGGACACCGCCTGTGGCGCGACTCTATTACGTGGTACAATTAACTACAAAAGGCGTAATGTTAAAATTACTTCCAGGTGTGTGCGTGTGGAGCGCGGCACATGACGTGGGTTCAATCCCGATACAGGGTGCAACGGGCCGGACCACGTGTTTGAACGAGGGGGGGGGGTGGTGAACGGACTGCAGGATAGAAGATCAGGTTCTGTGTTTGCCCAGGAGATCAAGGAATTGTTGAAGCCTCATTCGGGTCGCCAATTCATCCAGCGTCGCAGCGAGTGGAGATAATTAGCGGGAGGAACGGCACGGATTGAGAAGGAAGGGTGGAAACGTTACATCCGAGCCCGCCACGGAAGCCAATAACCTGCTTGTGCCGTCGCACGGCCGTGTCGGGAACAAGTCCGAACAGTCCGACAATTGCGCTGTTGAGCGTGCGAACTATTTAATAGCGGCTCGAGAAGGGGTGGTCTGTGATTGCTGCGCGCTGTAACCGTTCCGAGAAGAGCTCGATTGTGGCTTAATAAGTGGAGTGTTGCACAACCGCGGCGTGAAGTCACGCGCAGTCAAGCCAAGAATCCGAATTGTGTACCGTGAGTGATGAGTGCCATCTACTGGAGTGCAGTGGTATTCACCAGATTATACAACGGCACTTCGCCCCCTCCTGGATTATAAAGCAAAAAAAACACAATTGGGGGGTTATATCTTATTATAATCTGGTGTTGTGTTTTTTGTGAGACCATATTTCGACAACTTCATTTTACACCGGGCACAACGTTGGGGTGCGTCTTGCTTTGAGGAACGTCTTATAATCCGGAGAATTCGATGCTAAAATGTACATGATATAAGCGAGGCCATGTGCGTTGACAAAGTGCCCGGTTACTTTACATTCCGCCCGTGTTCATAATCAAAGCCAAGTGCTCATCAATACAAATGTCATCGCTCCCTTCCTTATGCTAGATGTCACATCCTTTGCATCGCAGCGTAATGTTTAATTTCACAGAGATGTGTCAATCCATTGCTGGACGAAGGCCCTCCCGACACTGAAGTCGTGATTGTTGTCCCTTCCCACGCCGAGTTGGTGATGGGGGTTGTTTGTCCATACTTCACCACGCCGGTCAGTGTGGGTTGAAGGTTATGGTGAGTGGGGCAGGACCGGTTCTGATTTTACTCGCCACCGATGTTAGCCGTGGCTGGGAGTCGCACTCATGGAGCCGGGGTTCGTAGTTCATCGTGCGATAACACTGATGGTTAAACGCATGCATGTCCTTTATTTAATCCAAGACTTCGTTTGTGTTTTGTGGCAATTGGAATTGCATCGGTGGTGAGATGTTATCTACCTCGCCTGGTATGCAGGAGATCGTGGGTACGATCCTGACCCTTGACACCTGCTGTATATTTGGCGTTTGAATGTCTCTGTCTCTCTCCCTCCACGTGGTCGTGTGGATTTTTCTCGGCGTCCTCCGGTTTTTCCCTCCACATTCACAACCATGTGTTTATAAAGGTGCCACTTTGTTGAGCTATCATTTGTCGCTAAGTCTCTTCAGAAAAAAGACTGACATACTGTATGTTGCTCAGTGGGCATTATCTGGTAAAATACAATTAATGTTAAACGGAAATCTGAGAGATGTGAATTCAAACACTGAATTTAATTCCAGTGCGATGCCAACCTTTAAAATAATATCGTTTGTGCCGAGCGCCACCTGCTGGCACGTCCACGTATATGCAGATACGCATTATTTGGTGATACAGCACTGCGTTGGCAATGGTGCACAAATACAAAAAAACAATACACGTTCGTCAATAAAACTGCCTTTAAAAGGGAAAGATATATAATAGACGACGTTTCAGGCAATGGCCCTTCTTTTGATGCACTATTAAGAGAAAATTGTCCGAAACACCACACATTTCTCCTGTTAAGGCAGTGTTAGTGACGAACGTACTCGCGTAGATTCTCACAAGTTACAGTACTCATCCAAGACTGATTATATCTAGAGGAGGCCCAGAACTGGTTTAAATATCCACCACTGTTATTGGTCTTGAGCGGGAATCAAACCCAAGTGGCCAGGTTCGTAGCGCAGTGCGCTAACCACTACGCCATTACTTTCCAATAACTAATGCAAGAACATGCACGTACTATGCACGGCCGCCTTTGTATCTCTAGTGGCGGTGTTTACACAGTGCACCAGGTACACATTTGAGGCCGAGTCAACCTAGGGGAGGGCACAGGACCCGTTCAGATATTCGTCACCGGCATTAGCCGTGAACAGGAATCGAACTTGGGCCGCCGGGTTCGTCATGCAGTGCGCTGTCTGCTACACTACCGCATGCATGCGCACTTTCTAGTCGGTTCATCACTCACTGCCTCCCTTGAGGCTGGGGGATTTGTGAGACCCTCTCCAAATAGCAAAACACACGCTTTACCGCACACCCCGATGCCCGAGGGGACCACGTGTTTTCTCCGCACACCTGGCCATGTCTAGGGTTTCCCCCTGTCGACCACAAACGATCCATCTCACACGCCCAGTGACAGCTCTAAGGGCCCGGGCCGGGCACAATCATCACCGCAGGCCAGCCGAGGATATTAACAACGGGTCAGGTGAGTTTGAAAAGAGACGGGGTTCAGTCAGGCGGACACACGACCCTCTGCTGGAGCACACGTGGGCAAGGTGAGAATCTGTTTTTTTTATTATTATGAACAATATTAATTGAGTTGTCAATTCAAAAAAAGCACAAAAGGGTCCTTAGACGGGGGGAGCGTAAGTGGCCTGTTGCCAGCAGCAAAATTTGCGGTGGATGTCACAGTGATGATCTCCACGCTCACACTGAGTGCTGCGTGCTGTTCTTCTCTACGAGCAGCCCCTTAACCAGTGGTGGAAAGTGCACATTGCCGTGGTGGGGGCCCCATTCTGTTCAAAGGAAAACCACGCCCGACTTTCCACAAAGTGATTGGTGGAGGTGTGTCATGCGATTGAGTAGGTTGAGTGGGTGAAAGAGTGGTTGAGTCGGACAGGTGGGTGAGCGAGCGAGTGGGCGGGCGGATGAGAGAGCGAGTCAGCGAATGGGCGAGAGGGTTGAGTGGGTTGCTGAATGGGCTATGCGGGCGAGCGGAATTCAGACAGGAGGTCCCATTTGCGCGGTTGGTACACGTCAACCACACTCGCGCCACTGCCCGGTTGGCCGTGGCCGCTCCCTAACTTGGGCCCGCGTCGCCGTGCCGCCCCTCGCGCTTGGAGCCCCCCAGGCACGGGGGGCTGGGATCCACGCGTCCCCCGCTGCTCCCCCACTGCTCGGGCGTGCGCGCCTGTATGGAGAGGGCGTGCACACAGCCCACCAGCTCGTCGCGCAGAGCCTCGTTGACGAGGCGGTGGCGCGCGAGCAGAGACACGCCCTCGAACTGCGCGGACACCACCACCACCTTGAGAGCACGTGGAGGGGGAGGAGAGTGGGGGAGCAGAGGAGAAGGAGGGTGGGGGGAGAAGGGGTGATTAGGGGTGGGGGCAGAAAGGTTGTTCCACGGCGTATATGGCCACTGAATATGGCTTACGTGTTCCATTACATTCCATCCTCATTCTGAACGTTAACGTTGCATTATATCGCTTTACAATTCTGTTTTAACATTCCTTGAAATGTCTCTGCAATAAACTGAACAGTATGGAATCCTTCAGGCCAATGTTAGTATACAGCATTATTTAATAACAAACCATAGCCCCTTTGTCAACGCACTACTCACAATAACACAGACTCTGTTGGGGCAATTTATGTTAGCGAGCACCTATAAAGGCCGGCACCTATAAAGGCCGGCACGGCACACGAGGGGAGTACGTGCACTCACTGAACACACACACACACACGTAGCACACGCAGACTCGCTGGACCGCTTGAGATGGAGACAGCGATGGCTTGGGGAGACGTTCAGTCAGCAGTGGATCGATCATGGCTCATATTGCCCTCACTCCTGTTCCACAGCACAGTGGGGGTGACACCGCCAGACCCTCAGTAGTCACTCCCCCCCCCCCTTGGATAGCTGTGCCTCACCCCCCCCCCCCCCCTTGCCACTCACACCTTGAAGTGCGTCTCAGATCCGCGGGGCACCGCGTGCATCCCGCTCTCGTTGACCACGTCCAGGTGCACGGGGCCCAGGGCCCGTGTCAGCTTCTCTCGGATCGACTCCTGCACGGGGCCACCGGGGGCCGCGGTGGCCGGCATCGTGGACCGAGACCTCGCGGTCTCCGCACGGCGCCAACGAGGTCTCGTCAGCAGGGATCGCAGGGCCGGGGCGACGAGCGGCCGGCGGGCCAGCATGGGGCGGGCGGGCGGGCGCACGCACGCACGCCTCCCGTGCTTTCGCTCTGAGGACACAACAAAGCACAGCGTCGTCAAGATGACTCGGCAAAATCGGGCGGCTTCAAGAACCAGGAACAGACGGGATAATCGAGGGTGGCGAGCTGCTCAATTCGGTTCAGGAAAAAGCTGTCCAATGCGTTGGGGCGGAACGTCGGACATCGTGCCTGACAACACAAGTGTGCATCTCGCCATTGCACACGTCCAATTCTGAAGCACAGTACGCCGTTTCGTATGGTCAATGACTATACGTCATCGACCATACTTCACCACGCTGGTAACTGACTATACGTCATCGACCATACTTCACCACGCTGACTATACGTCATCGGACATACTTCACCACGCTGGTAACTGACTATACGTCATCGACCATACTTCACCACGCTGACTATACGTCATCGACCATACTTCACCACGCTGGTAACTGACTATACGTCATCGACCATACTTCACGCTGGTAACTGACTATACGTCATCGACCATACTTCACCATGGTAACTGACTACGTCATCGACCATACTTCACCACGCTGACTATACGTTATCGACCATACTTCACCACGCTAACTGACTATACGTCACTGACCATACTTCACCACGCTGGTAACTGACTATACGTCATCGACCATACTTCACGCTGGTAACTGACTATACGTCATCGACCATACTTCACCACGCTGGTAACTGACTATACGTCATCGACCATACTTCACCACGCTGGTAACTGACTATACGTCATCGACCATACTTCACCACGCTGGTAACTGCCGAGCACCATGCGAAGCGCAAATCTCACCCCGTGTGATGACACAACACTTACGGTGGTGTGTGATGTTGTGTTTATTGTGTATATTATTGGTGTGTATATTATTGTGTTACGCTGTACACTACTAGTGTGATGTTGTTGTGTTTATTGTTGTGTACGTTATTGTGTTACGCTGTACACTACAAGTGTAATATTGTTGTGTATGTTATTGTGTTACGCTGTACACTACAAGTGTAATATTGTTGTGTATATTATTGTTTATGTTATTGTGTTACGCTGTACACTACAAGTGTAATATTGTTGTGTATATTATTGTGTATGTTATTGTGTTACGCTGTACACTACAAGTGTAATATTGTTGTGTACATTGTGTTACGCTGTACACTACAAGTGTAATATTGTTGTGTATATTATTGTGTTACGCTGTACACTACAAGTGTAATATTGTTGTGTATATTATTGTGTATGTGATTGTGTTACGCTGTACACTACAAGTGTAATATTGTTGTGTACATTATTGTGTTACGCTGTACACTACAAGTGTAATATTGTTGTGTATATTATTGTGTTACGCTGTACACTATAAGTGTAATATTGTTGTGTACATTATTGTGTTACGCTGTACACTACAAGTGTAATATTGTTGTGTATATTATTGTGTTACGCTGTACACTACAAGTGTAATATTGTTGTGTACATTATTGTGTTACACTGTACACTACAAGTGTAATATTGTTGTGTATGTTATTGTGTTACGCTGTACACTACAAGTGTAATATTGTTATATATTATGTTGTGTATATTATGTTGTGTATATTGTTACGCTGTACACTACTAGTGTAATATTGTTGTGTACGTTATTGTGTTACGCTGTACACTACTAGTGTAATATTGTTGTGTATGTTATTGTGTTACGCTGTACACTACAAGTGTGATATTGTTATATATTATGTTGTGTATATTACGTTGTGTATGTTATTGTGTGTATTATGTTGTGTATATTATTTTGTTACGCTGTACACTGCACGCTGTTGTTGTGCAGTCCAAGTCGCTCGCCGCTCAATGATGACGTTGCGTGACCACTCGAGGACGTCTCGGTCGCCTCGTGATGACGCCACGGGCCCACGTGACGCGCAGTGACGCGCGCCGCGCACGTGGTGGCCTGACGCGGGCACGCGGCTGACACGTGCGCGTCAAGACACCACGTGTCGCGGCGTGCACCGCGGGTCAATAGAAACTCATAGCCTGTCAGAGCCCACATGCGGTTTGTGCCCCGTGTTCTTGTGCACGGAAATTGAGTTTTCAAGTCCACACGGCGTTATATAGCCGTTCCAATACGGGCAATACATTTTGTTTAATTGTGTCTGTGTTTCTCCCTTGTGATGGGACGTTGTAGGGGGTCGTCCATAAATGACGTCACGTACCTAGTGGGGGGGGGGGGGGGGGGGTCAGACATTTGTGACGATGTTTGACGAGGGGGAGGGGGGGGTTTGAGAAATGAGACGTCACATCGAAATGCGCAACTTTAAATAAATATAGAATTCATACTCTTTGTTTTTTTCGGTAAAGTCACGTAGGTAAAATAAAATATAAAATTAAACAACTGGTTAGTTTTATTTTATTTTAAATTACAAGTTTTCTTTTATTTTAAATTTTATTTTACCTACGTGACTTTACCGAAAAAAACAGTGTGAATCCTTGCAGTCACGAAAGCTTCAAATCTAGACATATAGAATTGTTATAACAACAATAATTGTTATAACAACACTTCTACAACATCAGAGTGCAGCGCCACATTAAATACGCACTGCAATAACAATAGTTTAAAGCGATTTGAAGCATGGTTTATTTTCAAAAAGTGAAATATATTTTGGGGGGGGGGGGGGGGTCAGAGCGTTGTGACGTCATATTTGAGGGGGGGTCTGATTTTTTGTGACGCCGTGTGACGAGACGGGGGGGTCAAAATCGTCCAAAATTGCGTGACGTCATTTATGGAGAGCCCTTAGGATGAACGTTGAGATTTATAAGGGCACGGGGTGAGCAATAAGGTCTGAATTGGTCTATTATAAGATAGGCACTGATAAGAGGTTGACAGGTATGAAAACTATAAATATATATATTTTTATTTTACCAGGTAAGATCCACTGAGCCTATATCGGTCTTATTATTCAGAAGCGACCTGGACATAAAATTATATCTCGACGAAGTGGCTCATCATGTGGAAATGTATAGCGGCTGCCGAATACTCTAAACGCGCGATGTTGATTCTAAATGCGGAGGGGGGAAAAAACGGAACAATTTTTTTTTTATTTTACCAGATAAAAAAACAGAGGATCCGGAGTAAAATCCACGCGACCATGGGGAGAGAGAGACACACACACAAACTCCAAATATACAACAGGCGTCAGGGTAGGGATCGAACTCAGGGCATAAGGGATCTGTAGGGGTATTAAGGGGTGTATTGGGGTGAGTGAGGATATATGGGGTCCGTAGGGGTATATCGGAGTCTCTTATAAACACCTCATGGTCTGTGCACGGTATATTAAAACAAATAACTCGATTCTTTACATGAGTGACAGTTGCAACTGTCAATGAGAGTGACAGTTGCAACTGTCAATGAGAGTGACAGTTGCAACTGTCAATGGAGAGCGACAGTTTCAAGTCGTTGAGAGTGACAGTTGCCACTGTCAATGTCAGTGACAGTTGCAAGTCGTTGAGAGTGACAGTTGCCACTGTCAATGTGAGTGACAGTTGCAACTGTCAATGGAGAGCGACAGTTGCAAGTCGTTGAGAGTGACAGTTGCCACTGTCAATGTGAGTGACAGTTGCCACTGTCAATGGAGAGCGATAGTTGCAGGTCGTTGAGAGTGACAGTTGCAACTGTCAATGTAAGTGACAGTTGCAACTGTCAATGAGAGTGACAGTTGCAACTGTCAATGTTAGTGACAGTTGCAACTGTCAATGTGAGTGATAGTTGCAACTGTCAATGTGAGTGACAGTGGCAACTGTCAATGTGAGTGATAGTTGCAACTGTGAATGTGAGTGACAGTTGCAACTGTCAATGTGAGTGATAGTTGCAACTGTCAATGTGAGTGACAGTTGCAACTGTCAATGAGAGTGACAGTTGCAACTGTCAATGGAGCAAGTCGTTGAGGGACAGTTGCGAAGTCTCCCCAGCAGGTAGCGCTGTGTGCTACCCTCTGCGCTGGTTTATAGTTTGTATCGTTATATTTACTTTGCTTGTTATTTATTCCATTATGTTTAATTTCCGTAAATGTAGGTCTCGGCAAAGTGCTTCTTCCATGAAGTCATACAAACTAAAAGATTGATGTTGCAAGAGGTGCATATGGGGGTCTGTGGGAACATGTATGTTGATTCTTTCGCACTATACGTAGCCAACCGTAAGAGTTCTGAAGCGGTTTAAGGGGCATGTAGGGATATTAGGGGTCTGGGGATATTAGGGGTTGTGGTGATATAAGGGGTCTGTGGCCGTATAAGGGATCTGCGGGGTCTTGGGAGTATGCGGGTCTTGGGTGTGGGGGTCTAGGGGATGTGCCAGGGTCTAGGGTGTGTACGGGGTTTAGGGAGTATGTGGATCTAGAAGGGGTGGGGGTCTAGGGGATCTGTGGGGGGTCTAGGGGATGTTGGGAGTCTTTGAAAGTTTAGGGGGCCTGCGGGGGTCCAGAGGGGGTGGGGTCTAGGGGATCTGCGGAGGTCTAGAGGGGCGGGGGTCTAGAGAGGGTGGGGGTCTGGGGGGGGGGTCTAGAGGGGGCGGGGTCTAGAGAGGGTGGGGGTCTAGAGGGGGCGGGGGTCTAGAGGGGGCGGGGTCTAGAGAGGGTGGGGGTCTAGAGGGGGCGGGGGTCTAGAGGGGCGGGGTCTAGGGGGGGGGGTGGGGGTCTAGAGGGGGCGGGGGTCTAGAGAGGGTGGGGGTCTAGGGGGGTCTAGAGGGGGCGGGGGTCCTAGAGAGGGTGGGGGTCTAGGGGGGGGTCTAGAGGGGGCGAGGGTCTAGAGGGGGTGGGGGTCTAGAGGGGGTGGGGGTCTAGGGGGGGTGGGGGTCTAGAGGGGGTGGGGGTCTAGAGGGGGTGGGGGTCTAGGGGGGGTGGGGGTCTAGGGGGGGTGGGGGTCTAGAGGGGGTGGGGTCTAGGGGGGGTGGGGATCTAGGGGGGGTGGGGATCTAGAGGGGGCGGGGGTCTAGGGGGGGTGGGGGTCTAGGGGGGGTGGGGGTCTAGGGGGGGCGGGGGTCTAGGGGGGGCGGGGGTCTAGAGGGGGCGGGGATCTAGAGGGGGTCTAGAGGGGGCGGGGGTCTAGAGGGGGCGGGGGTCTAGAGGGGGCGGGGGTCTAGAGGGGACGGGGGTCTAGAGGGGGGTCTAGGGGGGGGTCTAGGCGGGGGTCTAGAAGGGGCGGGGGTCTAGGGGGGTAGGGGTCTAGAGGGGGTGGGGGTCTAGGGGGGGTGGGGGTCTATGGAGGGTGGGGGTCTAGAGGGGGTGGGGGTCTAGGGGGGGGTGGGGGTCTAGAGGGGCGGGGGTCTAGAGGGAGCGCGGGTCTAGAGGGGGCGGGGGTCTAGGGGGGCGGGGGTCTAGAGGGGTGGGGGTCTAGGGGGGTGCGGGGGTCTAGGGGGGCGGGGGTCTAGGGGGGGCGGGGTCTAGGGGGGGCGGGGGTCTAGGGGGGGCGGGGGTCTAGAGGGGGCGGGGGTCTAGAGAGGGCGGGGGTCTAGAGGGGGCGGGGGTCTAGAGGGGGCGGGGGTCTAGGGGGGCGGGGGTCTAGAGGGGGCGGGGGTCTAGAGGGGGTGGGGGTCTAGGGGGCGGGGGATCTAGGAGGGCGGGGGTCTAGAGGGGGCGGGGGTCTAGAGGGCGGGGTCTAGAGGGGGCGGGGGTCTAGGGGGGGCGGGGGTCTAGAGGGAGCGGGGGTCTAGGGGGGCCTGCGGGCGTCTAGAGGGGGCGGGGGTCTAGAGGGGGTGGGGGTCTAGGGGGGGTGGGGGTCTAGGGGGTGCGGGGGTCTAGGGGGGCGGGGTCTAGGGGGGGGGGGGTCTAGGGGGCGGGGGTCTAGAGGGGGCGGGGGGTCTAGGGGGGGCGGGGGTCTAGAGGGGGCGGGGGTCTAGGGGGGGCGGGGGTCTAGGGGGGCGGGGGTCTAGGGGGGGCGGGGGTCTAGAGGGCGGGGGTCTAGAGGGGGCAGGGGTCTAGGGGGGGCGGGGGTCTAGGGGGGCCTGCGGGCATCTAGAGGGGGCGGGGGTCTAGAGGGGGTGGGGGTCTAGGGGGGGTGGGGGTCTAGGGGGGGTGGGGGTCTAGAGGGGGCGGGGGTCTAGGGGGGGTGGGGGTCTAGAGGGGGCGGGGGTCTAGGGGGGCGGGGGTCCTATGGGGGGTGGGGGTCTAGAGGGGGCGGGGGTCTAGAGGGGGCGGGGGTCTAGAGGGGGCGGGGGTCTAGGGGGGGCGGGGGTCTAGGGGGGATGGGGGTCTAGGGGGTGTCGCTTGCCCTCCCCGCTGCTTCGTGACGTTACCGCGCTAGGGTCCACGGTCGTTCCCCCACGGTGGCGGCCTGGGCAGTGCGAACTCGTTTGACGCGGACCCTGTGGTTTGTGACGTCAGCTCTCTCCCGCTGCCTTCGATCTTCTACCAGCGCCGGGGTTTGTTGATTAAAGGTTACATTCATTCGATTATATTTCGTATTTTGCATACATCATGCTTCGTGATGTATGCAAAAAAGCCGTGCATTGATGTGGGGAGGGGGGGCAATAGTAGTGAACGGGGGTGTATGGGGGGTCGAGGTGTGTGTGTGTGGGGATATTTCGGGTGGTGGCGGGTTTAACGACACACTTATGCAGGGTGCTTCACACGACAACAACGTGAACACTATTGACAATGTGCAACAATAACCATAAGAAATGTGCTGCCTCCGGCCTCCAGAGACCACCTGGATAATATTCCAGGCGTGCGTTGACAATGATGGCGAACAAGTGGGAGACTCTTTGACTTTTTGAAGCTATAAACATTACATTTGTTATCGTGTTACAGTGCTATTATACCGTTCTTTAGCCATTAAAAACGATAGTCCCATGTGTGCGTTAACATTTTTTGAAGCGCTATGTATTTACGCGATCTAACCCAAACACACTTGCTGGACAAGAGATGAGTAAACCTGCCTTCACAGATTGCTTGTTCACAGCAGTTGCAACTGTCACTCTCATTGACAGTTGCAACTGTCACTCTCATTGACAGTTGCAACTGCCACTCTCATTGACAGTTGCAACTGTCACTCTCATTGACAGTTGCAACTGTCGCACTCATTGACAGTTGCAACTGCCACTCTCATTGACAGTTGCAACTGTCACTCTCATTGACAGTTGCAACTGCCACTCTCATTGACAGTTGCAACTGCCACTCCCATTGACAGTTGCAACTCTTACTCTCATTGACAGTTGCAACTGTCACTCTCATTGACAGTTGCAACTGCCACTCTCATTGACAGTTGCAACTGTCACTCATTGACAGTTGCAACTGCCACTCTCATTGACAGTTGCAACTGCCACTCTCATTGACAGTTGCAACTGCCACTCTCATTGACAGTTGCAACTGTCACTCTCATTGACAGTTGCAACTGCCACTCTCATTGACACTTGCAACTGCCACTCTCATTGACAGTTGCAACTGCCACTCCCATTGACAGTTGCAACTCTTACTCTCATTGACAGTTGCAACTGTCACTCTCATTGACAGTTGCAACTGCCACTCTCATTGACAGTTGCAACTGTCACTCATTGACAGTTGCAACTGCCACTCTCATTGACAGTTGCAACTGCCACTCTCATTGACAGTTGCAACTGCCACTCTCATTGACAGTTGCAACTGCCACTCATTGCCAGTTGCAACTGCCACTCTCATTGACAGTTGCAACTGTCACTCTCATTGACAGTTGCAACTGCCACTCTCATTGACACTTGCAACTGCCACTCTCATTGACAGTTGCAACTGCCACACTCATTGACAGTTGCAACTGCCACTATCATTGAGAGTTGCAACTGTCACTCTCATTGACAGTTGCAACTGCCCCTCTCATTGACAGTTGCAACTGCCACTATCATTGACAGTTGCAACTGTCACTCTCATTGACAGTTGCAACTGCCACTCTCATTGACAGTTACAACTGTCACTCTCATTGACAGTTGCAACTGCCACTCCCATTGACAGTTGCAACTGCCACTCTCATTGACAGTTGCAACTGTCACTATAATTGACAGTTGCAACTGGCACTCTCATTGACAGTTGCAACTGCCACTCTCATTGACAGTTGCAACTGTCACTCCCATTGACAGTTGCAACTGCCACTCTCATTGACAGTTGCAACTGTCACTCTCAACGACTTGCAACTGTCGCTCTCCATTGACAGCTGCAACTCTCACTCTCATTGACAGTTGCAACAGTTAGTATTCTCTGTACAGTACCTGGTGTGGTGTGTAAACATCGCCACTGGGGAGACAAAGGCAGCCGAGCGTGGTGCTGGCCATCATAGGTGCTGCTCGCTAACAGCACTTGCCCCTACAGTATGTTCAGGCTACACGGGGGATCTTTCTCTTAATGTGTGTACACGAGGAACAGGCGTCTAATGAACAGAGGCAGCGTCAAGGAACGGTTAATCTAAATTGTCTTATGGTTAAATTTGTATTTAAAGCTTTCGCGACTGCAGGGATTCATATTCTGAGAAGATGGATTGTGGCTTAGCAATCATTGGAAGGATTTGATAAACCATTTCGGGTCTTGATTGTTCACGCTTACGGTGGCTTTCAGACCGCATCCATTATTTTCGTCTTCCCCCTCCTCTTTTCCGAACATAGATGGACTCGTCCATCTGAATAACTGCCAAATCGCTCTCCGTGGTGCTACCGTTAAAAAACCCGCCAATTTTTTCTAAATTTTATTGCCGTGGTTTTCACACCTGATGATGATTGCTTGTATTGCAGTCGAAACGTCGTGAGAATTTTATTGTTTTATATTTTTATATATTTTATTGTTTCCCTTCTACGTGACTTTACCGAAAGAACCAAGAATATGTCTTACGGTTGTTATTGTTTGACTTGCATCACACTGGGATTATTGCACGCAGCGTTGTAATATGGTGGGGTTTTTTTGGAAGATTTGCTAGTTTATCCAGGATGTTTCTGTTGCGCGTCGTCGCTTTAATATGTTCTCTGTTCATATTTTGTTTGTTGCGGTTGCACCCGACTTAAGAGCCGCATGGCTCACAGGGCTATACCTAATAAATCAAACTTGAATGAAACTTGAAAGGAACACGCATCTTAAGGAACAGAAGCAGCAGCTTGAGGCACAGAAAGAACTTGAGGAACAGAAGCAGCAGCTTGAGGCACAGAAGGAACTTGAGGAACAGAAGCAACTGAAGAAACAGAAGCAGCTCAATGAACAGAAGCTACTTAAGAAACAGAAGCAGCTTGAGGAACAAGCAGCTGAAGGAACAGAAGCAGCTCAATGAACAGAAGCAGCTCAAGGAACAGAAGCAGCTTGAGGAACAGAAGCAGCTGAAGGAAGAGAAGCAGCTGAAGGAACAGAAGCAGCTTGAGGAACAGAAGCAGCTCAATGAACAGAAGCAGCTCGAGGAACAGAAGCAGCTTAAGGAACAGAAGCAGCTTGAGGAACAGAAGCAGCTCAATGAACAAGAAGCTCAATGAACAGAAGCAGCTTGAGGAACAGAAGCAGCTCAAGGAACAGAATCAGCTGAAGGAAGAGAAGCAGCTGAAGGAAGAGAAGCAGCTTGAGGAACAGAAGCAGCTCGAGGAACAGAAGCAGCGTGAGGAATAAAAGCAGCTGACGGAAGAGAAGCAGCTTGAGGAAGAGAAGCAGCTTGAGGAACAGAGGCAGCTTGAGGAAGAGAAGCAGCTTGAGAAACAGAAGCAGCTCAATGAACAGAGGCAGCTGAAGGAAGAGAAACAGCTGAAGGAACAGACGCAGCTTGAGGAACAGAAGCAGCTTGAGGAACAGAAGCAGCTTGTGGAACAGAAGCAGCTGAAGGAACAGAAGCAGCTCAATGAACAGAAGCAGCTGAAGGAAGAGAAGCAGCTTGAGAAACAGAAGCAGCTTGAGGAACAGAAGCAGCTTGAGGAACAGAAGCAGCTGAAGGAACAGAATCAGCTCAAGGAACAGAAGTAGCTGAAGGAACAGAATCAGCTCAAGGAACAGAAGCAGCTGAAGGAAGAGAAGCAGCTTGAGGAACAGAAGCAGCTTGAGGAACAGAAGCAGCTTGAGGAACAGAATCAGCTCAAGGAACAGAATCAGCTGAAGGAAGAGAAGCAGCTGAAGGAAGAGAAGCAGCTTGAGGAACAGAAGCAGCTCAATGAACAGAAGCTACTTAAGAAACAGAAGCAGCTTGAGGAACAGAAGCAGCTGAAGGAACAGAAGCAGCTTAGGGAACAGAAGCAGCTTGAGGAACAGAAGCAGCTTGAGGAACAGAAGCAGCTGAAGGAAGAGAAGCAGCTGAAGGAACAGAAGCAGCTTAGGGAACAGAAGCAGCTTGAGGAACAGAAGCAGCTGAAGAGAAGCAGCTTGAGGAACAGAAGCAGCTTGAGGAACAGAAGCAGCTGAAGAGAAGTGGCTTGAGGAACAGAAGCAGCTTAGGGAACAGAAGCAGCTTGAGGAACAGAAGCAACTTCAAAAGCCACAGGAGCTGCTCTTTCGTCGAGTCTCAAGACTCTTTCAGCAAGTGTCCTGCAATGGGATGTTGCTCACTTGCATTCACGAGCATCAATAATCCGTACAGCTTCACGAGATGGATTCAATAAACCATCATCCAATTATCTTCTAACCACCTCATCGCCATATACAGGATCCCTGTTTGTCATACATCAAACCATGAATTGAAATTTAACATGTGAAATTATGTAAGAGGTCACATTGCCGCTGCACCGGTTTTCATCTTACAGCAGTCAGGGTGATCCGTTTATAGAATAAAATACGGATACATTATGGAGCAGCGTTCTTTACTAATTTTCACGGGGGGGGGGGGGGGTGGGCACTTTGGCCGATAAGACATCGTCAATGTGAGGGCCGCCACATTTGAAACCATTGGGTTTGGCAGCATGATGGGGGTGTGCTCACATGTTGAGTATTGTCGGGGGCCGCGCTAAAGGCCACCAGGGGCCGCCAGTGGCCTGCGGGCCTTGCAATGAAGAACACTTGTCGAGAAAACACATTCCTGCGGAGGGAGCTGGTACGAACGTTGGGTTGCTCGGTCAATGGCCAGGGTCAACGGCGGCACCACGTGGTGTATTCCGCAAATATGCCCGACTGTGAGGGCGGGCACAAGCCGGCGTGAGTAGGTGAAACGTTGAGTTTTATAAGGGCACCACGGGGTGACCAGCCCCTCCCCACCCAGCCCCACCCCTCCCACCCCCCACCCAGCCCCACCCTCCCCACCCAGCCCCTCCCCACCCTCCCCACCCAGCCCCTCCCCACCCAGCCCCACCCCTCCCACCCCCCACCCTCCCCACCCAGCCCCTCCCCACCCTCCCCACCCCAGCCCCTCCCCACCCTCCCCTCCCCACCCAGCCCCTCCCTCCACCACCCTCCCCTCGCCACCCAGCCCCACCCCTCCCATTTTTGGATGCACGACGGACGAACGGACACAATAATCCCCTGTGGGCTGGTAGTGTAACCAGGAGGTTCCTACCAGTAACATTTTGTTTAAAAGCCTCTACATAGCCCCAACCAGTATCAACGCACGTGTTACATTTTATTCCCAAGTTATCGGGTCATAGCGTTCACATCGTTCAGTCAAATGTTGATCTTATAAATGTTACAGCGAGCAATATCCCGCCGATTTAAAACTGTATTCGTTATCTACTTTGGAATGGTGATGAGTAAATGTAAGTATCCGAATTCACCGTACGATGCTCTTTCTTGCCTCTACAATAATTTTAAGTCTGATCCGCCTTCAATAATTCCACTTCATAATAGGGTCGTTAAACAATTATCATATAGCCTGATGCACAGGTGCCCAAGGAGTCCTTGAATAACACGAGTTTATGCTCGCTGGACACGGCATTTGTTAGACGGTGGGAAATAATTACAATGCCGAGTGTGAGGGAATTAGCAATACAAAGGTTGTATCCTAAAATATAATGAAATACGGTTTGGAATAAAGGATGGTGGAGAGGCGGAAGTCTTCCCGATGATGAAATATCTAGGAAAATTAATAAGGATGCATAGGATGATCATGACGAGGGCATAGGTGGTGATAGCGATTCTTCAGAATATATTTACGAATGAAGTTTAATGTTGATGGGTACAAATGCATAGGCCGATAGAGCGGCGAGTGAGCGAACCATGTCTAAACTAAAACGTTTTACCAGGTAAGGCCACCTGAGCTATATACCTCTTCTTCAGAAGCGACCTGGTCACAAGTGATAGCTTTCACGAAGTGGCTAATCACGTGCAAATGTATAGCAGGCAAATGCTCTAAACGCACCGTTTCTCTAAATGTGGAGGGAAAAACCGGAGAAAAATCCACGCGACCACCGGGTCGGGATGGAACCCACGACGTCCTGTATACCGGGAGAGGGAGTGAACATCTCCTAGCCACCGTGTCGCAAATAGATGGCCTCAACCCCAAGGCCCAAGTACAAAAACCATCATGTTATATGTATATATAAGTATGTTATATGTATGTATATATAAGCATGTTATATGTATGTATATGTAAGAATGTTATATGTACGGATATGTAAGAATGTAATATGCATGTATATGTTAATAATGTTCTATGTATGTATATGCAAGAATGTTATATGTATGTATTTGCAAAAATGTTATATGTACATATATGCAATAATGTTATATATGTATATCTTAGAATGTTATATGTATGCAAATGTAAGAATGTTGAATGTATGTATATACAAGAATGTTATATGTATGTATATGTAAGAATGTTATATGTATGTATATGCAATAATGTTATATACATGTATATGTAAGAATGTAAATGTGTAATGTATATGTATGCATGTTACATGTATGCGTATGTAAGGATGTTATATGTTTGTATATGCAAGAATGTTATATGCATGTATTTGTAAGAATATTATGTGTATGTATATGTAGGAATGTTATATGTATTTCTTTGTAAGAATGTTACATGTATGTATTTGTTAGAATGTTGTATGTATGTATATGTAAGAATGTTATATGTATGTATATGTAGAATGTTATGTGTATGTGTATGTAAGAAAGTTATATGTATGTATATGTAAGAATGTTGTATGTGGTTTTTTTTCTTAACTTCAAAAGGTGAAGCTCCGAATTGTGCTTGTTCGTGGCTTACGTGGCAATGTATAGCGGCAGGCAAGTACTCTAAACGCGTGATGTTGATTCTGAATGTGGAGGGGGAAACCCAAGGACCCAGAGAAAAATCCGTCCGGACAGAGAGAGAGAGAGACACACACACACATAAACTTTAAATATACAGCAGGCGTTAGGGTCGAGATCGAACCCACGACCTCATGCATACCAGGAGAGGTGAACGCGTGTTGAGTCTATATGTGGAGGGGAAAACCGGAGAGACCCGGACATCGCGCGACAACATCACATCCTCATCCCACCCCCCCCCCTCCCTGGTCGTTACCACCTCCTCGTACTCCGCACCTTCCGTTGCTGCCCCCAACCAACCCCACTGCCAGCCCCGTTCTCATCACCCACGGTAGTCACCATCAAATTGTCCCTGCTGCATCGTCTTCCTCACCCTGCTCATCAGGAGCCGTCTCCGTTACGCGTTCTTTGTTGGTTCCATCATCTACAAGTCGTTTAAACGTCGTCTCCGTCGTCATCGCCACCGCCTGCCACATTCGCAGTCGGATCGAAGCCACCTTTCCTCGCCCCTCCATCCCCCGCCATCGCCTTTAAGTACTCAAAGATGGGATCGATAGCAGTCCAAGGAGCCCTTTCGTGAAACGGCGTTCCTGTGGTAATTGGAAGAAATGTTGAGTTGGAAGTTAAGATCAAGTGCAGTGGCATTTTGGTTGAGTGGTTCATGATGGCCACATCAGAGTCGTCTCTGGGCTGGCTCTGATGAGATACTTGTTTTCAAAACCTGGGTCTGGGTCTCTCTCTCAAGGGGTTAAAAAAAGACTCAAATTCATTCAACCAGGTGTAGTGAATTGACGGCTTAAACTCGCAATTGACTGCGCAAAAAGAAAACACATAAAAGTAAAGTTTTCACTTTAGCCAAGTTCAAGTGTGAGTGTGTTAAAGTTATAAATATTGATTGACATCAACCCGGTACACTCGAGATCCCAGACCACGTGGGAGTGGGTGACTGGAATTGCCAATCATCGACCTGTTTTTTTTATCGGTGTGTCTTACCTGCTTTGAACGTGGGTAAGTAAACGTGGACATTGACAAACGCCAACAAAAATGTGAAGAGTGTGCAAACAGAAGCGCGGTAGAATTGCACGCTTGAAATTACATTCAGAGACGGAAAAAGAGAAACCGTGGAATAGAGAACGCAAGTTGAAGAGACGTGAGAAGGAGAAAACGGAGAGAACATGCCAGAGAGGATGTCGACCGATGAAAGTAGCTCGTGTGGCGCTGCAAGATTTATTGTTGTGTTACGGAACCATAGGAGAGAAGCCATCATCCAGCAGTGGGTGGATCATGGTGATGGGTGATGATAACTTAGGATCTGAGCTGTCAGCTCAAGTGTTTCATGCATGGCCATGATTAAACCACTGAGAAACTCGTCAATGTTATGATTCTACAAGTAGATGTGTGTGTGTTGGTTACTCACCAGCAGAGCGTAGGGAACTGTCATCTGCATGAATTCTGGTGTTCAGTTTCTTTGAACTTCTAACCCAGTGAACACTAAACTGTAGAAATATAAATCGCACGTTAATCCGTGTAAGGACAAAAGTTCCCCCGTATAGACTTAACAGACTGTAGGGGCAAGTGCTGTTAGCGAGCAGCACCTATGAAGTCCGGCACAGCATACGACGGGATGGGTAGCCAGCATCACGCCCGATCGCCTTTGTCTCCCGACTGGCGATGTTTACACATTACACCAGGTGTTCAGTTGAGGCTGAGTCAACCTAGGGGAGGCCCAGCACCAGTTCAGATAATCGTCACTGGTGTTGGCCACGAGCGAGGATCGAACTCGGGCTGCCGGATACGTGGCGCTACGTGCTCACTGCTACACCACCGCTTCTATGCAGGTCGACATACACGCACACACACACACTTCCCACATATAAAAACTCAGCAAACACTCGTTAATTGTACACAGGACTGGCAGTAGAATGTTATTAGGCGGTTAAGAGTGCCGTTCTCACCGTTTTGAACCAGCGCACGACATTTTGATTGCTCAGATACAACCTATGGACGGAGTCTGCAAAGGCCACTGCTGATAACTTGTTCAGAACATCTGGGCGATTGTTGATCTGTTGCCCACACACACACAACACACGTGTTATTACACACACGTACATGTACAGCCCTTCTGCCAATCCACCGCTGCATAAGGGCCTCCTCATCTCGTGCGGGTCGTTGGCGTTGTTTGACCATACTTCACCAGGCTGGTCAGTGCGGGTTGTGAATGTGCGAAGCACAGAAGTGGATGCATAGAAGTACGGTACAACATATGGATATTGCTGCGCTGCCGACTGCTGACCGCCACGTTACCCCGCAGCCGCCTATGACACCTGTTATGCACGGTGGTCACCCATCCAATCGCAATCCAGGCTAAAAACCTGCTGAGCTTCCTGAATCCGAAGAGCCGTGAATTTGAGAAGGGGGCCACTTTGGTCAACGTGAGGGCCCCCACACCCGCTTGCAAGGGTGGTGTTTCCACTCGTGGTGTTTCCACTCGTTGTGTATTGTATTGTGTCGCGGGGGGGGGGGGGCACGTCAGGGGCCGCACTAAAGGCCACCAGGGACCGCAAGTGGCCCGCGGTGCTTGCAATGAAGAACACTGCGCTACAGTTTCATATCGGACTGTTTTCACGGGGGTCATCATGCACCCCCCCCCACCATCACCCCCGGTTATGCATTGATGGGGGAATGGACGAACGGACGGAGCTCACGCACCGGAGCGAAATCGTGAACAAGAAACCAGGAGCTTTTGTAAAAGTTGATCAAGCGTCCGAACGCGAGCAAAAAGCGGGCGCATCGAATTAACCTCACCAGGTTCACAACGGCCGCGCCTCCGTAGCTAAAAGCCACCACGAATATTTTTTTCGCTACGGACTTGTCCACAAAGTGCTTCCAAACGTACTTCACGTGCTCCTCCGGGCTTTCGTTGCCCTGGGAGGGGAGACGACGGGGTCAGAACGCGTCTACGGAAAACCTCCATTGCCACTGAATTTCCGCGCCGGGTTTGTACAACTTTGACATCAATGTCAAAAGCGTCTCCCTGCTCAACAAAAAAAAACGATGATTGAAATTATTATTTGGAGATGATGATGATGATGATTACACACGAATAATGACGTCGATGATAACGATTATGATACAGGAAATAATTTAGTCAATCTGACAAAGATGATTTTGACAGTGACGACTGAGATGACAATGCTGGTACTGATGAAGATAACAATCATGATGATGATGGTGATGCAATGACTTTGTAATCCGACCGGTGTATTGCTCATTGCCTCTCACCTTGACGGAGTGATATTTCCTACGCCAACTTTGCCAAATGCTCCCCGTCACCGAGTCGCTCGAAGCGTTGGCGTCCGTGGATTTGGACTGCGGACGCTGGCATCGTGAACAACGCAACGACAGGATCAGCGCCGGGATCAGGGAGATTCATCATCAGCATCGTCATCATCGTCACGATCCAAGGACAGATAGCCCGCAGGTGTCCGCTGCACATTTCGTCATTTGTTTCAATTTTCCTCTTTCTTGTGCCAATGTGCTCAAGCGATAGCCACATATTTCTGGCGCCAATCTCTCCCGTCGTCGTCAAGCCTGTCTCTGTCAGGTCTTCCTCTCTTTCGGTCCCGAACAACAACACTTTTCATTTACCTCTTGTTGTCCACCCGACACGTGTGTCCAAATAATGCAAGTTGCCTTCTCATCACTGCCGGGGAGATTGCGTAACATCAACTCCTTCTCTCAGTTACGATTCGAGAGGCAAAGGCCCAGAGGTCATTGCGGGTGACACCACAGCTCGCCATCACTTCCTTTCCTCCTGCCCGATCCCTCTACTGGTGGACAGCTGACACCCGACTTCCAGCAGCTGGTGATGTGGTGGTGGTCATTGCGGGCGACACCACAGCTCGCCATCACTTCCTTTCCTCCTGCCCGATCCCTCTACTGGTGGACAGCTGACACCCGACTTCCAGCAGCTGGTGATGTGGTGGTGGTGTTGTGATGGTGGTAATATTTGTGGTGGTGGTGGTGAAAAGTGGTTGTGGGAGTTAAAGACAAAGATCTCCCGTATAGCCTTTGTCTTTGTTAGTTACAGGCAGACCTCGCTTAGCGCTCAAGATGCGTTCCTGGTGAAGTGAGCGCTTATAGAATCGGCACTATAAGGGGTCATTGTACCATTGTACATGTGGGGATGCATTCCTGACAGCGTGATTTCCTTCGTATGAGCAATAAATGAGGGCTTCAGTGGGTTATCGGCAATAGCGCTAATAATAATACGGTTAAATTTTGATTTAAAGCTTTCGTGACTGCAGTAATTCATATTCTTAGTTTTTTCGGTAAAGTCACGTTGAAGAGAAACAACAGAATAACAAAATATATATAAAACAATAAAAAATTCTCACGACGTTTCGACCATAACTCAAACGGTCATCATCAGGTGTGTCGGTTTGCATAAATTTATTTTTAAAACGGCATATTTATTTATAAAAAAAAATAACGTTTGCGTCACGCGCAGCAATTGGCAGTTTGCCCAGGACTAGTCCATCTATTTTTTGAAAAGAGGAGGGGGGAGACGAAATTTGTTTTTATGTATGCTGTCTGAAAGCCACTGTAAGCGTGAACAATCAATCAAGAACTGAAATGATTTATCAAATCTTTCCAATGATTGCTAAGATAGAATCCATCTTCTCGGTTGAAATTGTCTCTGTGCTTGTATATGTGGATAGCCTCATGAACGAATCTCTCATGGAAGCCAGATGGCTTACAAAGAACCTCCGTCTTGGAAAAGTCAATGGCATGTGAGCCTACTGAATTAGAACAATGATCTGCTACGGCCGAGGTGTTGGTCCTACCGTGTTTAAGGTCTGCTTTATGTTCACGAATGCGGTCCGAGATATGGCGTTTGGTTTCTCCAATGTAACTACTACCACAGAGGCAACTTAGTTTGTAGACACCAGGGTATTGTATGTCCGGAATCACATCTTTTACAGACGGAACCAGATCACGGATTTTATGTAATGTGTTGAAACGAACCTGGATCTTGTGTTTATTCAAGATTTTGGAGATCTTTTTTGTGATCCCAGCAATGTAGGGTAAAGTGATGGTTTTGAAAGGCTCCTCAAGAGGGTTCTTCTTCATGGTTTGAGTGATAGCTTTGCGGATTGTATAGTCATAGTAACCATTAGCCCTAAGAGCTTGGTGTACGTGCTTGAGTTCACTGCTTATGTGTTCCTGGTCGGATATGCATTGGGCTCTATGATACAGAGTCTTGATGAGAGAATTCTTCTGTGATGGATGGTGGTGGGAATCCGGTTTCAGATAAGCATCCGTATGGGTAGCTTTCCTGTAGACAGAGTGGCTCATTGAACCATCAGGTCTCTTTTTAATTAGAAATTTGAGACTGACGCCATCCAGACTGCCACTCTGCGCCCAACCTTATGGAAGAGGTACGTGGATGACACTTTTGTCATCTGGCCACATGGCCGGCCTGCTCTAGACCAATTCTTCGACCACATCAATTCCATACACCCAGCCATCAGATTTACCATGGAAGTCGAAATAGATGGCAAGATACCTTTTTTGGATGTCCTAATTAAAAAGAGACCTGATGGTTCAATGAGCCACTCTGTCTACAGGAAAGCTACCCATACGGATGCTTATCTGAAACCGGATTCCCACCACCATCCATCACAGAAGAATTCTCTCATCAAGACTCTGTATCATAGAGCCCAATGCATATCCGACCAGGAACACATAAGCAGTGAACTCAAGCACGTACACCAAGCTCTTAGGGCTAATGGTTACTCCGACTATACAATCCGCAAAGCTATCACTCAAACCATGAAGAAGAACCCTCTTGAGGAGCCTTTCAAAACCATCACTTTACCCTACATTGCTGGGATCACAAAAAAGATCTCCAAAATCTTGAATAAACACAAGATCCAGGTCCGTTTCAACACATTACATAAAATCCGTGATCTGGTTCCGTCTGTAAAAGATGTGATTCCGGACATACAAATACCCTGGTGTCTACAAACTAAGTTGCCTCTGTGGTAGTAGTTACATTGGAGAAACCAAACGCCATATCTCGGACCGCATTCGTGAACATAAAGCAGACCTTAAACACGGTAGGACCAACACCTCGGCCGTAGCAGATCATTGTTCTAATTCAGTAGGCTCACATGCCATTGACTTTTCCAAGACGGAGGTTCTTTGTAAGCCATCTGGCTTCCATGAGAGATTCGTTCATGAGGCTATCCACATATACAAGCACAGAGACAATTTCAACCGAGAAGATGGATTCTATCTTAGCAATCATTGGAAAGATTTGATAAATCATTTCAGTTCTTGATTGATTGTTCACGCTTACAGTGGCTTTCAGACAGCATACATAAAAACAAATTTCGTCTCCCCCCTCCTCTTTTTCAAAAAATAGATGGACTAGTCCTGGGCAAACTGCCAATCGCTGCGCGTGACGCAAACGTTATTTTTTTTATAAATAAATATGCCGTTTTAAAAATAAATTTATGCAAACCGACACACCTGATGATGACCGTTTGAGTTATGGTCGAAACGTCGTGAGAATTTTTTATTGTTTTATATATATTTTGTTATTCTGTTGTTTCTCTTCAACGTGACTTTACCGAAAAAACTAAGAATATAATAATATGGTTGGTAAACATAAATTTCGTAAGTAGCAATAATTATGTATTAAAATTACACGAGCAAGTATTATGTACTTTAATTGCGAGTGCATTCTACTGCTGCGCTGCCAGTCAGATAACGTCTCCAGGACCTCATCCGCGATCTTCGTGATGCCCTTGGTCTACATTTCTGCGGTGAGGTGTCTTGAAGTTGGCACCAACCTGGCCTGGCGACTTCTCGCCTGGCTAAACTAATCGTTTTTTTTTCATAAAAAAAAATGTAATCGTGACTGCGAAACGCGATTATCGAATCGTCTGATTGGCTCAGAGCCGTGCGTCGCTCCCGCTGGCTGAGCGAACGATGGTGGCGGGGTACGTGACCTCGGCCACAGCTGCTGCGCGTTCTCACTCGTGAGCGCTAAGCGAGGTCTGCCTGCGTAGTGCTATGGCAGCGGTAGTCGTGAATTGTGGTGGTGTTTGTCTCGACTCAGCCTCAAACGAGTACCTGGTACGGTGCGTAAAAATATCCTACGCCGTGCCGGCCTTCAGAGGTGCCCGCTAACAGCGCTTGCCCCACCAGTCTGTTCAGGCTACACGGGGGATCTTTGTCTTGTCTTAATCATTGGTGTTTGTCTTGGACGCGGTAGTTGTATTTGTAGCTGTGGTGACGGTCGGGGTAAAGTTTAGATGGACGTTGAACTTCTTTCGCACCGTACATTTGCCAACTGTGCTCATCGGAGATGCGGTCTGGGTGAATGAGGTGACATTAATAGCGGCGGTGGTGGTAATTCTGGTGATCTGTGGTGGCTGTAAAGAACAAAAGTAATGATAATGAAGTCAGACTCAGGGGCGTCTCTCTGCCGCAGCGAGCGAGGGGAGCGGCGTGCGGGCGAGACGCCGTGAGGTTTCCAGGTTCGCGAGCAACGCCCGTTGGCTCCAGGTCACACAGCCCACACCTTCTTGTCGGCCTCCATCCTCTTTCTCTCCCTCTCCAGCCTCCCTCCGTCAATGCGGTTGTCGTTGGGGTTCAGCACCACGACACCGTACCCTTCCTGCGGAGAGGGGAGTCAGGTCGTCGCACTATGTTACGGGTGATATTGACATCCTCCGTCTTCGCGATTGAATTCCTCCATCATACCCTGGGACATCTTTACTCCTTTGACTGACAGTCGCTCTCCCGTCTTGACCACAAATGCATTCTTCTTCACGTAACCAAAGGCCTGCGTGCGTCTGAGAGCCGGACCTTAAAGCAGTAACGAAGAAAAGAGGCTTCTGGCTGATTTAGATGCGAGGGATTCCGTCGCAGTAACTTGCAAGTTCTGAATAGAATGTGGCAGGAAGGTGTAGTAGATAGAATCAGGAAGAGGAGTTTGTGAATTGTGGGCTGCTGGATGTGGGGGTTGAGGAGGGTAGGTTATCGAGACAAGCATTGTAGTGGCACCCCCTGCGGATGGTGACCCAACAATTATCTGGTAATCACCACCATCACGGCTGAAGTGCACAACGGTCCCAGCCCCAGTTACCTTCATGGCTCGCTTAATGTAGGGGATCTGAGTGCCGGAGTCGAGGCAGTCGTTGATGATGAGCCTCCGAGCCCACTGGCCGGCCCGCACCACTCCGCTCCCGTGAACGAGCAGCAGCAGCTTCTCCTGCTGCAGAGCCCCGGGGCTCATGAAGATGAAGCTGAAGGGTTCATTGTCATTGATGGCTTCGACCTGCAAACCCCGAGCACCCGCCGGAGAAATGTCCGTCTATTGTTTGTATACGCCAATAGAAACTAGCCTGTCCCTCTACTTGTCCAGAGACCCCCATCAGAGACCAGCCTGTTGGGCTATTGTCCAGGACTGGTCTCACAACTCGACAGCAATTTAACAATTAATCAGAACCAATCATATTTATACTGGAGGATTCCGATAAGCTATGATGTTTTTTTTCACGGATGTCCAATGAAGCAGAAGATACAGTGGTACATTACGCATCAATGTAGAGGATACATAAACTGTGTATGTTTCACACTCACAGGAACGTAATGCTTTTCCAGTCCATATTCCTTCACCAGAAGTTCGTACACATGCTCGGTTATGACCTAGAAATTGACACAAGACAACATCACAAGATTGTTGGCATTTCCCGCTGGCCATTTTCCGTGTCAAGCTATATGGAAAGCTCCCCTCACCCCTCCACTCCATCCCATCCCTCCCCTACCCTTGTGATCCCTAAATATCTCTCTATCACTGTCACTCATTCCCCGACCCTGGGATGCCTCTGATAACTACATCATTACATTGCCACCGTTTTGTAAGTTATGTTAAACTTTAACTTTGTATTTTACCAGGTAAGGCCCACTGAGCTATGTAGCTCTTATTCAGAAGCAACCTGGCCACGCATGATAGCTCAACGAAGTGGCTTATCATGTGGAAAAATATATCAGCCAAATACTCTAAACGCATCATTCTAAATGTAGAGGGAAAACCCGTAGGACACGGAGAAAAATCCACGCGACCAGGGGGAGAACACGCAAACCCCAAATATGCAGCAGGCACCAGAGTCGGGATCGAACCCACGACCTCCTGCATACCAGGCGACGTAGTTAACATCTCATAGCCACCGTGGCGCCTTGACTGAAGGCGTGCTATAAATATAAATTAGATTAGACTTTATGGCAGTCTAGTTGGGCTGGCATCACTAACCTGACTCGAGATCGCGGGTGGCGAAAATCCAGAAATGAAATCCAGGATCTCGGCGGTGCTGGGTCATTTATTTGTTTTTGTAAAATCGGTGAAAATTCCATCCCCCCGGCGGTGCCTTACCTCTCCCAGTGCCTCGTAACGCCGCTGGTCACGACTCCCACTGCCATAAAAGTTGTACTTAAAGCATGACCCATCCCGAGTGCTTCTGAGCTGCCCTTCTAGAGGCAAAGACAAAGAACACCCGCGGGGCCTCAGCAGACTGTAGGGGCAAGTGCTGTTAGCGAGCACTGATGAAGGCCGGCACGGCACACGAAAGGGTGGGTGGGCCAGCAACCACGCCCGGCCGCCTTTGTCTCCACAGTTGGAGATGTTTACACATCCGCACCAGGTACTCATTTTAGGCTGAGTCGACCTAGGGGAAACCCAGGACCTGATCAGATAATCGTCACTGATGTTCGTGGCCGAACTCGGGGCGCCGGGTTCGTAGCGCAGAGCATGAACCGCTGCACTACCCCATGGGGCCTCCTTTGCCAGGACCAAAATATGAGAATAGGTTTTTTCCCTTTTTTCTGGTAACAAAACAGGTGTTGGGATGTTAAAACACCAAACTGAAACCTTTTTACAAGGAATCATGTCTGCATTAACCACAATGCTTGTGGTCAGAATGCAAACAAAAACCATGCTCTGATAATATGATGCCTTGTCCTTGAAACTGCTGGTCCACACCAGAGACAGCTTTCTTTTGAGCCTCGTCTGAAAACGGTGTTAAACCAGAGGACGCCAAAATGCGTCCCTGTTTCACTGCACTACCGTTCATTATTTGAATTTCTGATATAATAATGAGGGGAACTGACCTAACACGCAGGTGAATATCATTACGAGGCCTGAACCAGAGGAACTCAGTACGTCGAAAGGCTACTTCAGCAATGAGGAGCTGATAATCCTGTATACACCTGCAGTCACATACACATTTACTCAGAATCAAAATCTGTATTAATCCTGGAGGAATCTGATGAGCTATGAAGCTCTTTTTCACAGATGCCCAGTACGGGCGGGTCAGCAAAGTTACTTTGTTTGCAGCGGTATGATTTTTCACGATACCAGTTTTCACAATGTATGTTGAACTTCTTTCGCACCATACGTAGCCAACCGTGTTAATCATTACAATGATATCGGTTTCCCGTAACCGGAATATACTTCAAGTATATATTTACAAATTAATTAAAGGTCTACAACTTCAGTTTACCCAAATATAGTTCACAAGGTGTTCATCTCCGTTGGTTGTGCTGAGCCAGAAGTGGAAATTCCACATAACTGTGGAGGCAGCCAGACTCTATGTAGGGGTGGTTACACACACACTGGTCAGTATGGGTTGGATGAACGGGAGTCCAGGACCGGCTCATATATCGCTCGCCAATTATAGTAACCATGTTCGGGAATCAAACTCCGGTGGCTGGGTTCGTAGTGGAGTGTGCTACCGACTGCGCCACCATTCCCCTCATAACAAACACATTACATCTCTTCTACGTAACATGCATAACACACGTAATAAACGTAGCGCAGTTACATTACCTCTATTGAACTCGTATCCAAAATCCGCTGTCGTCTGATAATTCGCGAACTCATCCTCCGTCGAGTCTGGAGAGCGGGAGGCATAACAACACACAGAAACAACAGCAGTTTTAAAGGAGGGAATATTTTTTTAAAAACTCTACCGTGAAGGCTGAACATTCACGGCCAATGTAAACACCTCCGATTAGCACGAGTTGGCCACGTGCGGTGCGAAATAAACTCAACATACGTACATATACAAACACGAGCTAAACAATTCACGTACAAGTTCTCTAAACGAAGCAAAGTATTGTTGGAGGGGGAACAACTGGAAAACATTGTTAATCCATCGGCACTGTGCACCTATTGAAAGGTGGATCTCGATCAAAAAGTTTCAAACCGTGCTCTTGCTCGCGTACATACAATCAACAACACGTCAGTAATACTTTGTGCGGGGAAAAAAAAACACTCTGGTTGTTCTACGGACTGACCCTTGCCATGGGAATGTGGAATATCCCGCCCCCCCACTTGCTGCAGGCTGCCAGTGAGGCCGAACTCCTGCGAGCAGGGAGGCGCATTGCCACGATGCGTCCGTTACCCAGGGAAGTCTCACCGGGTTGCAAGACTTTTTTTGTGCAGGAGGGTCCCGCTACATTGAGATGGTTGGAATGTTCCGCGTTGTACGGTGCTTGACAGTGCAGCGCACTGCACAAACAGGTCAGCAACCTACTTGGGGTACTGCCTCCTAACGGCGCCCTCTCTGATCGCGCACGAAGGTGAAGTCCCTAACACAAATGACAACGCGGGTGGGCCAGCCGTAAACCCACGTGCCTGTGACCCCGCGCACCAGCCAAATCGCTGGCCAACTAAGACTCGGTACAACGTAGACGTTACCCACGGGAGAAACCGGAGGGTGTTGATGTGCTCCGAGTGGCGTGGAGATGCCGGGTAAATAAACGACGATTGGAAAAAGTTCGTACCAAAAAGTTGCCGGAAAATTTTTTTCATGCCAGCCATGAAAGTCCTTCCCTTGTCCCTTCTTGTTCCACTGCAAAATAAAAGACAAAATATTCCCTGTGTAGACTTGACGGACCGTTTGGGACAAGCGCTGTTCGCGAGCACCTATGAAGGCCGACACGGCACAGGAGGGTGGTGGGTGGCCAACACCACACCCGGCCGCCTTTGTCACCCTAGTGGCGATGTTTACACACGGCACCAGGTGCTCAGTTGAGGCTGAGTCGACCTAGGAGAGGCCCAGTACCGGTTCACATAATTATCACTGGTGTTGGCCATGAGCCGGGAATGAAACTCGGGCGTCCGAGTTTGTAGCGCAGTGCGCTGACTGCAACACCACCGCTCACCACTGCAAAATAGACACAACACCCACACCAAAGGTCAAACTCCATGTTTACGCTTAACAATTTACAGTCGTTTCGTTTTCTTTGTACGTCGAAATCCATCATACATTTACCCATCAGTCACCGTTTCATGCGGTATATTTGATACGGTATTCAATCATTCACGTGTTTAGAATTTCATCACCAAGTTGTCAATGAGTCTCCGAGTTCAAACGAGTGCTGGACGGTGCTGTTCTTCCTGTGTTGGAGGGCCTCGGGCCAACGATGGAAATTCCACATTCCCCGAACAGAAGACATGGATGGCATAACGCGTTTATGTTCTAGTCCCAATCTACAAAGTGCTTGCCCCTATCCACGCTGGTCAGTGCTGGCTTATGAAAGCTGGGGAGGGGGGGCGGGGGCATAAGGCGATGGTAGAATAGAAGTGCAGTACAACTTTGGATGTTGCTGTGCTGCCTTCTCCCGCTGACTACCACGTGGGGCCCTGCCGCTGCCGCCTATGGCACCTGTTACGCACGGGTGCTGTTCTCCCCATCCCAGCAAGCAACTATCCAGGCGCAAAACCACCTGCTTAGCTTGCGAGATCTGGCGATATCGGGTTGCATTCCTTGTGATTGTTGCCGTGCATGCAGAGCCGTGGTACCGGAGATAAATAAAGAATGAAATGCGTACACAAACCTGTCAACCCCTGATCAGTGCCCCCTACCTCATTACAGACCAATTCAGACCTTGTTGGTCACCCCGTGGCCCTTATAAAATCTCAACGTTTATCCTACAAAGTCCCATCACAAGGGAGAAACTTAAGCAAATATAAAACAAAAATTATGTTTAGTTTTTTGCCTGTATTGAAACGGCATGGACCTTAAAAGCAAACTGCCCTGTACAAGAATACAGGGTAAACCGTATGGGTTGACAGGTATGGTAGTGTAGTGTCTATAATACATGTCAATCCCTTATCAGTGCCCTACCTTATTACGGACCAATTCAGACCTCATTGGTCACCCCCGTGCCCCTTATACATCTCAACGTTTATCCTACAAAGTCCCATCACAAGGGAGAAACACAAGCAAATATAAAAACAAATTTTGCTCAACAAAAACTATTTTGCGTATCAATTTTAATAATTGGTGTCAATGATGCTACTTATCATGCCATACTGTCTGTGATCTTGCATGCTGATACTGTCCCACGAATTTTTTTTGCCCGTATTGATACTGTGGACCTGAAAACTAAATTTTCCCTGTACGAGAATACGGCGTTAAACCGTCTGGTTCGACACGCTGTGGGCACATTGTAAACAACCCAGCAGTCAGCCTGAACGAACCTGTCGGACAAGTGCCCTACAGTAGAGCACGTCCGATTTTCGAGCGCCTATTTTCCACAAATAGTATCTGGCAATGCTGCTGCTGCTGCTGCGTTGGCATTGGTGCGACAAACACAGATGTATAAACTAAGCAAAAACAGCTCAAAACGTTCGTCAAATGATGGCTGTGTGTTAGTTTGTTGTCCACCAACTCCCCCCGTGCGCACCTCCGATTGGACACGGTTGGCTACGTACGGTGCGAACGAAGTCCAAAATGCAGTACATACAAGAATACTGTGTGTGTGGCCTTCAAAGGAGAATATATAACAGGCGATGTTTGGGGAAATTCACCTTTTTTTTACACGCTTTCTTTTAACTCACTCTGTTGTTGTATCCTCAAGTCTTGTAACTCAATTTTAACCCACTTACCAATGTGATATCGACTGCAAACTTGGTATACTTATGTCATACTGATGACAATACTATATTCTATCATAAAAAATATATTTTTTTAAACATTATTTTTTATATGTTATGTTTCGGCTTGGGTATAATTGTCCACGCTCAACTGACGTTACGGCAAGCTTCGGGGGTCACTTCCTGGAGTCGTGGAGTTCTGCAATTACTGGTACATTTCATGAAAGCGTGTTTTAAAAAAAAGTGTTTTAAATATTACTTATTTATAGCACATACCAACGCTTTAACTTTGCATCGATAACGTTGCACAGACGTCGGTACACACACAATGCGTCATTGATGAGTACTAATGCACTTGAGGGACTTCCAAGGCTTTCTTGTGTGGGGTGGCCTTCATCCAGCAGTGGATAAGCAATGGCTGACAACGATGATCATCACAATGGACTTTGTGTAACAGGGCGGTCCAGGTGTCTTGTGACCCCCCCCCCCCTATTCATTGACCCCTAACATTTTAGTTTTGTATTTCCTTTGCATACTCATTTCTGTTTTAAATAAACCTTACGTTTGAGATAATTAAATTGGGGTCACAATACATCTGAACCTACTTGTACATGATATATATATAAACAAATACACATTCTTTATGTAAATGCGGTAACGAGGTTAATTTGCAATTTACGACAAGAGCAATAACAAGTTACCCCATTCCGCCACTCAGTCTTTTTTAAACCTGACCTCCGGGCGCGGCAAGTTGAATCAATTGGCAGGTAAGCACCACCACCCGCCACCACCACCCATCACCACCACACGCCACCACCACCCATCACCACCACACGCCACCACCACCCATCACCGCCACCCACCACCACACGCCACCAACCTCCACCACCCACCACACGCCACCCACCACCGCCACCCACCACCCGCCACCACCACCCACCACCACACGCCACCACCACCACACACCACCACCACCCACCACCACACGTCACCACCACCCACCACCACCGCCACCACCACCCGCCACCACCACCCGCCACCACCACCACAATAGTCGCGGGGGTGTAAAGTGTTGTGAGTATTTCCCACCTCTGGCCAGCGTGGCTCGAGCCGGCCAAATGCCACCCGGAGCACCGATGAACCTACGGTGACACGTGGTGCTATCTGCACCAACAGTTCTATCGTGCGGTAATCACGACAGCACACACACACATTGTACATGTACAGCGTGATGGGACGTCAATCCACTGCTGGATGAGGCAGTTTGCGTTCCCCCTCGCGGGCATCGCGGAAGTTATTTTGACCATACTTCACCACCCTGGGCACCGCATATGTTAACATGCACACATGCATACGTACAGCACTCGGTCTACGCGCGGGTAACACGTGAGTTGAAGTTGCCAACGAACTTTAAGCAAGGGACAAGTTCGCGTCGCGTTACAGACGACTCCCATGTAAAGTATTTTGTAAACCGTACCCATACATGTCGGTCTTTTATCAGAACTTATCGGTCACCCCGTGCCCCTTATAAATCTCAACGTTCATCCTACAAAGTCCCATCATCACAAGGGTGAAACACAAACAAATAGACAAAAACACGTTTTTTTTTGTGCCCGTACTGAAACGGCTGCGCTCCCTATGGCCCTGGGAACTCAACTTCCCTGTACAAGACTGCGGGGCTAAACCGTGTGGCTTGACAGCTAAGCGTACCGTATGAGCTTTAACTATTATTCTTCAACAACAACCCCCCCCCCAACACATATTTACCTACAACAGTGGGTGTCGACTTTGTAACGTTTCCAGAGCTCGCACTTTAGCGAGTGTCGCCGTCCTCGTGCGAAGCTCTGCAGGGGGACAGAGTTTCGTTTCCTGGATCAGAATTAGCTTTGCCGAGTGCGTCACACAACACAGAAGTAAAAGTTCAACAGAGGTGAGCGTGGAGGCCACGACTCCCCCCGTCAAAGCTCTCAGCCTTGTCTCGACCACCACCACCGCCGCCGCCGCCAGCAGCAGCAGCAAGTAGGTCAACAGAGCTGAACGTGTGGCAGATTTGTAATAATAATAAAGATTTATTGTTTTTAGGCCACTAACTTGAAGACGGGTTGAAAATTTTGGGGGGTGGGAAATGTTTCACTTTAATTATCCAACTTGTTGTTTATTTTACCAGGTGCAAGGCCCACGCTGAAGCTGTATAGATTTTTTTTAATTCAGAAGCAACCTGTCCACAAATGATAGCTCAACGAAGTGGATCATCGCGTGGAAATGTATAGTGGCAGCAGCCAGATATACTCTGAACGTGTGATGTTGATTCTAAACGTGGAGGGGTAAAGCCGGAAGGACCCGGAGATAAATTCACGCGACCACGACGAGGAGAGAGACACCGCAAACTCCAAATATACAGTAAAGGAATCAGGATCGGAATCCAACCCACGACAAACTTCATACCAGGCGAGGTAGTTAGCATCTCGCCGAACAGAATCGATGCAATCTCAAGACGAGAGAGCGTGTCGCTTGGCCATGTTTGTTTGTTGTAGTACGGAGTTAGACTGATGGCCTTAATCTAAGTTGTCTTGTGGTTGTTGTTGTTGTTTGACTTGCGTCCCAGTGGGATTTTTGCACACAGCGTTGGTGTACGGTGCTTTTTTCCAGGAATATTTTGCTGGTTTTTTTCCCATGGATTTTCTGTTTGCACAGTCACATAGTCACTTTAAGATGTTTTTCTTGTTCGTGTTTTTGTTTTTTTGTTTGTTGCGGTTGCACCCGATTCAAGAGCCGAATGGCTCACAGGGCTATACCAAATAAATAAAACTGAAAGCTTGAAAATCACCCACAAATGTCTGTCCGCCCCGCGCGTGACGTCACTCCACATGAAGCCCACCCCCCGCGTGACGTCACTCCACATGAGGCCCACCCCCTCGCGTGACGTCACTCCACATGAGGCCCACCCCCCCTCATTAATATTCACGAGTAGGTGTATTTTTACACTAACGCAGAAGGTCGAGCTGAATTAAATAATTTATTACGCAAAGTCGCTTCAAATATGACGAAGTTTCTTTAGAGAAAGTGACGGTAAAAATTTTTATCTACGCAGCACAGTGCTACATCCGTGCGTGACGTCACTGAAAAGAGCCCCTCCCCCTTCATTAATATTCATGCACACGTGGAAATTTCCACTAACATTAACATCATGCGAATCTCCCAGTTACATGCTAATTTCTGACTTTAACACCCTGCTAATCTAACACATTAACACGGCTACTTCAATGCTAAATTCTCCTGTTTGATATGTAAACTCCTTTGTCAAGGCGCTCTGCTCCTCCCACCCAGCTTAAAAGACGCTGCCAAGCTTAGCAGTGTCCATTGGAGCGCTGTCTTTCAGACAGTTATCTTCCTTCACCTGAAGAAGGCGACTTGTGTTGTGTGTCCGAAACGTCGTGAGAATTTTATTTTATTACGTTTCATTTTTTATTATTTTATTTCCAGTCTACGTGGTGACTTTACCGAAAGAACCAAGAAGATGAATCCCTGCAGTCACGAAAGCTTTAAATCGAAATTTAACGCACGAGAAGTTCGCGCACTCCACATGCCGCACCCCTCCCCCTCATTAATAATCATGAGCGGGTGACGTCACTCCACATGCAGCACCCCTCCCCCTCATTAATAATCATGAGCGGGTGACGTCACTCTACATGCCGCACCCCTCCCCCTCATTAATAATCATGAGCGGGTGACGTCACTTCACATGCCGCATCCCTCCCCCTCATTTCATTATAATCATGAGCGGGTGACGTCACTTCACATGCCGCACCCCTCCACAATAGCCATGAGGGGGTGACGTCACTCCACATGGGGCAACTCCCCCTTAATTAATAATCATGAGCCAAACAATTTTTCTATTGAATATTTCAGATTTTTACTGCAACATACACCTGTCCTCGGACGGGCAATAAAAGCGAGCCGCTTGAATGTTTGCTGAAAATTTGGAGGTTCAGAACACTGCGGGGTTTGTGTGGGTATAGCTTAATAATTAATGAACATTTTAATCAAGCGGTGAAACAGAGACATTGGGACACATCGGTTAGGTAAAGCCATCGATGTTCAGTTTACTGCCTTGACGCCTCTGGGAGAAGCGTACATGGAGAGGGCACCAACACCACCACCACCACAACAGGCACCGGCAAAAAATTACCACCATCAATATTTTCACTCACTGCTACCGGAACAACCCCTGACCACCTCACTTCACCAGTTTGGAACACCACCATCAACCACGAGTCTCGTCGCCACCAACCACCACCCACCGTCGCTGCCACCACCCTCAATGTCCCCGGATGCTCAGGAGTTGCCCGTCCGTCAGTACCGCAACTCGTCATCGGTGGCCACGTGGCCCCCTTCGCCGAGCTGATCTGGCCGAGTGCGATGGTTCACCCGGCCCTGCCGGACGGGAGCTGCGCCCCATCGCTTAATTCCAGCGTCCTTCAATTCCAAGGCCCGCGGTGCCCCCCAACCCCACCCCCGATTACCTCTAGTGTGGCCTTCAGACCCCCCCCAGCCCCATCGTGGCTGTCAAACCCCAACGGTTTGAAATATGTGGTGGCCCCATACACGCTGATGTCTTATCAGCAAAAGTCCTTCCCCCCCCCCACTCCGAATAGTCCAGGGGGTCATCGAAGCTGTGGCTTCAGAGGACAGCTAATAGCTGTCAACCCACACGCTTTAGCCCGTGTTCGTGTCGCAGGTAAATTGAGTTTTCAGGTCCACGCGGCGAACAGCCGTTTCAATACGGGCAACAACACAAAACAATCTCGATTTGTTTGTGTTTCTCCCGTGTGCTGGGACTTTGTAGGATGAACGTTGAGATTTATAAGGGGGCACGGGGTGACCAATAAGGTCTGAATTGGTCTGTAATAAGGTAGGGCACTGATAAGGCGCTGACAGGTTTGTAGTGGTGAGTGTAGTAGTGGTGAGTGTACTAGTGGTGAGTTTAGTGGCGAGTGTAGTAGTGGTGAGTATACTAGTGGTGAGTGTAGTAGTGGTGAGTGTACTTGTGGCGAGTGTAGTGGTGAGTGTACTAGTGGTGAGTTTAGTGGCGAGTGTAGTAGTGGTGAGTGTACTAGTGGTGAGTGTAGTAGTGGTGAGTGTACTTGTGGTGAGTTTGGTGGTGAGTGTGCTAGTGGTGATTGTCTAGTAGCAAAAGTAGCTACATATGCTACGGGCCCCGCACTTTCAAGGGCCCCGCGCTAAATGCTTTCAAGCTATCAATTGCGATTCAGTGATTCTGCACTTGCTCTATTACTATAGTACTATACTGCCTTCAACTTTTATCAACGACCGGGTGTTTAAGGTTAGCGATTTGTCGTATTATCTGGCTGTATTGCAAATGAAAAAATACAATTACTTTACTATGCAAGTAAAAAATTGGTGTTTTAATATTCACGTGTTTTATTTTTATTATTATTTAGGGTTCCTTCTAAACATACGCTACACTTGCTTAATCCGGCACTGGTCGAGGCTAACAACGAGGTGGCAGGCAAAGGAGGGAACACGCGCTGCAAAGTATGATCTGTGTTTTGATTTAGTGTGCTGATCTTAAAGGTGCATTGAAAATGTTTAATACTCCGACTGATGCTCCTGTTGTTGTGGAGTGACTCATGTAGCCAGCTATGGCTGCAGGGTTTGGTGGTACATGTTGTTTATGTCGTTTATTGTGAAAATTCGGTCACAGTTCCCATGATCACAGTTACATTGCTTTTATGGCTTTATTTTGGTGATTTCGAAAACCGTTTTTGTTTTGGCTATGTTTGTTTGTTGTAGTACGGTGTTAGACTGATGGCTTTAATCTTAGTTGTCTTGTGGTTGTTGTTGTTTGACTTGCGTCCCACTGGGATTTTTGCACACAGCGTTGGTGTACGGTGCTTTTCCAGGAATATTTTGATGTTTTTTTCCTGGATTTTCTGTTTGCACAGTCACATAGTCACTTTAAGATGTTTTCTTGTTCATGTTTTTTTATTTTTGCTTGTTGCGGTTGCACCCGATTCAAGAGCCGAATGACTCACAGGGTTATACCCAATAAATGAAATGAAATAAATAATTTAAAAAAAACTTTCAACATCCCCCGACCGCCACTTGTGCGAGCCGTGGCCAGCGATCAGCCGTGAGGTCGCAGCGCTAAGTCGGAGAACACCTACCCCTGCTCAACAGCCTCACCATCCTTCAGCCTCGTGTGTAACCGGCGCATTTGTATGCGTGTGGGATTATCACCTTTGATTTAATACGGATCCTATGGCGGTTCAGGTTAATCGTGCATTCCGCTGGAAAGTCAGCGTTGTGTTTGTACAATTGAGGTAGTTTAGATGTCACGCAACGGATTACCGGTGAGAAATATATTCCGAGAACATATTTAGCGATGTACCCTTACTTAGATTTGTGTACATATATGAATGTGAATACTCATAGACGCACACGTTTTTGCAAATCTTTTTATTTCATAACAGTTGGCTTGTACATTTGTCATTGTGAACAGCACTTTCAAACAAACCTTCGACTCCACCAGTCATTACATAAACGTGCACATGCATGTACGTGTGTGTATCTTTGAGTGTTAACTCTGAACGCCCTCCCATATGTCAACTCGGCGTTAAATGAGTGCCTGGTGGGGAGTGTATCGATGTTGAACTTCTCTCACGCCGTACGTGGCCAACCGTGCTAATCCGAATTGTGGGGTAAGGGCAAAAAAATAAAAAAAAACAAAAAGCAGTTCTAAAGCAGTGCCTTTTTCATTCTCGTTTTAAAAGTGCAGAGCTCCAGTAATTTCCTAATATCGGAAGGAAGAACGTTCCAGACGGCCGCAGAAGCACGTCTACCCCACATCTACTTCCCCCCCCCCCCCCGCCAACAGTTGTAAACTGTTATAAACTGTTGGGGGGGGTGTATTTGATGGGGGAGGGGGGGGGAGTGGAGAAGTGGTGGAGTAATGGTCCGCACGGCGTCATCGGACACCGGCGGTGTGGGTTTGGCCGTCTTTGTTCGATGGCTCGCAAAATCCGCTGCAAGGATGACCGTAGTTCTCCCTGCTTTTCTGCAACGTTGTCTCTCCTCGTCCCGCTCATCGCGAGCCGTCTCAGCGTGCGATGTTGTGGTGCCACAACAGCGAAGCCGCTCCGTCGAAACCGGGCCCGTCGCTGTGCTGCTGCGACCGAGAAGCCACCCGGCTCCCATCACAGCACTTCCCCCCCCCCCCCACCTAAACACACACACTCAAGTAGGGCCTCATGGGGAGGGGGGCACCTGCCCTGAGTTTTTACCCGAGAGGCCCCCTCGTGGGGGTGCTCCACGGTTTCTCAGGGTCAGGGAATTGGCAGACAACCCCCCCCCCCCCCCCAGGCCAAATGGCACTGCGGCGCCGTGGCTTAACTTAGAATTAAATGACCACGGCGAACTCACTGAGAACCGCAGTGAGGAGATGCCCAAGACACACACGGACCAGCAGACAGGTGGGGAGAGGGGCAGCGTGGGTTAAGCGTCTCTACCCATGGTGCACCGCGGGCTAGCGTATCTACCCATGATGCACCGCGTATTAACGGTCCTACCCATGATACACCGCGGATTAACGGCCCTACCCATGATGCACCGCGGATTAACGGCCCTACCCATGATGCACCGCGGATTAACGGCCCTACCCATGATGCACCGCGGATTAACGGTCCTACCCATGATACACCGCGGATTAACGGCCCTACCCATGATGCACCGCGGATTAACGGCCCTACCCATGATGCACCGCGGATTAACGGCCTGACCCGTGATGCACCGCGGATGGGCGGTCCGAGGGCTTTGAAAGGAGGATAAAGAGGGACGCTTTGGGGAAGCACGGGGCCATTTTATTATTTGACTGGAGATCAACAGGAGGGAGGGATCGGGGAGCCGTCACCTGACTGTTACTCGCACGTCCGTGAGACGGGGCAGAGAACAGCCAGATCCTGTTTACAGCATCATCTATCCGCGACCTCCATCGCTGCGAGGTCGGACCGTAAGTACGAGGGAGAGAGGTAAGACAAAGGGACGAAATTCGGAGAGAAAATAGAGGGCAGACAGGTCCATGAAGTATCAGGCAGTAGCGAGATAGGTTAGACCTGTCCTGCTGCTCCGTACTGACACACACAGTCTAGTTCGATACTCGCGGGGAATAAAACCACTAATAGGATAAAGCTGTGTCGTGGTCACTGTGAGTGCGAGGAGGGAGACGGAGTGTTTGGTGTTCGCATACCGGTACGAGTGTGTACAGAGTGTTTTGTGTTCGCGCGCATACGCGGCTGTTTGCAGCGAATAAGGGAGTAGAACGTGCTTAGTGCCGGTACCTGTACGATCGTTTACAGTATTGTTCAGCGCGTGCGTACCTACACGAATATCTTTGGTGGTGCCCAGCGCTCGCGTACCTGCGCAATAGCCTACAGTAGCGCTTTGCGCTCGCACGCCTGTGTGACGGGGTGGTGGTCGCGCACTCGCGCTATTGTCTAATAGCGAATTAAGCGCCTGGCGTGTGCGAATACGCAGCCGTGTAAACAGCCCGTTAAATCGGAGCAAAGTAATCGCGGCGTGTTTGTTTTTGCTTAAGCGCGTGGAGCGTGGGTGGGAGGGAATCCCACGGGGGCGCGCCGCGCCTGTTTATTCCCGTGCAGGACGGGGTTTTACTTTGCGAGCGCGCTCCACCGCGGCACGCCGCCGTTGAACAGGATAGCGCATCGCGAGCGCAAAGCGTACGAGCCGCTAATTAAGCTACGCAAACGCGGTCGACATCCCAGGCAGAGGTACAGGGGGGCGAGGCATTAGGGGTCGGTAGTCTGGACCTGACAGAGCAGCCGGGGAGGTAGCGGTATGAATGGAACGGGGGAGTCGGTGAGCAACGGAAACGACAATTCAGTGATGGCGGGGGACGGTAGCCCTCACATAGTCACTTGATTTGGGTCCACCATCGAAGCCCTTCCCGTCTCTAACGTCGTCACTGCCCGCCGCATTCGAAGTCGCGACGCAGTCACCTCCGTCTCCTCCTGACGACTTCGCCTGTTTCGTCTGGTTTGTCTCTTGCGGGCTGGTAGTCAGGATTTTCCAATTTATTGTCGAAGTATATAAAGATGGACTGAAGCGCAAGCCAAGAGGTCATGTCGTGCTGCGTTGTGCCTGCGGTGATAAGATACATTTTGAGTTGAAATAAGATCATGTGCAATTACAATTTCATTGGGGGGGGGGATTCATAATGACTATATCAGAGTCCCTAGGCTGCTAGTGCTGAGATCCTTTGCTCAATACCTAGGTCTGGGTCTCTCTCACTCTTAAGGCGTTCAAAGTGGCTTTGTCATATTCACCAATGGCCATGTCAGCCCCCCATAATTAAACTTGTTTCTCAAGTGTAGCGAGTTGATTGTCTCGACCCAGTCCAGCTCACGGGTCGGCAACCCAAAATGACAAGAAGAGACATTTTTTTCCGAATTCGGTAAAAAAACACTCAGCATTTCAAGAGCCACAATGCACGTGAATAGAGGACGTTTCTTAGTAAATAACATCACTAAGCAGTTGTTAAAGACCCGCAAACGGCTCTGGAGCTGCAGGTTGCAGACCCCCGGTCTAGCTCGAGTGAATAATGATCACACGCGCACGACTATAATTGCCAATCAGCATCCTATTTAATAAATCCGTGTACGTAAGTAGATGGTGTGGATTACTGACCAGCGGAGAGCTGGACATAGGCATCTCCATGTCCATGAATTCTGGTGTCCAAAGCCTCTGAACTGGTCACCCAGTTGACACTGTTCTGTACACACACGCAAGCACACTTGAATAAGCACAGACCCAAACAGCCACGCACGCACATCCACACATACAGCAGCAAAATGTGAGCTAAGAAACAGCGGGAAGGTGCAACTCCCATCATGCCTTGCGTGCGTGTCATGTGGCCACGTTGCTCCTATAATGTTCTCATGACCATATCGTTTAGAACGCCAACGCAAAAGAGTTGCAAGCGTGGCTGTCCCTTCAGGCATCGGTGAAAATAAAGAAAGAACTGTAGACCATAATAACAGGGGTTTTCCCCTTTTTTTCTGGCAACAAAACTGAAACCTTTTTTTACGACGATTCATGTCTGCATTAACCACAATACCTGCAGTCAAAGTGCAAACAAAAAACATACTATGATACTATGATGCATTGTCCTTGAAACTGAATAGTGCATTGTCTTTGAGCTGTATACGCCTTTTGGCGTCATCTGGTCGAGCACCAATTGGGTCGAGGCTCAAAAGAAAGCCGTCCCTTCGTGTGGACCAATCAGTTTCAAGGACAATGCATCATATTATCATAGTATGTTTTTTGTTTGCATTTTGACTGCAGGTATTGTGGTTAATGCAGACATGAATCCTTGTAAAAAAAGGTTTCAGTTTTGTTGCCAGAATAAAGAGGAAAAACCCTATTATTACATTTTGGTACTGGCAAAGGAGGTCTAATGAAACTGTGGGCCAATTTCATTCTCATTAGGACTCATCAGTGCTGTACAGCCATCTATCTTTACTGCCGGCTTTACACCCCTGGGAGCCCAAATATGGAGAGGGCTGTAACGGTTACGCTTTCAGAACACTCATTCGCACTTGCCAAACAAGCCACATTCCAAACACAACACTCTAAATGTGTGTTGTAAACAGAATTGGCAGCAGCATTGCAATCAAGCTATGAGTGTCATTCCCACCTTTTTAAACCATTCCAACATTGTTTTGTTCTTCTGAGGAAGACGGTGGGGGGAGGCAGTCAAAGCCACGGCTGACAACCTGTCCAGCACAGCGGGATAACTGCTGACCTGTTGCCCACACACACACAGCGTACGTGTTATCATTACGCACATGTACATTCCCTTTTAGTCAAAACCGCTGCCGGCTAAGGGCCTCCCTATGACCATACTTCACCAATGCTGGTCAGTGTTGGTTGTGAAGGCCGGGAGCATCTTTGCTGTACAGTATGAACGTGAGCGCATCTTGAGGCGGCTCACCAGACCATCTATCAACTTTACCACATTCTTTGGGTCTTTCGGTAAAGTCACGTAGATCGGTTCAAAGAAACCTATCTACGTGACTTTACCGAAAGATAGATAGCCTTCATATTCTTGGTTCTTTCGGTAAAGTCACGTAGAAGGGAAACAATAAAATAATAAAAATATAAAACAATAAAATTCTCACGACGTTTCGACTGCAACACAAGCAATCATCATCAGGTGTGAAAACCACACCGAGAATATGAATCCCTGCAGTCACGAAAGCTTTAAATCAAAATAGATAGGCTTCTTTGAACCGATCTACGTGACTTTACCGAAAGACACAAAGAATATGAATTCCTGCGGTCACGAAAGCTTTAAGCCAAATATTTAAACCTCACCACGTTAACAAAGTGTACGCCACCGCAGCTATGAGCCACCAGGAAGACTCTTGTTGCTCTGGACTTTTGCACGAAGTGCTGCCACACGTACCGCAGGTGCTGCTCGGGGCTTTCGTTGTCCTCGGGAGGGGAGAGACAACGGGAACAGAACGCGTCGACGGAAAACCTCCGTTGCCATTGGACGCTGGCACCTGGTTTGTTACAACTTGATGTCAAAAGCATCTCGCAAGCTCAGAGAAAGCTGAGTATTTCACGCGGGCAATAATGTCAACGATAACGATTACGATCAAGGAAATCATTTGAGTCAATGTGACAAAAACCACGATTACAAAGATGACAATTCTGCTGCCGATGTGGATAATAACCATGACGATCGTGATCTGACGAATGCATTGCTCATTGCTTCTCACCCTGATGTAGTGATATCTCTGATGCCTCCCTCTCCATCTACCGCTCATCCTCAAGTCGCTTGCAGCGTTGGCGTCCATAGAATTGGGCTGCGGACCCTGAAATCGTGAACGACGGAACGACACGATAAGGGGGACTGGGTTAATGTCAACTCCGTGGTCGTTGTAGAAGTAGTTGTGGTGATGGTAGAAGTTGTTGTCAGTGGCGGCTCGTGACATGTCCACGAGTTGGGGCTGTTGTGAGTGACCTCTGAAAATGTGGCGTTCTAATCAAGAAACACCCCGTCGTGTTATTTTGGCCTTCCCGTGAAAGTGATGTAACTGTCTTATCTATCAACGGTGAGGCATTTATAAACAAAACAATACGAAACAACAAAGCACTCAAATGCTCGACCCATAACCCTCTAGTTCCACACGAAACAACCCCTTAGGCGCTGCCAAAAGAACGCGGCCTGCTACATTTGCGCAGTGCGACCTCGCGTTGTGACTTGGTCACCACAGCCACGGGTGCCTTCTTCACCGTCCCGAATGGGTCTCAAACTGCGTGGCTAAAATGCGAAGCAAATGGCAATGAATGAAGGGGGGACAATCTCTCACTCGGACGCCTTAAAATGTTATCTTCATTCGGCAATTCACGTTGACAGAATTATTATATTAAATGTTTTTTTTTAAACGCAACTAAACAATTTATAGAAAGAAAAAATTTCATCCGAAAAATAATTTCTCATCTCCAGTTGCTTGGTGGGACGGCGAACCATCGCCGCCTAAGTGGACGAAGCACGCCTGGGTTGTGGTAAAGTTCGATGCGGCAGTGGTGGCGATGGCAGTGGTGGTGATGGCAGTGGTGGTGATGGCAGTGGTGGTGATGGCAGTGTGGTGATGGCAGTGGTTGGTGATGGCAGTGGTGGTGATGGCAGTGGTGGTGATGGCAGTGGTGGTGATGGCAGTGTGGTGATGGCAGTGGTTGGTGATGGCAGTGGTGGTGATGGCAGTGGTGGTGATGGCAGTGGTTGGTGATGGCAGTGGTTGGTGATGGCAGTGGTGATGATGGTAGTGGTTGGTGATGGCAGTGGTGGTGATGGCAGTGGTTGGTGATGGCAGTGTGGTGATGGCAGTGGTGGTGATGGCAGTGGTGGTGATGGCAGTGGTGGTGATGGCAGTGGTTGGTGATGGCAGTGGTTGGTGATGGCAGTGGTTGGTGATGGTAGTGGTTGGTGATGGCAGTGGTTGGTGATGGCAGTGCTGGTGATGGCAGTGGTTGGTGATGGCAGTGGTGGTGATGGCAGTGGTTGGTGATGGCAGTGGTTGGTGATGGCAGTGGTTGGTGATGGCAGTGGTTGGTGATGGCAGTGGTTGGTGATGGCAGTGGTGGTGATGGCAGTGGTTGGTGATGGCAGTGGTTGGTGATGGCAGTGGTTGGTGATGGCAGTGGTTGGTGATGGCAGTGGTTGTCACTCTGCCGCAGCGAACGAGGGGAGCGGCGTGCGGGTGAGACTCCGTGAGGTTTCCAGGTTCGCGAGCAACGCCCGTTGGCTCCAGGTCACACAGCCCACACCTTCTTGTCGGCCTCCATCCTCTTTCTCTCCCTCTCCAGCCTCTCTCCGTCAATGCGGTTGTCGTTGGGGTTCAGCACCACGACACCGTACCCTTCCTGCGGAGAGGCGAGTCAGGTCGTCGCATTATGTTATGGACCATCGCGAGCTGTGATCTCTACCCATTGCTGGACGAAGGCCTGACTGTATTGTGACATGGCAATGCATCGAGGACCTGTACACGAGCTGATTTCATCGCTCCGTCTCTTACAATGGACGTTACACCACGGAGGCGTTAACTCATTTGGCTGCTAGTCGCTCGGTATTCTTGACCACAAATGTATTTCTTCACATCACGAAAGACCACCGTGCATTCCAGAGGATGGACTTTTGACACAGTAACTTGGAAAAGAGGCTTCTGGCTGATGAGCAGTTGCATTCCGAGCATGCTAGGAATTTTATAGCAGGATAGGGTTCAAGCAACTTGCAAGTTCTCAATGGAATGTTGCAGGAAGGTGTAGGGGATGTAATCAGGAAGAGGAGGTTGTGAAAGGTGGGGCGGTGCTTGCGGGGTTGAGGAGGGCAGGTCACCGAGACAGGCACTGGAGTGGCACCCCCTGCGGATGGTGACCCAGAAATAATTATCTGTTAATCTCAACTTAAAGCTTTCGTGACTGCAGGAATTCATATTCTTTTGGTCTTTGGACGTTTCGATCGCAACACAAGCGTTCGTCGTCCGGACGAACGCTAGCTTGTGTTGCGATCGAAACGTCGTAGTTTTTCTTTGAACCTATCGACGTGACTTTACCGAAAGACCCAAAGAATACCTGTTAATCACCATCACGGCTGAAGTGCACAACGGTGCCGGCTCCATTTACCTCCATGGCTTGCTTGATGTAGGGGATCTGAGTGCCGGAGTCGAGGCAATCGTTGATGATGAGCCTCCGAGCCCACTGGCCGGCCCGCACCACTCCGCTCCCGTGAACGAGCAGCAGCAGCTTCTCCTGCTGCAGCGCCCCGGGGCTCATGAAGATGAAGCTGAAGGGTTCATTGTCATTTATGGCTTCGACCTGCAAACCCCGAGCACCCGCCGGAGAAATGTCCGTCTATTGTTTGTATACGCCAATAGAAACTAGCCTGTTACTCTACTTGTCCAGAGATCCCCCACCCCCCACCAGAGACCAGTCTGTTGGGCCATTGTCCAGGAATGATTTAACGACTCTATGGCAATTTAACAAAAGAGTTTAAGACAAACTTGGTACATTACACTACGAGGTGGAGGATACATAAACTGTGTATTTTTTACACTCACAGGAACGTAATGCTTTTCCAGTCCACATTCCTTCACCAGAAGTTCGTACACGTACTCGGTTATGACCTAGAAATTGACACAAGACAACGTCACAAGATTGTTGGGCAGTGCTCAACTCCACTGCGGTTCCAAGAAACAGGTGGAAATTCCACATTACTATGGCGGATGCCAGTCCATTCTTAATTTAACCACCACTGTTGGCTTCCCTGTACACTGTCGTGTTCACTGTCGTGTTCAAACAATGTAAAGCTCCTTGTCAATCCACTTCTGGATGAAGGCCTGCCCACACCCCGTCAGTCTGGAGGTTGTTTGACCATACTTCACCACGCTGGTCAGTGCGGGTTGGTGAAGAGGGGGCACCCCACGGGTGGCAAAACAAAAAAGCCATAACTGTAAATCCAGGATCTCAGCGGTGCTGGGTCAGTTCTTTGTTTTTGTTAAAATCGGTGAAGATTCCATCCCTGGTTCGCGTCTAACCTCTCCCAGTGCCTCGTAACGCCGCTGGTCACGACTCTTGTTGTTGTAAAAGTTGAACTGAAAGCACGATCCATCCTGAATACTTTCGAGCCTCCCTTCTAGAGACGCACGCAGACACAGAGACGCGCAGACGCGCAGACACACAGACGCACAGACACACAGATGCACAGACACACAGACGCGCAGACGCAGACGCGCAGACGCACACACAGACGCGCAGACGCACAGACGCACAGACGCGCAGACACACAGACACGCAGACGCACAGACACGCAGACGCACAGACACACAGGCACGCAGACACACAGACACACACAGAGCGCTGTTCAGTGACTTTTACACAGAGGCGTCATCATTCTTCTGAACCCATTTAAGGAGCCGTCCATAAATGACGTCACGCACCTAGGGGGGGTGGGGTCAGACATTTGTGACGATTTGTGACGAGGAGGGGGGGGGGGGTGAGAAATGTGACGTCACATCAAAATGCGCAACTTTAAATAAATATAGACAACACGTTCTACTTAATTAAATATACTTTTTAATAAATGTTTTCTCCTACAACGTCAGAGTGCAGCGCCACATTAAATGCGCACTACAATGACAATAGTTTAAAGCGATTTGAAGCATGTTTTTTTTTTGGGGGGGGGGCAGAGCTTTGTGACGTCATATTTGAGGGGGGGGGGGTCGAAGGGGGGGCGGGTCAAAAATCGTCCAAAATCGCGTGACGATATTTATGGACGGCCCCTAACACGCAGGTGAATATCATTACATGGCCTGAGTCAGAGAGAGTGCAATGTAAGGGTTCTTCAGCAATGAAGAGCTGATAATCCTGTACACACCTGCAGTCACGTACACTTTCCTTAGTTTGCTGCAGCGCGATGTTTCACGCTACAACACGACACCAGTTTTCACGATGTAACATTTCCTGTGATAGTAACCTTGTAATTGTACTCTTTGGTTCTATTGGGTAAAGTCACGTAGGTGATTTTTTGTTATTTTATTTTCACCTACGTGACTTTACCCAATAGAACCAAAGAGTATGGATCCTAGCAGTCACGAAAGCTTTAAATCTAGACCTTGTAATTGTATTTGTACTTTCACCGTTTTGTTTCCTTTGCTGTACTTCAGCGATATTTAAAAATCGCTTCAAAGTTCTATACCTGCAGGTCACTCAAATATAAGCCTGCCTAAAGTATTTTAACTACTGCAACTTTGCAATTCAGTATATCATGCTTATAATGCACAAGCTGTCATCTCCGTCCAATTATGTTAACCGTGGTGGGGAATGAAACTCAGGTCGCTGAGTGCGTAGTGCAGTGTGCTCACGACTGCGCTACCATTCCCCGAATAACAAACACATTACGTGTATTCTACATACATCTCCGATTATCACAGTTGGCTACGTACGGTGCAAAAGAAGTTCAACATACATACAAACATATGTAGTGACACAGCGCTGAATGTTGTACAGCAGCTGCAGGTAGGCACTTAGCGCGCACGCCGTTGATCATATCCGCGGCTGTGTGCGTGTGCCGGCAGGGCGGAGGAACTGGGGCAAGGGTCACGGTGGACCTCGTGGGGAGGCCCCTGGAACCCTCTGGAGGGTTCGAGAAGGGAGGCGTGGCCAGGGTGGGGCCAGGGCAGGGCCAGGGCGGAGCCAGGGCTGGGCCAGGGCGGAGCCAGGGTGGAGCCAGGCCGCGCCGAGGGGAATAAAAGCAGCGGAGAGCTCCGGAGAGCTCTGGGCTGCCGGTTCTGGGAGTGGACTCGTCTCGTCGTCATTATCATTAGACCTCCTTTGCCAGTACCAAAATGTAATAATAGGGTTTTTCCCCTTTTTTTGGCACCAAAACTGAAACCTTTTTACGAGGATTCATGTCTGCATTAACCACAATTCCTGCGGTCAAAATGCAAACAAAAAACATACTATGATAATATATGCATTGTCCTTGAAAATGATTGGTCCACACCAAGGGACGGCTTCCTTTTGACCCTCGACCCAATTGGTGCTCGACCAGATGACGCCAAAAGGCGCACTCCTTTTGGCGTCATCTGGTCGAGCACCAATTGGGTCGAGGCTCAAAAGAAAGTCGTCTCGTCGTCTTCGTCGCCGCCGCCTTCGCCCGATGATTGCGCGGCCGGGCAGTTGTTGGCGGTCTCGGTCGACGCCGTGGGTGCAACGCGGACAGGGTCGTGTCTGGGCCGGGTCGTGTGGCAGCGTGGTCGTGAGAGAAAGGGGGCCGGAGTTGGTGGCGTGAACTCGACAACAATAAAAGTGGAGGACGGTGCCTCCTGCGCCTACCTCGTCTCCGACTGAGTGTGTGCGTGACGTACGCCGCCGCCCGCACACACAAGCCTCGAGTATAAGGAAGAAGAGACCTGCGACGCATACATGACACGTGATATACGTAACCCAGTTATTACCTTCGTTGAATTCGTATCCAAATTCCGTTGTGGTCCGATAAGTCTCAAACTCATCATCTGTCCAACCTGAAGAGCGGGAGTGATAACAATACAGAAACAACAGTTGTTTTATATATATAGCATATAAATACCACCACATCTAATGACACTTCATGAGTAGACCAGCGATAGTCTATCCACTGCTAGATGAATGTCACCCAACACTGACGTCAAGCCTCAGTAGTCCTACAATTCCACGACCCATCTTGCTCCTGAATATGAAACTATACGAGAAAAACGTTTTGGTTAATCAGGTAAGTTCCACTGAGCTATGTAGCTCTATAGCTTTTTTCAGAAGCGACCTGTCCATAAATGATAGCTTAATGAAGTGGCTTATCACGTGGCAATGTATATTAGAAACCAAATACCCTAAACGCATGTTTCTAAATGTGGAGGGAAACCCCAGAGGACCCTGAGAAAAATCCAGGCGACCACGAAAAAACCCCCTGCAAATCCAAATATACAGCAGCAGGCGTCAAGGATCGGGATCAAACCCACGACCTCCTGTATACCAGGCGAGGTAGTTAACATCTCCTAGCCACCGCGTCGAGCTAACCTCATCGCTCCATCTCCATGGTCCATGGTGGTCATCCTCACCGTTGGCTGCCGTTCTGTCACAAGTCCAGTCCACTGGACATCATGCATTCTAGCAACCTATTACCGCCTAAGCCCACTTACTTTTATTACCATTCAATGTCCCTTCATTTGTGTGTTAGTGCCTGATCCATAAGCTTCTATTTCTGTCTGCTTCTCTTTCCGAGTAAATCCCAGAATGGATTTCTCCACGCTTTTTTTTTGCGCTCCTACTTGGTCTCATCCATTCCCTCCATCCGTTTCTATGTTTCTCACACACGTATCATAGCGGGCGATAACCACGGATTGCAAGCGAGGGAATGCCCAAACTCGTACGCAAGTCGCGTTTTGCGAGCTCGTACCCAAGTCGCTATTGCAAGTGGATCTGGGTCAACAAAGATAAACGAAAACTGTACGCTGAGAAAACGGAACTTGCTCATGAAAATCTGCACATCAATGTAAAAAACAATGAATGTTTCAATCTACATATGCCAATAACGGCATCCTTCATACATTTATTCAGTAGCAAAGGCCATGCCGAGTGATGCTGTATTTAGGTGAATCGTCTCGCAAGCAAAATGTGCGAGTCCAAATTCTGGAGTGTGGTGGGGGGGGGGGGGGGGCAGCCTCCCATCTTTCCCAGGTTAAGAAACAATCGGTACTAAATTGTGTAAAGTCAAACTCTGGTTGATCTATGCGAGACAAACCCCTGCCGTGGGAATTTGGAATTTCCACCACAGGGTGGAAATGCGCCTGCCCGCTCATTTGAGCAGGGTGGCGCATTGCCTTGGATGCATCGGATGCAGTAAACCGTGATAGGAAAAGAGATGTACCGAAAAGCCTCAAGAAATAGTTTGCAAAAGCCATGAAATCGATGTTCTTGGTCTCTAATTCTTCCACTGCAAAATAAACACGCACACACATGCACACCAAAGGTCACGCTCCGTTTTGAAATGAACAGTTTTGTTTATTCCGTGGAAATCCGTCACACATACTCCAACCAGCAGTCGCAGCCTCACGCGGTATATATTTGATGCGGGTATTCAATAACTCACCTTTAAGTTTTCAAAACGTGTGTCAGCGCGTCTCCCTGTCCAAACAAAGTGCTGGTTGGTGCTCTCCTGTGCTGGGTAAGCCTCGGGTCAGGGGCAGAAATTCCACATTCCTCTGGTGGCAACCAGTCCATCCACACAATGACTCATCACCAGCAAAGAGATGATGGTGATGATGATCATTAAGATGGGCTACGTCGTCGCCACCCTCCCCCCATCCCTGATTAAGGATTTGCAACTATCAGAGTATGAGTTGCGGGCTGACCGCACACACACACATACTGCAATCAGGCTCGACCTGCGGATCCGGGGACCCCATGCGGCTCTTTCAGGACCGTCTGGTATTCACCAGAGAGCATTGCGGCTTGTGAAATACTGAGGTTTTTTTTTGTTGTTTACCGAATTCAAAAAACAAAATTGTCTCTTCGTTTTATTTTGGGTGCCGACCCCTGGGCTAGACCGGAGGATTTCCAGTTGAGCATTCTGTATTGGATGGATTTGGCCAATTCTCTACGAGCCAGATAAAGCACCCTATTGCAAATCCTAAGCCTGACTCGAACACGAACTCTCGAATCCCATAGACCCTTTGGAAAGTTATCCACAGATACAAATTATGAAAGTGGAATTAAAACTGCACATGCACGCGTATGGCATCTCCATAAATACAACCAGTCACCTCGTAGTTACACTGACCAAGGTATGGAAAACTGATATTGCAATAATCGTAAAATAGTTAACATATATATCTCATAGCAAACAGAGCTCCCTCCTGCCTAATGATCAAAGGGTAATTACCAGATGCTTAATTAGGCACGATATTATCGATTCAGGATTTAACGTGTACCCTTTAATGCCATCATTGATAACAAATGGCGCCGCACAGTACCTGCCCGTAGAGGCCGGCGTGCTGAAGTATGATTAAGCAGAGGGCCTCATCCAACAGTGGACTAACGGAGGGCTACTGTACATTTAGCCATACTTCACCACGATGGTCAGTGCGGATTGGTGAAGGGCGTGGAACATAACAGTTTTGGGGATGGCAGCCTTCATGCAGCAGTGGATAGACAATGCCTTACGATGACCGTGTGTTTTGTAACCTACACCGTCCGCATACAACGGGTTGATTACAGCTGATATCAACTTTTCAATGAACGTCACGTGAGTAGTGATTGTTAACGCCGTGACTGTATCAACAAGGGATGGCTGCTTCTGCTGCTGCTGCTTTGGCGCTGTGGTGTAGTTAGTTGCCACGCTCGCCGTCTCTACAGTTAGAGTGGGGAAGGATGTGGGGTGAAACGTCGGCAACTCTCACCTCTCCCAAGACGTCTGACCAGCGTGGAAGAGTGGATCAAATGTAGCCTCTCGACACGGTAGCCCAGACGTCTTGTGACCCACATTTAATTATCGAAAAGGTCATTCTTTTTTCCAGATGAGGTTTATTTCAAACAAAAAATTTATATGGGAAAAGGAAAAATATGTTTGGGGTTAATTAATTGGGGGGGGAGGGGGGTCACAAGACATCTGGACCACATTGTAGAGGAAAGCCTTTCGAATGGAGGCTCTTCGACCCGCAATAAAACTAAACTAGAATACATTTTTGTTTTATTTTGCGAGCTCAAGTCCCACTGAGCTTTTTTCAGAAGCGACCGGGACATTTATGATACCTAAACGAAGTGGCTTATCACGTGGACATTTAAAGCAGCAGCCATATACGCGCGGTGATGTTGATTCGGAGAGAAAACCCCGAGGAGCCAGACAAAAATCCGTGGGGAGAGAGAGAGACACACACACAAACTTCAAATATACAGCAGTAGGCGTTAGGGTTGAGATCAAACCCACAACCTCATGCATACCAGGAGAGGTAGTTAACATCTTACCACCGTGATGATGATGATGAGAAAGAGAGACGCAAACTTCAAATATACAACAGGCGTCAGGTCGGGATCGAACCTACGACCTCCTGTATACCTCGCGAGGTCGTCAACATCTCCTAGCCACCGTGATGATGATGATGAGAAAGAGAGACGCAAACTTCAAATATACAGCAGCAGGCGTCAGGTCTGGATCGAACCCACAACCTCCTGTATACCGGGCGAAGTAGTTAACATCTCTGAAGCCACCGGTGGCGCCCATGAACATCGCCCACCCGTCCCCGACTGTAAATAACCTGGCAAGACCCCCTTGATAAAGAGTTTGGAGACTCGGTGAGACCTTTCTTGGTAAAAACAAACTTAATAATAATACTGTACCACAGTGTGAGTAAGACTCCTCTCCTCCATTACAGATGACACCTGCAGCAGTGTCTGGTTACCATTGCCCTAACAACGTTTAACATTTTTGTTTAAAACAAGTCTTACTCCGATATAGTGACAATAATTATACGTGTACTGCACGTCGAGTGCGCGTGTGCATTGCACGAGTCAGTGGTGTCTATCCACTGCTGGATGGGGCAGTCTCTGTGCCGTGCATGACCGCGGGGCTATCCGACCATACTTCACCACGCGGGTTGTCTACATAAGGCGCTGTAATCCACACGTTATACAGCGAAGCAACAGAGCCAACAGTTCAACTTCGCAACGGATAAGTTCAACTTTCACGGAACACTTTAACTCAGCAACTTCATTGCAAAGTATATTTTATATACCTCACTGTGGCCTTAAATAACTATTATTTTTTTTTAAACAGCGCGGCACACATTTTTACCTGCAACGGCAGGGTCTTCTCGTGTAGCAATCTGGACGTGTGTTCAGAAGAGTTTTACTGCTCTTTATTTTCACATTACTGAGCCAGATAGCAGCTTAGTAGTGTGTGGGTGAGTTATGCGCGTGTGTGTATATATATAGATCAGAATTCCCCTTGCCTGGTCACAAGACACAAACGAAACTAAAAATGTGGATGTGACCTCAACGACATTTTTTTTTGTCAAGTATGCGCACGTTCCAGAGCGAAACGTATTCCAATGTTTTCTCAGCCTTGTCCGGACGAAGAACGTCGGCTGCCAAGCTGACATTTGGACTTACCACCAGATCTACTGCCATACCTACAACCGGACGTACCACCAGATCTAGTGCCATACCTATAACTGGACCTACCACCATATCTACTGCCTGTATATAGCTAGACCTACCACCAGATCTACTGCCTGTATATAGCTAGACCTACCACCAGATCTACTGCCTGTATATAGCTAGACCTACCACCAGATCTACTGCCATATCTACAACCGGACCTACCACCAGATCTACTGCCTGTATATAGCTAGACCTACCACCAGATCTACTGCCTGTATATAGCTAGACCTACCACCAGATCTACTGCCTGTATATAGCTAGACCTACCACCAGATCTACTGCCTGTATATAGCTAGACCTACCACCAGATCTACTGCCTGTATATAGCTAGACCTACCACCAGATCTACTGCCTGTATATAGGTAGACCTACCACCATATCTACTGCCTGTATATAGCTAGACTTACCACCAGATCTACTGCCTGTATATAGCTAGACCTACCACCATATCTACTGCCTGTACATAGCTAGACCTACCACCAGATCTACTGCCTGTATATAGCTAGACCTACCACCAGATCTACTGCCTGTATATAGCTAGACCTACCACCAGATCTACTGCCTGTATATAGCTAAACCTACCACCAGATCTACTGCCTGTATATAGCTAGACCTACCACCAGATCTACTGCCATACCTATAGCTAGACCTACCACCAGATCTACTGCCATACCTATAACTGGAACTACCACCATATCTACTGCCTGTATATAACTAGACCTACCACCAGATCTACTGCCATACCTACAACCGGACCTACCACCAGATCTACAATGACGCCTTCAGACAGTGACCTGCTCGATTTGAATGGTTTTTAGAGATCTTTAACGTTCACTGAAGCAGACGGTGTGCGTTCTATATTTAATACACTCGAAGTGTTAACCAGCGCAAAGCCACACGCTTACGAGTTGATGGGTGAATTGGCTTCGCGATGGATGCGTTTTGGAACTATTTGTCTGCTATAAATGTGCAAACGATGATAAGCCACTTTGTTGAGCTATCATTTGTGATAGCCAGGTCGCTCCTGCAAAAAGAGCTATACAGCTCAGTGGGCCTTACCTCGTAAAATAAAGAATAGTGTTAGTAGGCAGGGGGTTGGCGTAACGTCACGTTTGTCAGTGCGGTTACCTTTGATAAAAACACAAACTAATGTGGATCGATAGTGTAATAAATACGTTATCTTTTGTGTAGAGAGACAGATACTGTATATGAATGAAACATTGTTGTATGCATTGTGTAACCGTTGACAATGTGTGGGTGGAATGTTTGATTTGAAACAATAAACTCAACTTAATTACAAACAAATCCAACACTCACCGAAGACCAAACATTTATCAAGTAATAAAAAAAATCGATGTCAAACTGAAAACATTCAAACTCATTGCATAACCAACCATCATTCAGCTCATCAAAGAACACACCCTTGTATAACCACGTCACTTGCATACGGATGACATGCATCATACGCACAACCTTGTTCAGTCCACTGCGGGGTGGGTGGAGATCACACTGGTCAATCCGGGTTGGTGAACTGTTGGTGCGAGTACTATTGGCGAGCACCTATCAAGGCTGGAATTCTCCTGCACGAGTTGGGAGTGGTGGTGAGGTCAGCACACCACGCCCGCCTGGTTGACCTTTGTCTACCCTACACTCGCGGGGGTCGCCAAAGCAAAATAATAATAAGAGGCATCTTTTTTTTGTTCGCTAAAAAGCTAAAGAGGTGCAAGGCACGTGATTGCGAGACGGTCATTAACGACTAACGTCACGAAGGCAGCCCTGAAAGAGCCGACCCCTGGTCTACCCAGTGCCGGTGTCCACGTACACACCACCAGGCACTCATTTGAAGGCTGAGTCGACCTTGGTGAGGCCCAGGACCGGTTTATATATTCACCATTGAGCAGTGCACTAACCACGACTGCATCCCCATCATAAACACACACACAGGCACTCTCTACCAAAGAAAGACAAAGATTCCCCGTATAGCCTGAACAGGCTGTTGGGGGCAAGTGCTGTTAGCGAGCACCTATGAATGACCGCCAGGCACACGAGGGGGTGGGTGGCCAACACCACGCCCGGCCGCCTTTGTCACCACAGTGGCGATGTTTACTACACACCGCACAAGAAACTCATTTGAGGCCGAGTCGACCTAGGGGAGGCCCACGACCGGTTCAGACAATCGTCGCTGGTGTTTGGCCATGAGCGGAAATCGAACTGGGGTCGCCGGGTTCGTAGCGCAGTGCCCTAAGTGTTGCACTATCGCAGTGCAAGTATGTAGTTGTAGGGTAAATCTGATGCCGTTATATATTTATCCTCCAGGACCAACCCCAGCCACTAATGAAGACATCACGAAAGCAGAGCTCCGTCTATAATAGGCAGCAGCATCGGCGCCAGTAAGCCCCATCCATTATTCAGCAGCCCTGACAAGGGAGAGAGTGGAGAGATGAGATCAGAGCGGAGTGTTAGAGAGACACGGGAGGAGAGGCAATGTTTGAATCTCAGCCCAGTGAGATGCAATGCAGTGGGGGAAATGTCGTTTGACTTTAGGCCATTAATATAATTAAGGAAACCCGCTATGAAATAATAACAATTGCCCATTTCGACAGCTCCCAATGCAGCCTCTATACCCAGTGCGTGTGTTTGACTGTTATAGGATTAGATGAAATATACAAGTATTCCTGCATATGCACGTGAGTATGCATAGGCCTGTATAAATTTTGAATGAGCGTCTGAGCTGTATGTAAATATTGCATACACACCCCGACTTTAAATTATATGCTGCACGTGCAGAATGCATATTTATTTACCAGTAGCCGGCAGCAGCAAGACTCTTCTGGCTTTCGACTCTCGTCTTCGTCATTTGCCATGATAAATCCACTGCTGGATGAAGGCACATTTAGCAGTAACCGGTAGCAGACTCTTATGGCTTCCTACTCTCATCATCATCAGCCATGATCTATCCACTGTTGGATGAAGGCCTCCACAAGCCGCCGACGCCGCCGCCGCCGCCTGTCACGGCCCTGCGACGTAGCGACCAATCAAGGCGTACAACACATTCAAATGACAAGAAACTCATCACAACAGAAAAAAAATCAGTGCAGACCGGAAAACCGTACGTTTCAAACAACACGCGGAAACCTGTGTATGTTGAACTTCTTTCGCACCGTACGTAGCCAACCGCGCTAATCGGAGGTGCCAGGCCAGAGAAGAAACGACCACTTAAGCCTTTCAGCATCATGTAAAAAAAAGAAATAACCCATCAACATTTTCTTGGTTCTTTCGGTAAAGTCACTTAGATAGAAAATAAAATAAAAAATATTATATTTTAAATTTATTATTTAACATTTTATATAAATTTTTGTATTTTTATTTTTTTATTCTATCTACGTGACTTTACCGAAAGAACCAACAATATGAATTCCTGCAGTCACGAAAGTTTCAAGTCAAAACCCATCAGCCGTTCCTGAAGAACTTTTCACTTCCGCCTTTCCTCCATCTCGTGTCGTTCGAGCGACTGCACGCGAGCCCCAATGCGTGGTGCGTTCCCTCCTTCTCGGGGTGTCTCGCTGTCTCGTTTAGACGACCACCTCGCATCGCTCCACCCTCGCTTGTCCACAGCGTGCCTGCGATGCCACAGGGGCCGTCCATAAATGACGTCACGAAATTTTGGACGATTTTTGACCTCCCCCCCCCCCTCATCACACGGCGTCACAAAAAGTCAGACCCCACCCCCTCTTTCAAATATGACGTCACAAAGCTCTGCCATCTCTCCCCCCCCCCCCAAAAAAAAATAAAACATGCTTCAAATCGCTTTAAACTATTGTCATTGCAGTGCGTATTTAATGTGGCGCTGCACTCTGATGTTGTAGGAGAAAACATTCATTACAAAGTCTATTTAATTAATTAGAACGTGTTGTCTATATTTATTTAAAGTTGCGCATTTTGATGTGACGTCACATTTCTCAAACTCCCCCCCCCCCTCGTCACACATCGTCACAAATGTCTGACCCCCCTCCCCCCCCAGGTGCGTGACGTCATTTATGGATGGCCCCACATTCTGGCGTCGGTGGCCCTGACGATGTTCCAGGTAACAAACCTCCGTCAGCCTGGGCTTCAAACCAAAGGCTGAGACCACTTATCGCAGTTAGCCGAACCTCATAGCTAACATTTAAATGTTATTGTTTGCGCGTGTTTAGAGGTATACGTATAAGCTTATAGGATAAACCATATTCGTGCAACATTTGAGCGTTATAGACCTTTAAGTGGGAGCTTTGCGGGGCGATTTTAAAAGTTGTGTCCATATATCTCTCGTGTCAGACCAGAGGTTTTACCTCTGGACCTCCAGTGTCAGGTAAGGTCAGAGAATAAGGTCAGAGGTTTTACCTCTGGATCTCCAGTGTCAGGTCAGAGGTTTTACCTCTGGATCTCATGTCAAAGGCTTTAACTCTAGGCCTCCAATGTCAGACTAGAGGTTTTACCTCAAGATCAGTGGTTCGCAACTTGTGGTCTGCGGACCCCTGCTGGTCCGCGAGAGGCTACTGCAGGGGCCCGCGGAAAATAAAAAATAAAAAAAATTACCAAGGAAATGTACAATTTCAAATAAACCATAATTTTATCTAGTTTCCAAAATCTACTACTGTCATTTATTTTACAAATATGCTTACATAGTATTATTTTTATTGTGTTTTTTCTTCTTTGGTTCTTTCGGTAAAGTCACGTAGAATGAGAATAAAATAATAAAATAAAACAATACAATTCTCACGACGTTTCGGCCACAACACAAGTGGCCTTCTTCAGGTGAAAGGAACAAACCTGTCGTCAATTGTTAGATATGCAGAATAATGTGCGCCTTCCACGTGCAAATTTTATATTTAAAATGCGGATAAACTTTTCAAATGTCTATGAAACTATGAACAATGCGAATTGATTTATTTACAGCGGCACAACACATTGTCACAACTGTGGAAGTGATCACGATACAGTAATAGGTTTTTACCCTTTTATCTGGCACCAAAACTGACACCTTTATACATGGGATCATGTTTGCAATAACCACAACACAAGCAGTCAAAATGCAACAAAAAGAGACAACTCTGATAATGATATTGGCACTGTCCTTGAAATTGATTGGTCCACACCCGAGACGGATTTTCTTAGAGTCTAGCCTCCACTGGTGTTGGACCAGATGATGCCAAAAGGCGTACAACTCAAAATGCTTACCCCGAGCTCTCAATACTCTGATAGTGCGCTGTTTTTGAGTTGTACGCCTTTTGGCGTCATCTGGTCCAACACCAGTGGAGACTAGGCTCTAAGAAAAGCCGTCTCGGGTGTGGACCAATCAATTTCAAGGACAGTGCATATTATTATCAGAGTTGTCTCTTTTGTTTGCATTTTGACTGCTTGTGTTGTGGTTATTGCAAACATGATCCCTTGTATAAAGGTGTCAGTTTTGGTGCCAGATAAAAGGGTAAAAACCTCTAGATTTAAAGCTTTCGTGACTGCAAGGATCCATACTCTTTGGTTCTATTCGGTAAAGTCACGTAGGTAAAAAATAAAACAACAAAAATCACGACGTTTCGGCCACAACACAAGCGGCCTTCATCAGCGCTATCCTCGAGACAGCCTGGTCCCTTCACCTGATGAAGGCCGCTTGTGTTGTGGCCGAAACGTCGTGATTTTTGTTGTTTTATTTTTTACCTACGTGACTTTACCGAACAGAACCAAAGAGTATGGGTAAAAACCTATTACTATATCTTGCTACTGGCAAAGGAGGTCTCACAATGATCACGATACGGCTGTTGCCGAGTTAACCGTGTTTTCATATATACAGTTGTAATATTATTTTCCATTTAAAGTTTGTAAATTTACACATTTTACACAATTGTATTTAATTACAATTAATGCAGTCGTGAAAATTCTGTGATTTAATCTTACGCAAGGCTGTCACCATCATCAACCATGATCAATGGCTGGTTGCGTGTATTTATATGCTGTGTAGTATTGGGGAAAGCCCGCCTATATAGTTGGGATATGTATTTAATTACCATTAAATCACACAACTTTAATTTCAAACGCCAATGTAATCGGCAGGTCCAATACATCGCTACGGGATTTGGAAAATCTATTTTAAAAGTGAGAAAGCTACGCATCGCCGATCGCCACTCATGCTGCGTCGTATTCCTACTCCGCGTGTGTGTGTGTGTGTCAGCCGGCAGAGATTTCCATCACCATCCAATCCGAGATTTAACAATTTGTTACGGGAGAGAGCTATGTAGGTCTTTTTCAGAAGCGATTTGGCCACAAATGATAGCTCAACAAAGTGGCTTAGCATGTGGAAATTTATAGCGGACAAATAATCGAAACGCACGTTTCTAAATGTGGATGGGGAAAACCGGAGCACCCGGAAAAATAATCCACGCAACCACGGGGAGAGACACGCAAACCCCAAATACACGACAGGCGTCAAGGTCGGGATCGAACCCACGACCTTCTGTACACCAGGCGAGGTATTTAACATCTTACCGCGAATGCCAGTACACCTCCATTCCCTTGATATAGACAAACTCTGCGAGCTACTTTATTAAACCTGCGGGAAAAGGAAAAAAATCGAAAACCAAGCCAATAACTCTCACCGCACGCTATTTCGCGCGCGAATAAATGAAAAATTGAAGGTCACCGATGTCGTCTGTCGGACAGTCGAAATGGCGGCATCGAGCGAAATGTCATCTGCGTCGTCGGAGGTCAGACTCTAACCCGAGCGCGCCGACCTCTGGGGACGGGCGCGCGTGTAATAAAACACGACGTTATTTCTTGTAAAATGTCAGCAAGACGCGATGAAAAGAAAACAAACGGCGGTCAGGCCGGACGGTCGGGCTCGTAATCAAGACGTCAAACAAGAGGGAGCGCTGCTGTGTGCAGCAGACGCGTTCTGGGTGACGACGGTCTGAGAAAATGTATCGTGACGTAACTCAAGGTCAAGAGGTCAATCACGGCTGATGCGTTACCTTGGGTGTGGTCTGGGGCTTGATAAATCCGACTTGTATGAATACTCCTTGGTTCTTTCGGTCAAGTCACGTGACTATGGATTCCTGCAGTCGCGAAAGCTTCAAATCAAGATTATATGATGAATGTATTTATTATTCATTTAATTTTTTTGTGACTTGCTTTCCCTCTTGCGTCTATTGTGCGCTATTGTTTGTTTGTGTGCGTGGTAAATTTTTATTTAAAGCTTTCGTGACTGCAGGGATTCATATTCTTGGTTCTTTCGGTAAAGTCACGTAGAAGAGAAACAATAAAATAATAAAATTCTCACGACGTTTCGACTGCAACACAAGCAATCATCAGCAAGGAAATTTGAAAAAGTGGCTTTTTTAACGTTAGCACCACGGAGAGCGATTTGATGAACCATTTCGGGTCTTAATTGATCGTTCACGCTTACGGTGGCTTTCAGACCGCATCCATTATTTTCGTCTCCCCGCTCCTCTTTTCCGAACATAGATGGACTCGTCCATCTGAATAACTGCCAAATCGCTTTCCGTGGTGCTAACGTTAAAAAAACCGCCACTTTTTTATTTTCTTGCTGTGGTTTTCACACCTGATGATGATTGGTTGTGTTGCAGTCGAAACGTCGTGAGAATTTTTTTTTTATATTTTTATTATTTTATTGTTTCCCTTCTACGTTACTTTACCGAAAGAACCAAGCATACGTGTGCGTATTGTTTGTTGGTGTACCTTGCCGACCTGCCTTAATTGTGCATGTGCAAAGAGCTTCATGGCTCATTGGATTCAACCAGTCGAAATAAAGATTCTGATTCTCATGGCGATGCAAACATAACTCGCACTTTCTTCAATCTTTCTGCTCGTGAAAAGTCCGAGCTGAACATCCTCATAAGCGTGCTGATCTTTAAAGGTGCATTGAAAAATGTTGATACTTCGACTGATGCTCCTGCTGTTGGGGAGTGACTCATGCGGCCAGCTACGGCTACAGGGTTTGGTGGTACATGTTGTTTGTCGTTAATTGTGAAATTTCGGTCACAGTTCCTATGATCACTGTTACATTGCTTTTATGGCTTTATTTTGATTTCGAAAAGTTTTTTGGTTTGGCCATGTTTGTTTAATGTAGTACGGAGTTAGACTGATGGCCTTAATCTAAGTTGTCTTGTGGTTGTTGTGTTACTTGCATCCCACTGGGATTTTTTGCACACAGCGTTGGTGTACGGTGCTTTTTCTCGAAGATTTTTGCTGTTTTTTCATGGATTTTTCTGTTTGCGCGCAGTCACTTTAAGAGGTTTTCTTGTTCGTGTTTTTTGTTTGTTGCGGTTGCACCCGATTCAAGAGCCGAATGGCTCACAGGGCAATACCAAATAAATGAAACTGAAAAAAAACACCTGCCCTCATGTCTTCCTTCCCCCCCGAGGTTTTCGACTTCCGAGTGCCAGCGACACAAAGCTCGTGACAGTGCCTTGCCCCCCCCTCCGTGATCAATTCGAAATGCGGTTGTTCTATGAATGGAATTGTCGACACCAAGGAACCTGTGGTATACTGTGTGATATCTCTAGGGGAGTATGCGAGGCAAATCACGTAATAGCGGTGGACACGCTTGGAATGGACAGTGGTTAGGCAGCAGTGTTTTTTTTGTATCTGCGCACAAAGCGATTCTAAAGCCCATTATAAAGGTTTTAGGGTTAGATCGAGTAAACATATCGTTAACGACACATTCATATTTAAGCGATCCAACCCAAAAATCTTTATCTTGGCCGTGAAAGCCTACGTGTTAAATTGCTTCTCAAGCTATATGGAATTTAAGCAAACCGGCGTGAGCTTAAATACAGCGCTATTCCATATGCTCAGCTCGGCCTCTCTCCCATCACATTTTACAAAGTAAATAATTCAAGCCTTCCGACCACCTCTGCTTCATGGTGATGGTGACTGGGCTGAAACTGTTCCAAAAAATGTTTTCTTATAAAAATGTAAATATTGTAAACATTTAGTTACTAGAGTAGTGTTAAAATATGTTCAATGAATTGGTGCGAATTGTTGCACTCAAAAACACTTGCGCTTAAGAATGACGATGGAGAAGCACGTTTGTGAAGTTTATACTTTAATTGTAAAACGTAACCTGACACAAATTCTACTTAAACGGAATCCTACGACATGAGTACATTCTTAAAGATGTTACGACTCAAGACTATCACCAAATTTGTGGTTTAACACCAGGCATGTTTTACACGGGTAACCTTGAGATCTTCCGAAGAAAATGAAACAAATTTTTTTTTTAAACAAAAACAGACGCAACTACCAGGTGTTTCAATCCATGGGCATTTTTTAAACGTTTCGGACTAAATTATTAGTCTGAATAAAGTTTATGGGGGGGGGGGGGGGGGGGGGTGGGGCTTCGTGTAACCCCTATGTGAAGCAGGTAAGAACATTAAACTTTTCATCAGCAAGCTTTATGCTTTATCTCAACAACGCAAAAGAAAACACCAATTATATTTTACCTTAGGCGCCTTTTCGCCTAGCACAGGACCATATTTACACTGACGCAAATCTGGCGATTGGAACTGATACTGAAAAGGGGGGGGGGGTTAAATTTTGGAAAAAGGCGGGAGCTCATATTTGTCAAACAGCACTTTCAAAAAAGAATTATGCATCCAGGCTGCTGCAAGCTCGCAAAGTCACAAAAAACCAAATTGGAAACGGTTTGTACAATGCCAAGGGTGACTTGCTGCGGGCAAGCAGTCTTAACGAAAACAAAATACGAATTCCCCAAGCGAATATACACAGCTGTAACTTTGGGCAACTGCAAACCGGTGCTAAAATAAGTCTGAACTGTAAAAATTGTGGGTATTTAAAAAAAAAAAACAATTTAAAACCATTGGGACATCGGTACTACAATTGGCCCTCCACAACACACAAAAAAAATCTTACCCCACTACATTTCATTGACGCTGCTGTCGCCATTCGTGAATGTTATTTTAGTCAATTTTGTGTTCAAGCTTAAGTTTAATCTTTTATAACAAAAAACGCTGCCCCTTCTCGACAAACCAAAGCTGGTAGCGCCTTTTTATTGTTTACAAAGATATCTAAAGCACATTAGCAAGCACCCTATCAAAACGATGGATACCTTCAGATGTAGATTCCCGCTCCCGTCGACACCGAGAGTAAGACGTCGCGACATTTTCCAAGCCTTTCGCCGTGTCGCGCACTACACAACCCGTCACGAAGCATCCTCATGGTTTGGATCAAATCACCTAGCATCGTGACCTCTCCCCGCTCCCTCGCCCGAGACCGGTCCCACACGTACATTTTCAGAGTGGTGCGATTCGGGGAGCGTGCCGACACACGTGCTTTCAAATCCTGTTTGGGGGCGATCGGTGTTCCACTTGGTCCATAATCATCTCTGGGTTCGGACGTACAGTATGGACGAACCACTCTGCCAAAAACTTGCTGTGATTAGAAAAGACCAGGACAGACAAAGGGAGGAGCACCACAGCCAGTCCGTAGCTAACGGAGTCCCGATCTCTCCAGTCTGTCCGTAACGCGGATTTCACGGCAATGTCACAAGTGGGGAGCTCCACAATTTTTGGACGTACGTATCCGACACTTTACAGATGTGGATAACCATTTGTACAATCATAAAACAGCGGGGTTTTTTTTGTTATTGATCAATCGTCAAACCTGTTAGTACCAATTCAGATTTTTCCCAACATCCACGATTTGTTCACCGTTCACCTTTCTTAATAACGGAGCAATGCTCAAAATTTCCCTCGTTAAGGACACTCAAGACTTATAATACCCGCTGAGATGGATGGCAATGGTGCATTCAGTTGTCAAAGTATTACTTTCATTCATTAATAAGCCGCATTTTCAAAAACTACGGAAAATTACCTTCAGAAGGACTCCCCCATAAATGTTATTACGGTATGAGGAAGGTTTTGAGATATTCACTGTGGGGTTGTTAATATTGTGGGACTGCACGTGTAGCTCTCCGCCCCCCCCCCCCCCCCCAAACTGTTTGGGCAATGCATCCTCAATTTTCACTTCCGGAAAAAAAATTACAACTCAATGTGAACTATACAGGTGTGTGTGTGGGGGGGGCAAGTGGGGAGACACACAAAAAGTATGTTTGCTGACAAGAGATCAACGAGTGGGGCCTTGACAAAGACCGTTGTTATTTCTCTACCACGGTTCCCTTTCACTTACAGGGCACCTGGGTCCACCGCCATCATCAAACCGTGTTCCAAGGATGTAATTTCCACCAAGGACAACTCGTTCCGCTCCTCAAAGCCCCTCGTCGCTCACGCCACTTCATCGTCACGCTCGAATCTCTTTCCCCCGGGCCCGCCGATTCTCTAGCTGCGCGCACGTGGAAGGCACTGGAAGCCAGGGATTGCTTAGTGTGTGGGGGGGGGTTTCTCCAAATTCCTGAGAATTTTCTCGAAATTTTCTACACGTTTCTCACATTTCTATTTGTTCAAGATGCATACATTTCTTAGATAAAGCGCAACCCAAACATTATTTCAAATACCTGCAAAAAATTTGGTAAGCGTTCTTAAATGTGATTTTGACTCAACATTAACCCGCTGTTGTAGCACCGCTTCTCCAAAGTCAGGCAATGGATTTTCTATCACCCCACTGAATATGAAGGCTAAGGGGGCACAACACCTCGACAAATCCGTGATCTCACCACATTCAACATGCGTGCTTGTAATGACCCCAGTCCTCACCAAGATTACTTGCACATTTTATTTTGATCCCTTCATGAGATTTCAAAATGCAATACAAAATAATCCTAACAATAATCACTCAACTTACTCGGAGAAGCCTCACTCAGAATCACCTTGTTTCCATGAGGCTCCTGGGCGTGGGAAGAGTTTTATTATTTCCTGCATTCGTTTCTCTAAAACGTCGACTGAAACTGGCATGACGGCCCATTATTAACCTACTTGATGTACTGCCTCCAATGGGCACTTTACAAACCTCGTGGCCTCCATCTGTGTGATACACCAACCCCAATGACCCAGTCATCCTCTCACTCATTATACCGTGCACGCAACTAAAAACGTTCTGAAGCAAAAATTGGCGACGGTGAAATGTCTCTTGATAAGACTATCCTCATTCTGGCATCTACCCTAAAATATCTTGAAGCTCTGCATCTTATCATCCATGAACAGAAACTGTTTGAGACTTGTCTGAGGCTGTTCCTTCAACGGGGGGAATCAATGTAATCTAATATACGCTTCGCCATGTTGCACACTTTTCTGCTTTACTCAAAATTGGCTAATCAAGACTTGTGGTCTACACTACGAAGCTCCGTCGGTTTAACTGACGCTACGTGGTCCAATTGAGGCTCAACCGTTGCCCGATGGGATACGCTGGCACCGACACGAGCGACCTGCCGCACACGCACGCGAGACACGGTCGCCTCTCCGGCGGCATTATTCAGACGGCGACAAGAATTTGACCGAATAATAAAAAAAAAATCGCTACACACGCGCCTTCGGACTCCCACGCAGACAGCTCGATTACAAGAATGAGCACGGAGAGCAAAGGGTAAAAATTAAGATTCCCGCAGCCGACTGGACTCGCTCACTTGTGCAACCGACTCGCTCGCTGGCTTTTGCAGTCGACAACAATTCCAACACCCACCAACCCCATTTTAAACACCAAAACTAGTTCGTTTAAAGGAAGACGCAACCCAAAAATGCAAACGGCTGTTGGTTTTGTGAAGCTACATCCAGGCTAGGCCATCTGTCCCCGGGCTGCTTGGACTCAATGTTAACATGCAACGTTTACGTGGTTGCCTTTGTACCCCCACCCCCTCCCCGCCACCTTTTCCAATGGCGCACAACCAGGCCGTAGCAGCTTGGAGCACTCAATGGTTTCTACCCTGTATCGTGTCTGAACCAAAACTGCGATTTTTGCTGGCCAAGGAATTTGAATCTGGCTCGGGCCAAGCAGGGCCACATGACGCGTCAGTTGCGCGACGTCGGGTCAAGCACACGGCTACAACCGTGCAACACCATCGGCACGCGTCTCGACTCGTCACTCAACGCGCGCGGCGTCTGCGGCACGGCACAGCTTGCTTTGTAAAAGCATAAGAGGTATTCGTGCCACCTAGTGATGTCAAAGGGATATAACCCCACAGCGTTCACACAGCCTCAACGCGAACCCCACTTGGCCAACATGACTAAACCCAACGTTTTCAACACCAACTCGGGGCCTGCCTCGACACGAATCCTACGTCACAGCGATAGTTTAAAGAGTCACCGAGTCCATGCCCCTCCGATCCCAAGCGGAGCGGTCCCAGTGACCCCCCAGATGGGCCAGAGCATGTGGTACATTGCGATGGGAGCTGTGGAAGGTTAGAGAACATGGGCCCTAACACGGGGTGGGGGGGGGGTTTGAAACCCGTAATTACAGTACATGGTGATATAGCAAAGATATGAGAATTGGAAAGCATGTCGTTTTTATTTGTTTATAAAGATTTCACCCGTCACACTGCAATAAATCTAAGCGTTTTGAAATGGCATAAAATTAGTGGTGGCTTAGCGATTTAGTGCCATCTAAGAACGCTGAGCCAGCACCGATGAGAGCCGATGTTGGGAGTCCAGGTGTGACCCACCCAAGATGAAATCGGCTTTACAAATATTGGAGTTGAAGTCTAAACGAGTTCCACGATTACGTCGCAAAACAAACGGCCGTATTTTATTTGGTTTGTCACTTGGTTTAGCTTATTTCAGTTCTGAAGATTACATTGCTCAGCTTGATTGGCGTGCGACAAACTCTCTCTGTGGGGAATTTCAGACGGTGCCACCTCGTGTGGATGAGGCCTACTAAAGGAACACAAGCACAAATCAAAAAGCGTCACCAATTCCGCCTCAATAGAACTAAGCGATTTGCCTCGTCGATCATATTTTAACGTATCCGTTAACAGGCAGCGTCGATGACTAACGTGGTAAAGGTTTTTGATAAGCGTTTGTTCAACCACATTGGTAACAATCACTCTTACTTACAGCCCTTTGTTAATCTAATTCATAATGAAGGCCTCCCCATGCCGTGTCGGCAATGGAGGGCAACGTGACCGTACTTCACCACGCTGGTCAGTGCGGGTTGGTCAAAGGGTGGGGGAGGGGTGGTCCCAGGACCGGTTCAGATATCACTCGCCACTGAAGCTAGCCATGGCTGAGATTCGGACTCAAGTTTCCGGGTTCACTGCGCAGTGCACTAACCACTGCGCCACCGCTCTGAGACCCTTACTCAGAATCGACCAAATGGGAGACGCCCTCCTCCGGGGGGGGGAGGGGGGGGGGTCTGTCCTCGCACACGGAGAGTGACATCACGCCGCCCGTAACGAGACCCCCTCAACACGAACCTGCGACTCACGACAACAAACACCGACAGCAGCGCCATCGCAATACAAAACCTTATTAAATGTTTTAACTGCGTCTTCCCTTAAATTCAGGAAGGGGCGGGGGCCAAGGTGCGGAAGGGGGGGGGGGGGGGGACGAGAGCGGTGGAACCGAGGGAAGTGGGCAAAGTAAGGGGGCGGAGCGAGGGAAGGGAGGTGGAGTAAGTGTAAGGAGTGGAGTGAGAAAAGGAATGGTCGGAGCAAGTGTGGAGGAGCTGATAAGGGGGTTGGGCCAGGAGGGGGGGGGGGGGCGGCGGGCGGGCGGGTGGGTGGGCGGAGCTAGGGGGGGGGGGGCGCGGTGCCCGCCGTCATCACGGTGAGCGCGAGCGCGATGTCGCACGCGTGCCATTGGCGCGCGGCGAGCGGCTCGCGGGCGAGCGGGTCGACCTCCGGCCCCCGCCGAACCCTCGCGGGGAGCTCGAGCGGCGTCTCGGCGCCGGCGACCTCCGGCTGGCGCCGCTGCGCGACCCCCGCGCGGGGGAGGGCGAGCGCAGGGCGCGGCGCGAGGACGAGGCGGCGGCTGCTAGCGGCGAGGGCGAGTAGGAGCCGCGGCGGTGGCGCGACGGGGACGGGGAGCGGCTGGCCGAGCCGTCGCGGGGTCGCCGGGCCTCGGGGGGGATGGAGCGCCGCGGAGAGCGCGTCCCGCTGCGTCGCCGCCGGTGTGGGGAGCGCGAGCGGGAGCGGGAGCGAGAGCGGCGGCTCCCGCGGTCCTCGAACCTGGGGGGGGGCACGGGAGAGAGTTCATAGTTTATTTATTTGGTATAGCCCTGTTCAGAGTACGAGGTTAGGGATTTATTCACAGTATTTTTATTTCATCAGCTAAGGCCCACTGAGCTATGTGGCTCTTTTTCAGAAGCGACCTGGCCCCAAATGACAGCTCAACGAAGTGGCTTTCGTCATGCGGACATTTACAGCAGCCAAATGTTCCAAAAGCGTTTTGATTCTAAAATGTGGAGGGAAAAACCGGTGGACCAGGAGAAAAATCAACGCGACCACACTGGGAGAACATGCAAACGCCAAGTAAAGAGGTGTTGGGATGGAACCCACGACCTCCTGTATACCAGGCGAGGTAGTTAACATCTCGCCACTGCAGCGCCCCTTGCGGAGCGCGAGAGTTGCGTCGCGTAAAGTAGGATTCTTACACTCGCAAGTATGCGGTGACACTTGCGCTCGCGATACAAGCATCGTGTGTTGTGAAAAATGTTACGCGTACATTGATGAAGCAAGTAAAGCCATGCACATAATACGGGGGGGGGGGGGAGCACAAGACAAAGTTATTCTTGAATAAAATAGTGACGTTAAAGAGGCAAAACGGCCAAAAATATACAATGTTTCAATAAAAAAAATCAATCCTTGCTATGTACTATGCATCTGTGTATTAATCAATCACCTTCAAAATGTTCTTCCCATCCGATGCCACAGCTGGTGGATTCAGAGCTGCTAGTGACTGGGGGCTGTGGTTTAGCTGCATCGGTCATAGGGGGCTGTTTAACCATACTTCACCACACTGGTCGGTGTACACTCGTGAAGATGCCCACCCAATGGGGCCATCCACTATGTGGGCACCGCACTCCCTACCTTGTTCGCCGCCACCCACACACACAAACGAACATCGACATTAAGTGAACGGTGTGCTAAATCAAATGTGCTAAAAAGTTAACTTAGTCTGTATGATAATGAATAAAAGTTGCACCCTATGCATTCAAATGAAGTCGACAGAAGTTCCTTCAACACGTAAAAAAAAATTCACGTGGTGCAGAACTTTTAGAAGTAAAAGCAATAAATAATTTTGTTACATCCTTTGCAACATTCTATAAGGCCATGTCATAATCAATTGCGTGCCATAGAATGTTCTGCAAGGTCGTGGTATATGAAACAAATCGAATCTCGACTTCAAAATACACTTACAGCAATTTGCATTTTTCCAAGTTGGAGGTGTATCCGATAATGAAGTAGGTGAAATCAGATTTGAGTAACTTTATTGACATGGAGTACAACTTCCAGGTGCATCTTACTTTCTGGGGCACTATATAATCAAGATAATTGGGTACACAGGCGTCCTCAAGTGCTTTGTCTTTTGTCACCAACAATGACATAACCTAATATCAAAGCACAACCCAGTACCATAGAATAGCCTAAGAACATAGCCTCTACAATAGCTCAGTACCAAAAACACATTGTGTTCTGCAATTTGCAATATGTGAAGAATGTTTTGTAATTTGAAAAATTGGGAAAGCGTCCACACAACATAGCATATCCCATGATATACAAGATACAACCTGAACAGAATAGTAGAGTACTACAACACCTAAAACACAACAGGTTTTACGTAACTGTATCACTGCCATTCCATAAGAAATAAACACACGACTAGTTATGTTGCTAAAGTGTATGTGGCTGGGTCTTAATGATAGTGTCCATTTGTGCGGGGTGGTGGTTGGGTGGCATTGGCATTCGTGCATGTATGTTCGCTTTCGGGTGGTATTAATGACAATCTTAATGCCGTACCATAGCTTTCAGGATTATAAGGCACTTTCAATTACTTGAAAGGAAAGTTGTTGTTACATCTTCGGATTCGATGTCTCTTGAAATATGGCACATGCAAGCGACATATGGCGCTCGGCATCCAATATATATGCCACTCAGTCTATGCGCCACCTAGTAAGCCAAATAGTGACTGGAAAATAAAATGTACCAGTCCTGTACACCTCAATAATATATAACATAATATACATGTGCAGAAACAGAATAGAGTTCTGCTTAGACACGATTTAACCGGTCTTGTAACAGTTTTGTTGCACAAGCATAATCAACAAATACACTCAACACATTTGTCAATTACACAGTAGCCTTAAAAGGACAGACAAACTGGCAATATTGCGTGCAATGACCCTTTTCATAGCATTAAAACCCATCTTCATAGCAGGAAGAGCCATTGCCTGAAATAATTCCTATACTTTACGAATGTGTAGTCGTGTTTTAAGGTGTAAGACCATCGCAGAGACGTGCGTTTGTGCGCAAGCAATTATAGAGCTAAGTTATCTGTTGCATGCGCTTCGGTGAACCCGTGTACTTGGATGCATGCCTTGGTTGTCCAGGTGCTCTGCTAGGGATCTCCCATTTAATTTACAAAAACTCTATAGAGGCACGTTAGAAAATAGAGCGACTTCCACATCCGGTTAACAACTTTCGGCCTTCAAGTATGATTCACGGTGATGTAAAATGGCCCGGATTTAGCTTACATTTTTTTACGCCTCTCAATCTTGTACCATATTAGAAAAAAAAGTGTGTGCTGGCTGGATTCCTCCCTGGCGTGAGTGCCCAAGTGCGTGTGGGGAGTGGTAGTGTAGCGGTCAGTGTGTTGCGCAACAAACCTGGCGACCCAGGTTCGATTCCCGTTCACGGCCCAATGTGACGATTATCTGAACCTTCCCTAGGTCGACTCGGACTCAAATGAGTACCTGGTGCGGTGCGTAAAAACATCGCCACTAGGGAGATAAAGGCGGCCTGGTGTGGTGCTGGCCACCCACCCCCTCGTGTGCCATTTTCAGCCTTCATAGGTGCTCACTAACAGCACTTTTCCCAACAGTCTGTTAAGGCTATACGGTGGATCTTTGTCTCTGTGCGTTACCGCGCACACCTGCGTGGTGACCTCACCTGCATCCCACGGCGTTGAGGCGGTTAGTGCGTGGTGACGTAACACCTCTACCCACCCTATTTGTAATACTGGATATACATTACCGTATCTGAAAAAAAAAATGTTTGCTGGCTGGAGGGATGGCCGGTCACGTCCATTAGGGTGTGCGGGCAGCTATACTGTATGACGAAATGTTTTGCTGGCTGGAGGGGCAGATGGCCGGACACCTCCAAAGGACGAGCAGGTTGCTCGTAACGCTGCATTGTAATATAAAAGACGCGACGTTTCGGGCAAAGGACCTTCTTCACAGGGGCATAAACACGGGCACATTAATGCATGTTTAAGTGGTATTCAATTGCATATGAAGAAATGTTTCATAATTATTAGGTGTAAATGAAATATTCGGCGTTAATTACGTGCAAACGTAACTTTACCTGTTATTCATAATTTGTGTTTCGACGACATCGAGTAACCAGAGGCTCTCCTCGCAATGGGCCCGGCATCCAGAAGGGTTTAATATATAACTAAAATCATACCGTATGCATATATTATCAGAACATGCGTTTGTTAGCATGTCCCCCACAAGCACGTGTGGTTAATGCAGACATGATTCCTTGCAAAAGGGTTCTATTTGGTGTTTGAACATATTAACACCCGTTTTATTTAAAGGGAAGGGTAAAACCCTATTCTAATTTTTTCATACTTTGATACTGGAAAAAAAGGTTCCATACTATATCTGATTTACCCCGAGTAATAAATGCACTGATAGTGCATTGTCTTTGTACTGTTGGACTTGTGGTGTTCTCTGATCTAACACTAGTGAGACTATGCCCTACAGAAGTCTGTCTCTGATGTAGGCCAATCAGTTTCAAAGACAATGCGTACACTATCAGAGCATGTGGTTTTTTTTTGCATGTTCACTACAAGTACGTCTGGTTAATGCGGACTTGATTCATTGCAAAATGTTTCTATTCGATGTTTGAACATCTTAACACCTATACGCTTTGGTTATTTCGGTAAAGTCACGTAGGTATAAAATAAAAACCTACGTGATGAGTTTACCGAAAGAACCAAAGAGTATGGATTCCTTCAAATCAATCGTAACACCTGTTATATTGCCAAAAAGGGTACAAAAAAACTATTCTTATTTTTTCATACCATACCGTGTAACCAAATACATACAACACCATACCATACAACTCATTAACCTTTAAACCGAATCATAACGCACTTTTAATTTGTACGTATTCTCTTTAAGTTAATGCCTTTGTGGGGCCTTGGCCTATTGCGGCCTAGCACCCGGGGCCTTGAGCCTTCGCAGGCACCCGGTCTCGCACGAGCCCCTAGCGGCATCGAAGTCTCCCTTAAGTTACACAAAAAAACCCAGCACAGCCTTAAAAACAATCCCAAACACAAAACAGCAACCGGCAATAACCATGCTGTAAAATAAACAAACTCGCTCGCACCATGACCCCAAAAGGAGCGCCACATATCCTAAACACCACGCCGCGTAATCAGGCACAAACCCACATCGAACATAATAATCGTCTCTCGCCACGATCAATCGACTGCCGAAGCCCTTCCCCCCCCCCCCCCCCCATGCGTCGCCATTCCCTAAAGTAACAATCCACCCGGCACCTGCACGCGAAACAATTTAACCACCTCAAGCTACTCCGCGTTGGCCGCCTTCTCGGGGTTCTGAGTTCACTTCGCCTCCCACTCTCCGTCGTCCATCACCCATCCCTTCCTGCCCGAACCCCCTCCCACCACCACCACTACTTCTCCCTCAACAACCAACAAACATCCTCACATCCGCGCATGTTAAACATTTCTACCTTGCATGTTACATTTACGAGCACTCGTCTCGTGCCGCAGTCGAACGTTCGCTCGCGCGCGTGCGCGCGCAAAATGCAATTCGCGGGCGAAAAAGTTGAGGCCCAGTGAGGCCTAGCACGCTCACCGTCCTCGGGATGGCAGCGGCCCCCAGCGGGCCTTGGAGCGCTTCTCCCCGGTAGACATCTCCACGCGAGCCCGTATGCCGCAGATGTGCCGCCCGTCCATCTCGCTGCAAGCGTCGCGGGCATCGCGCGCGTCCTCGAACTCGACGAAGGCGAAACCTGGCGGGTTCCTCGCCACCCACACGTTCCGCAGCGGTCCGTACACGCGGAACAGCCGCTCCAGTTCGCCCTTGGTGGCCGAGTCGCCCAGGTTCCCGACGTACACGCGGCAATCGATGGGCCCGCTGCTGCTGTACGCCATGATGCCTTCCTTCCTCGAGATGGCGGAAGGATCGATTCTGACGTCACGGCACGCGCGCGCACACGCACGCGCTCGCGATTCCACGAATCGAAGTCGCCGCCCAAAACGCGTTGGAGTGCCGTAGAAGGAATCGGAATCGTTTCAGGTTTAACTCACGTAAAAAAAATCGGAATTGAGCGCGTGCGCGAGGTGTCGCTGTGGTGGTGGAGGGGGGGTTTGGGATTCGATTCGCAGAGTGGTTCGATTGGTTTTGTAAATCGAATCGATTGGGATTGGGAGGGAATTACGGTCCTTATGCCAGGTTAGAGGGTGATTTCTGGTGGTTGTTTAATTTTTTTTTATAAACCTTCGCAATTTCTACGATGTAACGATTGAGATTGTTTTTTGTTGTTTAATTGGCGAGAGTGAACGAGAACAAACGATAATTGTAATTCTGAAAACACGTTTAAACAAACTATTTTACACACCTTCGTGACAACAACAAAAACAATGTGGATGGGAAATGGCTCTTCTGTATAGTGAAGTTTTTTTTTATATTTGCGTTGTCTTTGTACCGTTCGCCTTTTGGCGCTCTCTGGGGGGGGGTGATCTGACACATTGGTGAGACGAGGCCATAAAGAACAAGGTTGTTCTCTGGTGTAGGTTTAAAATAAAATGCAAAAAAGTTTATTATCGAAGCATTTTTGCATGTTCACAAAGCACGTGTGGTTAAAATGCAGACTGCAAAAAAAAGGTTTTTTTTATTTGAACCATCTTTAACGCACGTTTTATTGCCAGGAAGTAAACACCTCTTCTTATTTTTGTTCATACTATAAAGTTACCCTATCGGTGAAAGTATTTCATCAATAGCCTCTCGACTGCTGGATGGAGGCTTTCCGACGTGCACGGTGTCGCGATGCCAATTTGAAAACTTAATTTCTTTTGAACCGGGTTTTGCTTTTTTGGTGTTTGTGTCCATCACTCATCCACCCCACCTCCGATTAGCACGATTGGGGCTACGGGTTACGGGGTGGTACGAAAGAAGTTCAATACACACAAACCTGTACTCATAGTCATCAAACCACGCGGTTTGCCCCGTATTTTTGTACAGGGATATTGAGTTTTCAGGTCCATACGGAGTACAGCCGTTTCAATACGGGCAACATAATTTTTGTTTAGTCGCTTTTTTGTGTGTCTATTTGTGTGTCTGTCTTGTGATGATGGGACTTTGTAGGATGAACGTTGAGATTTATAGGGGGGCACGGGATGACCGATTTGGTCTGTAATAAGGTAGGGCATTGACAAGGGTTTGACAGGTTTGTAGTGGTGTGTGTACTAGTGGTGAGTGTAGTAGTGGTGAGTGTAGTAGTGATGAGTGTACTAGTGGTGAGTGTAGTAGTGGTGAGTGTAGTAGTGATGAGTGTACTAGTGGTGAGTGTACTAGTGATGACTTTAGTGGTGAGTGTAGTGATGAGTGTAGTAGTGGTGAGTGTACTAATGAGTGTAGTGGTGAGTATACTAGTGATGAGTTTAGTGGTGAGTGTACTAGTGGTGAGTGTACTAGTGGTGAGTGTACTAGTGGTGAGTGTAGTGGTGAGTGTACTAGTGATGAGTGTAGTGGTGAGTGTACTAGTGATGAGTGTAGTGGTGAGTGTACTAGTGATGAGTGTACTAGTGGTGAGTGTACTAGTGGTGTCTGTGTTTCTCCCTTGTGATGGGACTTTGTAGGATGAACATTGAGATTTATAAGGACCACGGGATGACCAATAAGTTCTGAATTGATCTGCTATAAGGTAGGGCACTGATAGGACGTTGACATGTGTACTTTGAGCTTCCCAAAAGCTCACCTTTACTTACCCTTGCAGGTTAAAATGGCCTTCCCAGTTTCTATCTTGATCCTCTTTGTCTCTCCGTCTAATTTCAAGCGTCCACTTTCCGAATGACTCTTTCCGCAACTTTTCAGCTTATGTTCCATTTTAATTGTGTGGCTATTCCACTTTTCTCATGTACACGCTGTTATGTAATTGCAGGTAATCTGCAATTATTTCACAAAAAAACACTTTTAGTTTTTATTTTCGGTACATTGCTATGCTCTTATTTGATTATCATATATTATATTTTTATTGACAAATGTATTGTAACCTGCTCTTGTTCCCCCTCTTTTTTTACTTAATAAATTTCACTAAGAAACGTATTTGGTGATGATGCTGCTGCTGTTGTTGTTGTTCGTGTCGCAAAGCACAAACAACAACAAAGACAAAGACCCCCCGTGTAGCCTTTAGCAGACTTTTGGGGCAAGTGCTGTTAGCGAGCAGCACCTTATGAAGGCCGGCACGGCACACCACGCCCGGCCGCCTTTGTCTCCCCTTGTGGCGATGTTTACTACACACCGCACCAGGTACTCATTTGAGGCTGAGTCGACCTAGGGGAGGCCCCAGGACCGGGAATCGAACTCGGGTCGCCGGGTTCGTAGCTCAGCGTAGCGCTAACCGCTACACCACCGCTCCCCCACACAAACAAACAACAATAACACACGATCGATCGTTCGTCACAAACTGCCTTAACTAAAAAAACGGACGACGACGTTTCGGGCAACGGCCCTGATTAAACGAGGCGACCCACACTTGTGCAGGGCTCGTGAAAACAAAAGAAACAACAACACACACGTGTTGGTCAGTCGCGAGGCCTTAATTAGAAGAAAAACGGACGACGACGTTTCGGGCAACGGCCCTGAGTAAACGAGGCGGCCCACACTCGGTGCTGTTTAACCCCCCCACCCCCCCTTAGTTCGACATTTGCGAGTTTCGTTTCCGTGTAGTGACGCGCGCGCGCGCATTTCCAGACAAGCCAGCGTCAGGAAATCGAAACTCCCCGTAAGAGACACAGAGACGCAGACACAGAGACACGAAGCAGACAGAGACACAGAGAGACACCGCGCAGACAGAGACACAGACAGACACAGAGAGACACGAAGCAGACACAGAGACACGAAGCAGACACAGAGACACCGCGCAGACAGAGACACCGCAGACAGAGACACACACAGAGACACGCACGACACACACACAGACACGCACGACGCACACACAGAGACACACGACACACAGAGACACACACACAGACACGACACACACACGACACACAGAGACACAGAGACACACACAGAGACACGACACAGACACACACACAGAGACACACACACAGAGACACACACGACACACACAGAGACACACACACAGGCACACACACAGACACACACACAGAGACACACACAGAGACACGACAGACACACCAAACGAGCTGTAGCCCTCGTGAGTTCGACTTCCAGCGACACACGCGTTTACTGAGTGGCCGCACTCGTGAAGACGAAGAAGAAGAAGTCGACCCTGTTGCTTTGGTAAATTACTACAAGCTTGACGTGGGGGGCTTTTGTTGTTGTTTTAAAAACGAGATGGTTGGTTATTTAACGCTACGGGTTCAGCACGACGTCGAAGGGGAGTACTGTAGTAATATTGTTAATGTGACGTTAAGGCGCTGGTGGCTAAAGATTGTCGTGTTTAAGTTGTAACTCGCTTGGTGTTTGTTGTTGTTGCTGCTGCTGCCAAGTTGAACGTGTTCGGTCTGCCGAAGGTGTTGTGTGCACTTTATATATAAAAAAATGTACGGGTTATCGATGTTAGGGGTTTCGGCGTGGCGAAAGTTGTGGTAAAATTTTATTTTATATATGTTAAATAATATAACTTGGCCACCCCCGGGGGGAGGGGGGAAGAGAGAAATCCATCCAGCAGTGGAGTGAAACGCACGTGGCGGGCAATAGGCGCTCGCAAACCAATGGGGGGGGGGGGGGGGGGGGGGGGTTGTTGCTTCCCCGAGCATCAATAAAAATTTTTTTTGTTAAAGTACGGAAATAAAAAAAAGTTAATTGTACGTACGTAGGTTTTATTTGTTTTTTTGTTGTTTTTATATTATGGTAAGTGCGTGTAAAACATCGCGGTAAAGGGGAGAAACTGGTCATAAACACACGAGGCTCGGGTCGATCTACTGCTGGATGAGTTTGTTGATGATGGGGTTGAGTTTGGGGGGGGGGTGTTTGACTATACTTCACCAATCCTGTTGACTTCAAAGTTGTGATGATGATCATGACGGAGTACTATGCAGTTATTATAGCTTTCGTAAATTACTAGAACTCGCAAACGCTTTCCGCACCAGTGTTGGTTGTCTGTGTAATTATCGTAAGGGTCGATATTATTTAGTATTGCTTCAGCGAGTGTATAACAACAACATCAACAACCCACACGGCTTACCCCCCCCCCCCTATTCTTGTACAGGGAAATTTAGTTTCTATGTTCATACGGCGGCGTACAGCCGTTTATAATAGGGGCAATAACAACAACAAAGTTTTTTTAGTGACATTGTTGTGTGTGTTTATCTCTTGTGATGATGGCACTCTGTAGGATGAACGTCTAGATTTTTTAAGGTGGAGGGGGGACGGGGTGACCAATAAGTCCTGAATTTATTGATCTGTAATAATGTAGGGCACTGATAAAGGGTTGATAGGTTTGCAGTAACATTGTCGAAAACCCATTAGTTGTAAATAACCTGCTGCTTAAAATCAAGACTTGTTAACAAAAAAAGTGTATTTACTGTACAGTGGTATAGTAATAATGTAATACCCCACAGTAAGTATTATAATATCTTAACTGGGCATTGTGTGGCCTTCCGGTATGGTATATTGGGGCCGTCCATAAATGACGTCACGCACCTAGTGGGGGGGGGGGTCAGACATTTGTGACGATGTGTGACGAGGTGGGGGGGGGTTGAGAAATGTGACGTCACATCAAAATGCGTAACTTTAAATAAATGTAGAATTGTTATGACAACACTAATTGTTATAACAACACTCCTACAACATCAGAGTGCAGCGCCACATTAAATACGCACTACAATGACAATAGTTTAAAGCGATTTTTTAAGCATGGTTTATTTTCAAAATAACAATATGGTTTGGGGGGGGGCAGAGCTTTGTGACGTCATATTTGAGGGGGGGGGTCTGACTTTTTGTGGCTCCGTGTGACGAGGGGGGGGGGTCAAAAATCGTCCAAAATCGCGTGACGTCATTTATGGACGGCCCCATATATAAATATTGAAGTATTTTTTTTACATCAATAGGTGCTCTGAAACAGTACAGCATTTACACTGCGTAAATGCCTGATTCTTGGATAGTTTTTTTTTAAATTAAATGTCATTATTTACCTTCAGTATCAGATTGAGTGCATACGATACGTACTGTGTGGAATCGGTGGCTTAGGGGCCGTCCATAAATGACGTCACGCACCGGGGGGGGGGGGTTAGACATTTGTGACGATGTGTGACGAGAGGGGGGGGTTGAGAAATGTGACGTCACATCAAAATGCGCAACTTTAAATAAATATAGACAACACGTTCTACTTAATTAAATAGACTTTTTGACAAATGTTTTCTCCTACAACATCAGAGTGCGGCGGCACATTAAATACGCACTACAATGACAATAGTTTAAAGCGATTTGAAGCATTTTTAAAAACAAACTTGGTGGGGGAGGGGGCAGAGCTTTGTGACGTCATATTTGAGGGGGGGGGGTCTGACTTTTTGTGACGCCGTGTGCCGATGGGGGGGGGGGGTCAAAAATCGTCAAAAATCGCGTGACGTCATTTATGGACGGCCCCTTAGGAGATGTTAACTACCTCGCCAGGTACGCATGAGGCCGTGGGTTCGACACCGATGCTGGTGCCTGCTGCTGCACATTTGGTGTTTGCGGTGTCTCTCTCTCTCCCCCATCCACATTTTAGCTGCTGCTATAAATTTCCACGCCTTACCTGCTAAAATAGAAACACATTTTTATTATTATTTTTTACCTACGCGACTTTACCGAAAGAACCAAGAGTTATGGATCCTTGCAGTCACGCAAACTTCAAATCTAAAATACAAACAATTGTCCAAATAGTTTATTTGTTATTTTTCATTCCTCCACTTACAGTACTCGCCTAACAGGTCTATCAAGCTCGACCTTGGATTGTTTTTGCAAAATTAAAAATTTCAGAGATTTACCTGCAAGTGACCACGGCTGCCCGTGGCAAAAACCATCGCCAGATCTCGCCAGATCTCGCAGGCTAGTGTAACACGTGTGAGCCTGGCACAGCGCTCGTATCAATGAGGCCAAGGTGGTGGTCACCATCAGAGAGCACCACAGCAACACGCAATGTTGCACTGCACTTCTATGCTCCCGCCGCCCCCCTCGACGACCAGCGTGGTGAAGTATGGCCAAATAAGCTCCCCTTAAAAACCTGCACGGCATGGGGAGGGGGACGCTATCATCCAGCAGTACTGCATTGGGTTAGAACATTGTGGCATGGTTTTGTGCTGTGTAAGAAACCTTTATTATCGGAATTTGGTGGTATTTACTTAAGCAATGCTCGTCACGTGTTGTTACTTACGTGTATTCACATAAACTTATAATTTTTTTTTTGTACAGGACATGCACAGTAGCCCTTTGTATTAATCCACTGCTGGATGAGGGCCTATCAACGCCGTGCGGGTCTTTGGGTTTGTTTGACCACACTTCACCAAACTGGTCTGTGCGGGTTACTGCTGTTCTGTATTTCTTAGTACCGTTTGTTACCAGTAACACAAAACGTCGACAAGTCGAAGCGTGCGCCTGTAAAACGTAACTTGCAGTTAAATTAATTCACTATTTATTTCTTGGCAAGGTGAGAGTCAGTGCCCAAGTGTAGCCATTGCAGTCCAGTAAATGTTAATGGAGGGCCAAGATTTAGAATCGTGGTACTCCCCCGTTTTTGAAGATCAACATGCTTATTATGCATGAAACAGTATAACGTATTGATACCATGTTGATATGAATAATAACGGAGTGTGGCCCTAATTCGTGTGCGTCTTTGTGTTTATTTTGCAGTGAAAGAAAATATAAGAAAGGGGGTTGCATGTCTATCCAAGGCCACCTTACAAACCTCATCTGGGGTTTATTTGGTACATCTTTGCCTAATTGTGGTTTGCTGCATTTCTGTTTACATTGTCTGACATCGCTACCCCACTCACAGCACAATAGCGCGCTCCGGTTTTTCCCGTGGGATGACGTCGTATTTACGTTCCTATTTTTTTTATTTGCAGGTTTTAGCTGGTGGGGTTGTCGAAGGCTCATCCAGCTACCTAAACTTTTGCTTTGTTGGGTTTCAAGCCTTTTGTGTGAGACATCCACCTTCATGTGCATTGACAGACTGTATGTGTGTATGTATGTTGAACTTCTTTTGCACCGTACGTAGCCAACCGTTTCACTGTGCCTTTAGGAGGCAGTACACCAAGTAGGTTGTTGGCCTGTTTTGCGCAGTGCGTTCCACTTGCCTGCTGTACCCAACAAGCACCTACAACGCAGACACTTCACAAACATTTTAGTGTAGTGGGACCCTCCTGCAAAAAACGTCTTGGCACTCGGTGAGACATTTCTGGGAAACGGACGCATCATGGCAAAATGTCTCTCTGCTCAAAGACTCGTTTAAAAAAAATAACCACCAGATATGGTTCAATGCGGCTTCCAGGTTGGCTTTTAGAATTTGAATCTAGTTGACCGATTGAAAAAATAAACACGGTTCAATTTGCATAATGCAGTTCATGCATATCCTGATAATGGTGATGCGTTTTAACGACCACAGAGGTATGATGGGCCATTTGAGTTGGGGGTTACATTTGTTAGAGTAACTTAAAACTGTCACTGTTAACGGTTATGTCTGGTTAACATTTCCGGTTTTTGCTTTGGTTTAGTGTTTTTCAGGAGTTTCCCTCTTGCAGTTTTTTCGTTATTTAACAAATATTCTACATGAATGTTGTTCCTTATAATTATCTTGAACCTGAATTTGCAACCACCTTAGTTAAGTTATTTAATTATTTTCTTGTTTTTAAAAAAAAAAACAGTCAATGTTACCTGCTATGGCATACAAATCAGAAGCTTAAAAATAAACACTGACCATCACAGAGATGGTGGATGTGGGGAGGCCTTCATCTAGACCATTTTTCTTCATTGCACGGCCCGCAGGCCACTGGCTGCCCCTGGTGGCCTTTAGTGCGGCCCCCAACAATACACAAACGTGAACACACCCCCATCATGCTGTCAAACCCAGTGGTTTCAAATGTGTGGCGAGCCTCACACTGACGATGTCTTGTCGGCGGAAGTGGCCCCCCCTCGGAAAATGTGCGAAGAACACTGATCTAGACCATGGCTGCTGCTACTGGTGATCATCGAGAGCCTGGTTTATTTAGACGCTGTAACAATTGCTGTTTCTGCGTGTTATTTTTTTCCGCTCTCCAGACTTGACACAAGAGATGGGTGAACCATTTGAGAAGTATCGAACCATAGCGGACTTTGGATATGAATTTAATGAAGGTAACAACTGGGTTACGTTCATCGCTAGTGAAATGTTTGTAGAATACATGTAATGTGTTTGTTAAAGGGTAACGCTGGCAGAGTCGTTCGCACACGGCACTGTTGCACTGAGTTTTGATTGCCGGCCATGGCTAATATTACATGTGATCCCTGAACCGGTCTTTGGCCCGTCTCTACCAACTGTCGCCCAACGAGTGTGGTGAATATTCTTAGCTCTTTCGGTAAAGTCACGTTGAAGGGAAACAATAAAATAATAAAATATATATAAAACAATAAAAATTATTACGACGTTTCGACCATAACACAAACGGTCGTCATCAGGTGTGTCGGTTTGCATAATTTTTTTTATTTTTAAACGGTGTATTTATTTATAATAAAAAAATGTCAGCGCCACGTGCAGTGATTTGGCAGTTTATTTAGAAGGACTAGTCCATCTATGTTCTGAAAAGAGGAGGGGGGAGACGAAAAATTAATGTATGCTGTCTGAAAGCCACTGTAAGTGTGAACAATCAAGACCTGAAATGGTTTATCAAATCTTTCCAATGATTGCTAAGCCAGAATCCATCTTCTCGGTTGAAATTGTCTCTGTGCTTGTATATGTGGATAGCCTCATCAACGAATCTCTCATGGTAGCCAGATGGCTTACAAAGAACCTCTGTCTTGGAAAAGTTCAATGTCATGTGAGCCTACTGAATTATAACAATGATCTGCCACGGCCGAGGTGTTGGTCCTACCGTGTTTAAGGTCTGCTTTGTGTTCACGAATGCGGTCCGAGACATGGCGTTTGGTTTCTCCAATGTAACTACTACCACAGAGGCAACTTAGTTTGTAGGCACCAGGGTACTGTATGTCTGGAATCACATCTTTTACAGACGGAACCAGATCACGGATTTTATGTAATGTGTTGAAACGGACCTGGATCTTGTGTTTATTCAAGATTTTGGAGATCTTTTTTGTGATCCTCGCAATGTAGGGTAAAGTGATAGTTTTGAAAGGCTCCTCAAGAGGGTCCTTCTTCATGGTTTGAGTGATAGCTTTGCGGATTGTATAGTCGGAGTAACCATTAGCCTTAAGAGCTTGGTGTACGTGCTTGAGTTCACTGCCTATGTGTTCCTGGTCGGATATGCATTGGGCTCTATGATACAGAGTCTTGATGAGAGAGTTCTTCTGTGATGGATGGTGGTGGGAATCCGGTTTCAGATAAGCATCCGTATGGGTAGCTTTCTTGTAGACAGAGTGGCTCATTGAACCATCAGGTCTCTTTTTAATTAGGACATCCAAAAAAGGTAGCTTGCCATCTTTTTCGACTTCCATGGTAAATCTGATGGCTGGGTGTATGGAATTGATGTGGTCGAAGAATTGGTCTAGAGCAGGCCGGCCATGTGGCCAGATGACAAAAGTGTCATCCACGTACCTCTTCCATAAGGTTGGGCGCAGAGTGGCAGTCTGGATGGCGTCAGTCTCAAATTTCTCCATGAAAATGTTAGCTATAACCGGAGATAGGGGGGAGCCCATTGGGGTACCCTCAGTTTGTTTGTAGAAAGTTCCATTCCAAGTGAAGTATGTATTGGTTAAACAGTGTCTCACCAGGGGGGGTACCTCAGTGTTTAGTCCTTGATGAACCAAGTCTTCAATGATTGCGATGGTGTCAGGTACAGGAACCTTGGTGAATAAGGAAACTACATCAAAACTGACAAGCAGGTCGTCTGGGGACAGGGAAATACCCTTGATTGTCGATACCAGGTGAGTAGAATTTTGTACCGTAGAGGTGGTTTTTCCAGTGAAAGGATGCAGGATTTCGACAAAAAACGAGCCAGTTTGTAGGTGGGGGAGTTGATAGTAGAGACGATGGGACGAAGGGGTGTATCTACTTTATGTATTTTTGGTAAGCCTTATAATCTTGGTGGCCTGGCAGTAGAAGGTTTCAACGAAAACTGTTTAGATTGATCAATTAATGCGGTTGAATCAGAAATTATTTTGTTGGTTTGTGTGACGAGGCTGTTGGTGGGATCTCTTTTTATTTTTGTATAACTACCATCGTCGAGTAATTCTTTAATTTTGTTGTTGTAGTCTATTTTATCCATGATGACAGTAGCATTGCCCTTGTCAGCTGAGAGGACTACAATATCATCCCTCTTTTTTAATTTATATAATTCAAAACGCTCATCTTTGCTGAGGTTGCTAGCTGGCATCTTAGCGTTTTTGAGGGTTGCAGCGATTTCAGATCTTGCTACGTCTGCAGCGATGTGACCCAGGCCCCTGAGAGCAACGTCTACTTGGGCAATTATATCATTAACTGGTATGTGTTTAGGTGTGACTGCAAAGTTTAGACCTTTAGCTAAAACGGATTTCAGACCATCGGAAATAGAACTGTTACTGCGATTAATTCCAACTTTGTTAATGTCTAACTTTTTGGTGTGTGGGTCCGGTCTTTTGTTGAAGAGGAGGTTAAATTTGGAAATCAGGTTGTCCTTACATTTGGTCGACATAGTAGCAGCTGAAGAGGCAGTCATATTGTCTACATGTTCCCAATCCGATGTGGACATTGTTGCCGTCAATGATAAGTGTGATTTGTAGAGTGTCTTGTCTAACTGATCTAGTTTGGTGCGTATAAGTCTGATTTTTTCTGAGATAAGAGCAAAGCTAGTTTTGAAAAGAATTCATTTCGCATTGGAAGAAGTTACAGCAGCAGAGGTCAGTGTAAATGCGATTGGTATTACCCCAGAGTTGCGGCATCTCTTCAGAAAGGTGAGAGACTCGATCAGCTGAGCCTTCTTATCCCGGAGTTTGTTGAAGGATCTTAAAGTTATGTAAAACCCTCCCCGTAGAGGCGGTTAAATTTTGATTTAAAGCTTTCGTGACTGCAGTAATTCATATTCTTAGCTCTTTCGGTAAAGTCACGTTGAAGGGAAATAATAAAATATATATAAAACAATAAAAATTCTCACGACGTTTCGACCATAACACAAACGGTCGTCATCAGGTGTGTCGGTTTGCATAAATGTATTTATTTTAAAACGGGTTATTTAATTATTTATAATTAAAAACGTCAGCGCCACGGGCAGCGATTTGGCAGTTTATTTAGAAGGACTAGTCCATCTATGTTCTGAAAAGAGGAGGGGGAGACGAAAAATTAATGTATGCTGTCTGAAAGCCACTGTAAGCGTGAACAATCAATTAAGACCTGAAATGGTTTATCAAATCTTTCCAATGATTGCTAAGCCAGAATCCATCTTCTTGGTTGAAATTGTCTCTGTGCTTGTATATGTGGATAGCCTCATGAACGAATCTCTCATGGTAGCCAGATGGCTTACAAAGAACCTCTGTCTTGGAAAAGTCAATGTCATGTCAGCCTACTGAATTATAACAATGATCTGCCACGGCCGAGGTGTTGGTCCTACCGTGTTTAAGGTCTGCTTTGTGTTCACGAATGCGGTCCGAGACATGGCGTTTGGGTTCTCCAATGTAACTACTACCACAGAGGCAACTTAGTTTGTAGACACCAGGGTACTGTATGTCCGGAATCACATCTTTTACAGACGGAACCAGATCACGGATTTTATGTAATGTGTTGAAACGGACCTGGATCTTGTGTTTATTCAAGATTTTGGAGATCTTTTTTGTGATCCCCACAATGTAGGGTAAAGTGATGGTTTTGAAAGGCTCCTCAAGAGGGTCCTTCTTCATGGTTTGAGTGATAGCTTTGCGGATTGTATAGTCGGAGTAACCATTAGCCTTAAGAGCTTGGTGTATGTGCTTGAGTTCACTGCCTATGTGTTCCTGGTCGGATATGCATTGGGCTCTATGATACAGAGTCTTGATGAGAGAGTTCTTCTGTGATGGATGAGTGTGGTGAAGTATGATCAGACAACCCCCATGACAGACACAGCATGCGGAGGCTTTCATCGAAGCAGTGGATTAAAAGGGTTGTTAATGTATTGTTATAAGAGGTGTGTGACCACTCCTATGGAGAGTCTAGCTGCCTCCACAGTACAGTAAAACCTTGGATTGCGAGTAACTTGGTCTGCGAGTGTTTTGCAAGACGAGCAAAATTTTTTAAATAAATATTAATTTGATAAACGAGCGAGGGACTTGCAATATGAGTAAGTACTTATACACTTTGTCTGCCGAGCGTCACGTGATCACAACTGATATACGAGTGCTTTGGATTACAGACACGTTTCCGGAACGAATTATGCTCGCAATCCAAGGTTGTACTGTATTGTGAAGTTCCACTCCTGGCTCTGAACCAGAAATGGACGTGAGTCCCACTCAACACTAGCTGACTTAATGTACATGTAGAGCCCTCCTGTCAATCCACAGCTGAATGAAAGCCTCCCAATTATGTGTGAGTCATGAGGATTATTTGATCCATGTTTCACCTCACTGGTCTGTGCGGTTTGTTGAGGGCAGGCAGCATAGACGTGGGAGCATAGGAGTACAGTCTGACAGGATTTTACTTTGTCCTCGGCTGCCCACAACTTGACTTAATATCAGTGTAAACAGTGTACGTGTACACGTGCGTTCGTCTGATTCATAATTGTTTCTTGGGTTGGGCCACACAGTGATAGTCACCTATGTGTTAAGTGAGTTGCTGTGATTATTAAAAGAGAAGATTGTAAGAACGAGTGATTGAACGTTGTCGTTTCTGTACAAAGGTCACCAAACAGCGCTGCGTGTCTGTGTGTGTGCGCGTCTCTAGATAGGCAGCTCCGAAACATTCAAGATGGGTCACGCTTCCAGTTCAACTTCTATAACAACAGGGGTCGTGACCAGCGGCGTTACGAGGCACTAGGAGAGGTAAGGCACCATCCGGGGATGGAAGCTTCACTTATTTAAAAAAAAACAAATAACCGGGTCACCGCCGCTGAGATCCTGGGTTCACATCTGCGCTCAGCCACTTGTGATTAAGCTGGATTCGCAAGTGTAGAGAGTTGATGGTCTCAACGTGGTCACCATTGACTGCACAAAAATACATCATGCTAAGATTTGGTTCTGCAAGTATTTTTTTCGTCAATTCCAGCTCTAATAATTCAATATGTTGCTATTACTATCATGCAACGATAAGTTATTCTCTGCATTTGGGCGAGTGGGAAAGTGCTGCCCCCTTGTGTGGTTAAAGAAGTCAATTTAAGGGATCTCAGATGTAGTTCTGTGAGATCTACAATAATAAGGGGGTAATGCGCTGCTGTGTGAGAATTCCTAATGGATTATCACCTTATGATATGCTGACACCACAATCAGAATAAACTTGAGGAAAACTAATTGTTTTTTTTCTACTGTAAATGCTGAAGACACAAAATATAAAATGAAGACGTGATTCGTAATAGATTTTTGGATTGGGCCATGTAACGATCTGACCAAAATTGTGTTGTTAAACCTCCACTACCTGACACAGTCAAAATAAATTTAATTCACACGTGGTGTACAAGAATATCACGCGCCGACTGTTATTGTTTCAGCTCACCGATAAGTTGTATGTATATTGAACTTATTTGACACTTTGTACGTAGCCAACCGTGCTAATTGGAGGTGTGGTAAAGTTGAAACAAGTATCTATTAATGTTCTTTCATCTAATTGCTAAACATTTTTCGTGATAATTGTTCTTCAACTTACCGGTGGGTGAGCTGAACAACAATAACAATTGGCGCATCGCTAAACGACCTGTAGACCATGTGACAATTGAATTTGTCTGGCTGTGTTGGGTATTGGAGGTGGTCTTGACGACGCAAATTTGGTCAGGTCGTTACGTGGCCTAACCCAACATTGATATTTGGCTGCGAACATCCAACGGTGTTAAGCAACGACAACTTTGTCGAATTTTAGTGACCCAAAAATCCGGTCTGAGCATATTCTTAATTTGCTCGCGTTTTGTTTTGCCGAACGAACGCACGCCCTCGTGCGCAGGAGCCTATCCCAGGTCGATACAAACGTCCCCGTTGTATTTTGCTCTGTCGAAGCGAGCGTGACATGGGGTTCATGTGACATTTGGAACAAATAAAAAAATGGGTATGGGTGTTTACCCGTGCTCGGTGAAAATGGGGCGAGAATGCATTTGCGGGGAAAATGTACGGATTAAAACTGAATCGGCACAAATATCGCACTTGCCCCAGTGTGACTCATTTGTTTAAGGCCGCGGTTCGAGCACTCGACCCGCAATCATGAAGCGTGAGTTCAAATCCCAGTCGGGATTGTAAGATGTCAACAGTGCTTGTTCTGAGCTGCTAAGATCGGATGCGACCGGGCGCCTTCCAGGTGATTTGGTCGCTCGTTGGTCATGGCGTGTGAGTTGGGCGGTAGTGTAGCAGTTAGCGCTACGCTGCGCTACGAACCTGGTGACCCGGGTTCGATTCCCGCTCACGGTCAACACCAGTGACGATTATCTGAACCGGTCCCGGGCCTACCCTAGGTCTATTCAGCCTAAAATGGGGTACCTGGTGCGGTGTGTAAACATTGCCGCTAGGGAGACAAAGGCGGCCGGGCGTGATGTTGGCCACCCACCCCCTCATGGGCCGTTCAGGCCTTGATAGGTGATCATTAACAGCACTTGCTCCTGCAGTCTGTTCAGGCTATACAGGGGATTTTTGTCTTTGTTGGGCGCCACGGTGGCGAGATGTTAACTACCTCGCCTGGTATGCAGGAGGTCGTGGGTTCGATTCCGACCCTGGCGTATGCATGTTCTCCCCGTAGTTGTGTGGATTTTTCTCCAGTTCTTCCACTTTTTCCTTTCACATTCAGAAACGTGCATTTAGAGTATTTGGTTGCTATAAATTTCCACGTGATAATCCACTTCGTTGAGCTTTCATTTGTGGCCAGGTCGCTTCTAAGAAAGAGCTAAAATAGTTCAGTGGGCCTTACCTGGTAAAATAAAAAAATAGTTTAGTTTTATAGCAGTGTATGAATTGTGTTACTTAAAGCTGAGTTGCACATTTTTTAGTGGAAACATTTAATTTTTATGTTTTTTTCGTGCAGTCATTGGTGACCAGGCTGAGAACCATCAACTTGCTGTATTCGAGAACCCAGTTTAATCAACGATGTGTGGAACCTGGTTTAATCACGTTTGTTTGGTTCTGGGGTCTAGGATTTCAGCAGTGTTGGATTAGCACCTCTGAAACTGCCGTTAGGAAACCTCAGGCACCTGTAATTTATATTTGATCAAGTTTAAATCTTGACTGAAAGCTTTCGTGACTGCAGGAAATCATATTCTTTGGGCCTTTCGGTAAAGCCATGTAGATAGAAAAATAAAAAAGATATAAAAAAATATCACGACATTTGGATCGCAACACAAGCAATCGTCATCAGGTGCTCAGGCAGCTCTCCCGCTATATTTTTATGTGGCTTTACCGAAAAACCCAAAAAATATTGATTAAGTTTATTAAAGATCCAGTTCATCTCCTGCATGAAATAGTTTGAGTTCAAACTCATAATTCTTCCCTATTCTCTTTTACTCATCAGCATCTTACTTACTTACTCTTCGCTCCCTGTGGAGCATAAGGCCGCAGGCAAGCCCACGCAATGCCGGATGGTCTTTAGCAGAATTATCATCATCATATACAGTGGCACCCCGGAGATCGAACTTAATTCGTTCCAGAAGGCCATTCGAACACCAATTTGTTCGAACACCGAATACATTTTCCCCATAAGAATTAATGTAAACGACGTTAATTAGTTCCAGACACAAGAAATCTCTCATTATACGGGATTTTTGGATGAAGTTTACAGTAATTACATGCATAAAATCATACAAAAAAAACAAGAAACAATAAATGGAATAAATGAATAAATATATGGAATAAATGAAATAAATGAGCATTGAACTTCACTTGACCTGTAGTAAGGAGAGTTGATGGCTTGAGTGGAAGGTGGTGAGGAGGAGGAGGAGGTGGTGGAGGTGGTGGTGTTATTGTTTGGAAGTGGAGTCCCCTTCCATAATAACGTCGGGTAACTGCCCTTCTGGGGTCCTTTCTCTTTCGTGCCTCTTGTCTGCCACTAACTGTGAGTCACTTGAGCGCTTTCTGACTAAAAACTTATCTAAAGAGGTTTGTTTCTGCCTCCGTTTCAGGATGTTTCGAAAATGACACAATTGCATTATCATTAAGCGTCATGCACGCTGCTGGCCACCATGGGTCTCAGCCGCGTACAGGTTTATTTCTAGTCGCGATTGCCCCGTTCGACCTCCGAATTTCGTTCGGTTTCTGGGGCTAAAAAATGTTGGGAAATATCGTTCGAACGCCGATTTGTTCGAGTTCTGGTGCGTTCGATCTCCGAGTTTCTACTGTATATGGCGTGGAGAAAATGAGTACCACCTGGTCAGGCTGCAACATTTGGTGCAGGGAACTCAACAATGGTCGTTGTATTAAGAATGAGACTGTCATCCACCATAGTAATGTGGAATTTGCACCTGTTGCTCAGAGCACCGCCCAGCACTGTTGTGATGTTGTCTCGTGTCAATTTCTAGGTCATAACCGAGCATGTGTACGAACTTCTGGAGAAGGAATGTGGACTGGAAAAGCATTACGTTCCTGTGAGTGTAAAACATACACAGTATATGTATCCTCTACATTGCTGTGTAATGTACCACGTTTATACTACTGGTAGGAACCTCTGGTTACACCAGCCCACGGGATTATTGTGTCCATCCGTCGTGCATCCAAAAATGGGAGGGGTGGGGCTGGATGGAGAGGGGAGGGTGGGGAGGGGCTGGGTGAGGAGGGTGGGGAGGGGCTGGGTGGGGAGGGTGGGGAGGGGCTGGGTGGGGAGGGTGGGGAGGGGCTGGGTGGAGAGGGTGGGGCTGGGTGGGGGGTGGGAGGGGTGGGGCTGGGTGGGGAGGGGCTGGTCACCCCGTGGTGCCCTTATAAAACTCAACATTTAACCTACTCAGGCCGGCTTGTGCCCGCCCTCACAGTCGGGCATACTTGCGAAATACACCACGTGGTGCCGCCGTTGACCCTGGCCATTGACCGAGCAACCCAACGTTCCTACCAGCTCCCTCCGCAGGAATGTGTTTTTATGCTTCATTGTTAAATTGCCGAAGAGTCTTTAGACCGACTGGCAATAGACCAATAGTCCAACAGACCAGTCTATGACGGGTCTCTACACCAGTGGTTCTAAAACTTTCTATAACCCGCAGACCGCTGTCAACACACACAACTATTTCGCAGACGACCATACATCAGTAAGACATTTTAAAAATGTAAAACTACTCCGAAGCTTAGTGTCTTGCAACAGTTCCATGGACGACTGGACGACTTCCTATGGCCTTGTGGGATCGCAGGTTGCGAACCACAGCTCTAGACAATAGATGCACAAGTTCAGCCTCTAATGAAGTAAGTAAACATTAGACGGGCAGACCGGCCTCTGACGGAACTTTCTCCCGCGGGTGCTCGGGGTTTGCAGGTCGAAGCCATCAATGACAATGAACCCTTCAGCTTCATCTTCATGAGCCCCGGGGCGCTGCAGCAGGAGAAGCTGCTGCTGCTCGTTCACGGGAGCGGAGTGGTGCGGGCCGGCCAGTGGGCTCGGAGGCTCATCATCAACGACTGCCTCGACTCCGGCACTCAGATCCCCTACATCAAGCGAGCCATGGAGGTAACTTGAGCCGGGACCGTTGTGCACTTAAGCGGTGATGGTGATTAACAGATATTCTTTGGGTCTTTCGGTAAAGCCACGTCGAGAGGTTCAACGAAAATAACGAAAAACTACGACGTTTCGATCGCAACACAAGCTAGCGTTCGTCCGGACGACGGACGCTTGTGTTGCGATCGAAACGTCGAAAGACCCAAAGAATATGAATTCCTGCAGTCGCGAAAGCTTTAAGTCGAGATTAACAGGTCATTATTTCTGGGTCACCATCCGTGGAGGGTGCGACTCCAATGCCTGTCTCGGTGACCTGCCCTCCTCGACCCCGCAAGCACCGTCCCATCCTTGACAACCTGCCTTGACATTTGCAATCAACCACTTTTTTGCGGTCGATTACTCGGGTCCGTCTTTAAAACTGGTGGCCGACTTCATATCCCGTCTCCCGAAGGTGGGAAACCACCTTCAAGCGTGGGCTGGGCGTGACGCAGACGATAATGGCACTAGTAACGTTACCAAGCCCCACCTTTAACCTCCCGTTCAGCGGCACACATGGGACAGGTGACCAAAACTATTTCCCCCGACTGTTTTCGTGTTATCTGATTGGTTGAGTAATGAAACCGATACTCGGTAGAGTAATCAATTGTGTAACTAATCGGACAGCCCAGCTGTGTATGTAATGCTTCCCCACTCAGCTTTTCTAGGACAGGGGTGGGCAGGATATTAAAATACCTTTTCCAATGGTATATTAATTTTATTGCCAGCCGAGTTGCCTTGCAAAAATTGCATTTTTAGCTCAATAGGTTTTAACTCGAAGAGGCTACATGTTAACACAACTTGGTCACATCTGTCACTGCAAGAGGCCCTTATGGACCACAAAGGCAAGTGTTATTGAGCACATTCATACCGGCATGGCACCACACCCCGCCGCATTTGTAGTGGCGGAGTTTCCAGGTGTAAATATTCCCCCCTAGCATTCGAATAATGCGGCTAAAATGCTTGCAGTGAGGGATAATTGTTGGGCTGTTTCAAAGCGATAGGCCTCGTGTGGCCCCAGGCCGTTTGAAATGGAAACGCGCGGGTCAAAGATTCCCTGCCTCTGGCCACAGACCTGGTGACCACATGTTCGCTTCCCCACTCATATCCACGCCGGCAAATGTTGTGAAAAATGAGTCCGTTACCACCGCAATTGTTTACGTGCAACGATCAATAAATCAATCATCGCGCATCGTCAGCAAAGGGCCGTTGCTCCAGCCGTGCGACCTCTTGCGACAGCATTCACAAAAAGCAGCCCTTGCTGCTGTTCCCGTGTCACGAGTAATTCCTCTGACCCGGTGGGGGGGGGGAAGGGGGGGGGAGGTGATCACGCAGACGGCGCCATTCGTTCGAGGGTCGCAGTCTGCTTTGAACATTGACCGCCAGCCGAAGTCGCGCAGTTTGGCGGAGTTTGCGCACCAAGGCGGGACGATGTGTCCGCAGAGTGACAGCCATCTCCCTTGCACTAATAAGCTCTCTAACACGTAGGCTTTCGCGACCAATATCATCCATAATAGAGGTTTTTTTTTTGGGTTAGATCATGCAAATATATAAATGTGTCATTAAAACCCGCCACCACCCGCCTGATGAAGCTGGTTGTAATGCACTGGCGAAACGTCGTGCTCAGATTGTAAATGTTGTGGCTTGGCTCTCCAACACACCGGTGTTGCTGTACTAGTGACGAATTGGTCACGTTCTGTTTACGTGACAACCCTTACTAGTTGGCTGTGTCGGGTGGTGGCGGGTTTTCACCACACTTTGATATATTTACGCGATCTAACCCAAAAGAAACCTCTTACGGATAATAAGCTCTCGATCGCCAGGAGACCTGCTCGTGCATGGAGGCATTCCATCAAAGACACGACGAAGTCGAACAGTCGGACGCCAAGAGGGCTTGCTTGGCATCGCATGTGAAAGGACTACAGCCGATCCAAATCAGCAATTGATCAAATAAAATACTTTCACAGCAATGTCACGCGAACAAACTGAATATTCTGTGAAGGTTTCCCGGCCCTTGAATTACACCAAGCTCCGATTTACGCACCCATCTACAGCAAATACATGTTAACAATATGCCAAGCCAGTCCATTCAGGCAGCCTCTGTTTTCTTGGGCGATTGGGCTTAACGACAAATTGTGCGGAGAGAAACGGGCAAACGCACGCACAGACGCACGCACGCACGCACGCATATGTCAGGTGTGCAGGCTGACATCCTCATGCTCACGCTCCCAACGCACGTGCACTCACCGCACTGGGCATCATCTTCGTCATTTGCTGTGGTCAATCCACTGCTGGATGAAGGCCTCTCCATGCCTGTCGCCATCTCTCACGATGCTGCGATGCTTCAAAATCCACTTGGCGTAGTTAGATGCGATATTAATCCACGTTAATATTGTAGTGTAATTATTATGAAAACACACGAAGTGCCCTCACACTGACAGATACGCAGACAGGCGTAATAATCAGCATAGCAGTTTTCGGCTAATTCTGCTAAATGTCTTGTCCTGTCAAACGGTGGCACATAGTCAAAGTGAACAGCCGGTGGTTTTGTCTGAAATGTAATGCCTACAAAATGAGATTGTTTATATTTTTATGTTTAGTAAACGCTTTTTTTCTTTATTGTGATAAATAATCTGATCAAAGACAAAGATCCCTCGTGTAGCCTTTACCTTTGGGGCAAACGTGCTGTTAGCGAGCACCCATGAAGGCCGGAACAGCATACGACAGAGGTGGGTGGCCAGCACCAAGCCCAGCCGCCTTTGTCTCCCCAGTGGCGATGTCTAAACACCGCACCAGGTACTCATTTGAGGCTGAGTCCACCTAGGGGAGGCACAGGACCGGTTCAGATAATCGTCACTGGTGTTGGCCGTGAGCGGGAATCGGGTTCGTAGTGCAGTGCGCTAACCACTGCACTACCGCTCCATCCCAGCTGATTAAACGCATGCACATATCCCTGATGGTTTGAAGTCCACGGTGCAGCTGTCAATTACCGAATGCCCTCTTGCCGATTACGCTCCGAGGGTGTCATGGGGGTTTCACGTTATTTTTCCTTCCACAAGCGCTGACACGTTGAGAGTTTTGGACTCTTCTCACCGCCTCTGCGTGCCGCCTAACCTTTCACGATGATTGAGCCGGGCGATCAAGCGCATGAAGCACACGATCCACACCTGTGACCTTAATTGGTGGATCGATGTACGGTAGCGTGATTTTTTTCTCTTTGCTCTTTCTTTTTCTTTCCATCAAATTTTATTCCGATTTTTGTTTTGTTTTTGCCATCGCCGTCGTGAGACGAGGAATCCAATTCGGGAAATCTCACACGCGGCAGTGCAGGCCCGTCCACGCGAGAGAATGGCCCACGGAAGTGGATGTCACAGAGTGACCTCTAAAATCCATCCACAGAGTAGGGGGCGGCACCTTTCCACCCACTGCATTTGAGACCAATGATCTGTGATTTGACAGGCAAACCGTAATTTAATCCTCAGAGGTGGAATTCAGCCATATTAATCACAGAACTGAATTTAACTCAATCCACTGTAAAACTCGGTTACATCACAGGCGGCTGAAACCAGAATTGGGACCGAGGATCTCAGCGGTGCTGGCTCAGCACTTTGACCTCTGACCTCTGAGCCACCCAGCCACCTCTTGAGGGTATTTTGTTTATGAAAACATTGTAATCCATTTGTGGAACATTTTAGTTAAACAAATATTGCTTTAAAAACGCCAAAGTCAAAGAAAGTGTATATTCAAACAAGTCTTGAGAGTGGCACTCATCTCCATGTTGGATATTGCACATTTGTGTGGCTGGAACCATGGCATTTGGTTTGCCGAACGAATACATTGTGAGGTCGCACGAATTACCCACAAAGCGCTTGCCACAAATGAATCACAATACCTCGCTGATCTCGTCAAGGGGCATAAACCATCACGCGAGCTCTCACGGTAGTCCTTGCTGCGGATTTTTCGCTGGCCGTCGGACAAAGACGGTCACTGCATCGCGCGCTTTCAGATGCGCTTCCGCGGCCGTCTGGAATGCTCTTCCTTTCCAATATTAGGAAGTCAATGGAGCTATGCATTTTTAAATCTAGATTGAAAAACTCATTTTTTTAAACTGCTTTTGTGTTTAGTTTGTTGTCCTTTCCACGCACCACTGGTCATCACGGTTGGCTTTGTATGGCACGAAAGAAGTTCCGCATATTTCGATGGTCTTAAAGACAGACCGGAATCAAAATTACGAAATAAAGAGGCATACCAGCGCAGTTTATTGTATTTAAAAATAAAACTGAACTTAGTATTGAGAAACAACGTATACATCAATATGCCTAAATAAGAACATTTGTATAGGAATAGGTTTTACCTTTTTAACTGGCACAAAAACTGACACCTTTATTCAAGGCATCATGTTTGCAATAACCACAACACAAGCAGTCAAAATGCAAACAAAAAAGACAACTCTGATAATAATATGCACTGGCCTTGAACAGTCCTTGAACAGTGCATATTATTATCAGTGTTGTCTTTTTTGTTTGCATTTTGACTGCTTGTGTTGTGGTTATTGCAAACATGATGCCTTGAATAAAGGTGTCAGTTTTTGTGCCAGTTAAAAGGGTAAAACCTATTCCTATGTCTTGTTTCTGGCAAAGGAGGTCTCATAATGTAAAAGAACATTTGTAATCGGTGCACATTTTCTACTGTGACGTACGGATCAGAAACATTGACATGAATAAAGGAAATGGGACCAGAGTTGTTCACTCATTTCCAGGCATGTAGCAGTCACCGCACATCTCCTTGGCGATTTGATAAATTGTGGCAAAATCCGTTCAGGAGTCAATTATTATATTACTAGCTGTACTATCCGGCTTCGCCCGGGACTTGGATCCACCACGCCCGGTCGCCTTTGTCTCCCCAGTGGCAATGTTCACACACCACAGCAGTTACTCGTTTGAGGCTGAGTCGACCTAGGGGAGGCCCAGGAGCGG